ATGCCATATAATGAAACTGTTTTTTGCACTCCACCTGTATATTAACACGTCATAAACAGCCGTGTATCTTGCTCTCATACCTTTATTAAGAGCTTATTTACAATTTTCCGTGGCTCTTTAAGACCCAGTGTTTCCTCGGGCTCGGGTGAGCTCGGGTGTTCTCGGGTGGACTCGGGTGTTTAACTGACACAGTACGGTATGATTTCCCTTTAATCCCAGGACGGGAGATCACCAAGATTTACAGTAATGTGGTGAGTTTCACTGCTAACATTTTCTTTTAATACTGATTTGCTTCCATGGGTCTCAGAGGCACTAGAACTTGACCTGAATATCACGCGGCAGGAAATCATCACTTTTCTTGATCAGCCGGCAAACCTCGGCTGCTACTCAACACAAACTGGTAACACGTCATCTCTATCCTTTACCTGGACAAAAGATAATCAAATCGTCACGGAATCATCACGATTGAGAGCATTTGGTGAAGTCATTGTAGTAACGCCAAAAAGTGATTCGGACTTTGGAACGTACATGTGTAATATCACAAATGGCGTGTCAAGTATTCTTTGCAGAATCAAACTATCTAAAGGTCTCAACGAATCTGGTAGGTGTAGTTTCACTAGTTATTTTCTTTGTAGTAATTACAAATATGAAGTGCGTACGACATGGAAGGTTGATAAGGCGAACTTGAAAGCGAGGCACCAAATGTAGTGTCCAGGTTTATTCGAGTCGAAGATGCCCATGGAGTGACATGGAGTGAGTTGACTGGGAGCCTCATACAACTTTAATACCCGTTCTAGATCAAATTTTTCATCCCCCAGATCACTTTTATAGCAAATAATATCTTAGTTGCTATACCAAATTCATTCTGATTTCTACATCGTATTCCAGGACAGTAAAACTGCTAAAAAGCAAAACCGTCCAAGCGCCACTCATCTATCTTGTCTTGGGTATATTTTAGAGCACTCTCCCACCCCCATCCCCCAATGCCAATATACTGTTTGCTTGACTCAGCTTTCGTTCAGGTCATTGAATTCAAAATGTCGGTCCTAAGACTAACCACTGAGGTACAAGTTATTCATTTTCCTATCACACAAAGTTTACTCTCTTCTTGAAGTTTCAGAGACAGAGGATGGAGGTGCTTCGAGTGAATCTACGACAGGATGCGTGAACATTTCAGTTTTGATGCCTGTTCTTGCCGTAGCTGTCCTTGCACTTCTCCTGTTCATTCACCTAGTCATTCAAGGCAAACGAAAGCGTGACAGGGAATTGAAACTGACGAAAAAAAATAATGGAAATATCAGTCCACACAGCGATGGAAGCAATGTTGTGATTGGAGAAACTATCGAAATGCACGCTAATGGGCACGTGATCGGGTTATCTGGTGATGGCCTGCAGGCGCCAGGAACACCTATCTCTAATCACGTGTCACGATCCAATGCCTATGAGAGTTTAACAGGATCACCTTCCATTGGGCGCGTATCACGTGGTCATGCACCAGGATCACCTGTTGGGCACGTGCCACGATCGCCTGCCTTAAGGCATGCATCATGATTGCCAAAAACGCACTTCTATAAGTTTTATTCCCTTGGAATGACAAGAGCAGTCAAATGAAATATGCCTTGGGAAGTTTTTAGCGCATTTTCCGTGACCATTATAAAATATGCTTCATAACATTGTTTGGGGAATTTCTTCAGACTGCTTGCGGGAAGATTTCAGTGATTTCTAGTTTACAAGTCTTATAAATTTTCATTATCCTCCCAGAGGCTGCGATCCTTTCGGTCAGCACCATATTGAAGGCATTGGGGACGAGATTGCACAAATTTGGGCAGGACCTGCGCACGCACCTCACATCATTGACCTCTGCGTACAGTCGAACCTCACGTAAGCGACCACCCAAAATGCAAAGACTAAGTGGTCGCTTACGGGAGATGGTCGCTTACAAGAATCGAACCACAGCGGGCCTCTTCCAAGAAGAGGTCTGGGAATATCTACTTTATGGAAGATAATTTATTGCATACAATTTCTAAGTTATGCCATTTGAAGTTCCATATTGTTACGAACATTCTTCGTATATTCTAAGTAGCACAGTTCACTCAGCGAACATAGAGGAGAATGCGTCAAGTGGTCGCTTATAAGAGGTTAAAAACAATAGAAAATCATGCAACCTTCAAGGCCCAAAACGCCGGAGTCTGCCCAGTTTTAGCCCCTGTAGAAGGTTTGTTTTCAAACCGAACTATTGGGCAAATTTGTTTAAATATATATTTTTCTTTTATTCTTTTGTTTACTTCTTCACCGCCTTGCCGTAAGGATCACTCTGCCGTTTTATATTTTCTGCAAGTTATTATTGTACAAATCCAGGTATACAACTGGGAGATCCGGCACCACTCTAACGGTTTGTCGCTGACTTGTTTTTATATTTCGACAGAAATCAACCCTAGAACACCCAGTTAGTCTGCACGGCCAGGGCCTGAACACGAGCCATGGTGTTTCTGTCACCCATGGGGAGAAATACACACAACGCATAAATAAACCCTTTCAGCCCTACTGACAGACATACAATTTCTCCCCACATCAACATCTACACTGATTTGTCAAATAGCGCGATTTTCGTGTGCCCTTGAAATGAAAAAGCGCGAACAAAACAGAAACAACAAACGAACGGAAATAGAGCGATTTGATTGGTTTATCAAACGGACACAAACGTGCGTGGCTTTTGGTTGGTTAAGCGAACGCTCTGGTGAAAAAACTTCATGCCCGAGAACTTTCTAGAAATCATCCGATACTTTGCTTTGACGTCATACTGCAACGCGATTGGCCAATCGCACAATGCCTTCCCCTTATTAGGGGTTCTTTGGCGGGAAAACGAAAAGAGAGAGATCTTTTCACCCACTGGCTGACAAAGCAAATAACGAACACTTTGCGAAACCATTTTTCAAGGCCTCAAAACCAAAACTGAAGAAAATAGTCGGGCACAAAGTGGTGAATATGCGTTTTGATTTTGAGAGGGTAAACAAGGGAATGAATGAACCGCTGAAATAAAAACATGTTATTACATAACTTATCTTTATTGCAAAATGCCCTCAGCTCAGGGATAATTAAACGTATGCATTATGAATAATAGTAAGAAACTTCATAGCAGCTCTATAGCACTTCTATGTAAGTATATTTGTGTTCTATACTTTTAATAAAAATCTCTTTACAATGGAGACCTCAAGAAACACTGTTTTCGTGTACGGCTCGGGGGGGGGGGGGGGTACTCCTAGGAATTCTTGGTGGGGTTCTTCAAATCCTCACCCTATTTCAGACCAAAAAATGTGATTTTCCATACCAGTTTTCAGACCTAGCCTCTAAAATCCATGCCCGATTTCAGACCTGGTCTCTAAGAAATCGTGTCTTCATTACCTAGATTAGAACGCCAGCAAAAAGATTTCATTTCAAATTTGCATATTACTCTTTCTTTCTAATTCATTTGCCTCCAGTAGCTCGCTCGAAAACTATACCCTATTCAAGACCAAACTTGACGGGCAAAGTGTATACCCGTTTTCAGTAACCGAAATGGCGTAAAAACCCTACCCGATGGGTCGGCACATACCTATATGGCTTGAATAAGGGAGTACCCCCCCCGGATGTACGGCTACACGTTGTGTAATAAAGATTAAAATCTCTGCGCAGCGTAGTTACTTAATTTTAATCGGAAATTGTAAAATCGACGCCGGTGGTTAGGACTCTTGAACAGCGTCGATTGTACAATTTCCAATGACCATTCGGCTACACGTTGCCGTCAATACGGCTAGATTGCCACTTACCCCAGAGAGTTGGGTAGGACAGTGTAGGAAATCACGGCTGCTTTTTATCGAACTACATAACAAGCATGTTCGCCTCTGACCCGGCGTAGCCGTAAGCAGAAACGGTGTTTCTTAAGATCCCTAATGTTGGCATGAAATACGCCTGGTACAAAAAATATCTTGGAAAAACTAGTGTGATCTTTATAAACGATTAAAAAACTAATTTGAATCTAAGCTAAGTCTCTAGGTAATAAAGATAGCGAATTTTATACTATAAACCAATGCTAAAGCAGCGCTTGAAGTTTTAACCAATAGGAGCTGTAATCTTTTCGGAAATCATAATTAATTCTTGCTTTCTATGAGAAAATTCATCAATACATCCACTTCAGACATAAACGAAGTGTACCAAAAGGACTTTTAAAAAAAATCTTTTCAACCTTTTTTTTTTCGCATTATTTAAGGGTTTTCCATATTCAGTCGACAAAGGATGCTCTCCATTTTACATTTGTCAATACATCCTCCTGGTTTAACAGGAATGTTAGCAACAAGGCGACCGGCAGTCTCACAGGGAATATCCCTGTCTTGAAGCGTTTCTTTCACCAATTCACTACCATTTGAGCGACCTAGGCACACTTAAAAGAGCTGTGTCACGGATTTTATCCAAATTCTAACAATAGGAACTGCTAACAAATTGAGCGAAACAAACAATGAATCAAGTTAAAAGACGGTATAAATAACACAGCAATACAAAAGGAAGAAGATTGAAACGGATAGAAATTGTGGGTTTTAAAAAACTTGTTAGGCTAACAGTTTTTCAAAGTTTGTTTTTGCCAGTTGTTGGTGACGTTTGATATAATGTTTTGGAAGTGTATTTGTAGGACAATAAGCTTTGGTTTTCTGGTTTAAATGTAAATTCTTCGTTGACGTTGAGGTCTATAGTGCACTGATAAGGAGGCGTAATTGTCAATATTAACAAAATGACTGACAAGAAAACTGTGACACGACCCTTTAAAGAAAATACGCGAGATAATTTTAAAGCGCAGGACTGTTCAAGAAAAGCGATTATTTGAAGAGTGCAAAGTTGAAAGACAAATGTAAAGCATGGTGAACACACGCATTCTCGAGTGAATATCGGGAGTAAAGCCGGCCGGACTTACAATTTCCACTTCATTTTAAGACCGGTTCCTCATCATTTTTCGATTCTTCAAAATCCATCTTCTCCTTATAATAACTCACAAGTGGTTCTTGGTCTTGAACATTATCCTCGTTTCCCTTTTCAAAATCCATTTTCTCCATGTAATGACTTACAAGAGGTTCTTCGCCATGTTCATCTTCATTTTCTTTTTCAAAATCCATTTTCTCCATATAATGACTCACCAAAGGCTCTTCTGACGTCACGCTTTGAGGCTCCGCATCGCTTTCATCACTAGGTAAGAAGAATTCAGCTATTCTAGGAGCCTGCAAACTACCTGACCCGCGGTGTGCACCAGAGACATCGGGTCTTGTTTCATCGTGTACATTTTCTTTAGCTTCCCCTTCTGATGCACTAAAAATTTCTTCCAAACGAGGAATTTCCTTTGTGCGTGGACTCTCTTGTGTGCGAGGGCTATCTAACTCGTGCGAGTGGTCTTGCGTCGGTAGGCTGCTGTCCTGCTCGCGAAGGATATCCTCCAAACGTGGTATTCCTTTCGTGCCCGCACTGTCAATTGAGCGAGGGCTTTCCCATTCGTTCATGCTGTCTTGCACGGGAGTGCTTGTCTCTTGCACTCGTAAAATGTCGTCTAAGCGTAGAATCTCTTGATTGTCATCAGCACGCGTGACATCATCATCATGCTCCCACGGCCTCTTCTTTTCCCACGAGCTGTCCTGTTCTCGTGGGATATCAAGACCGCGCGAGCCGTCCTGCGCGTTCAAGAAATCCTTGCTTTCTTGCATTTCAATTGCTTCTCCTTCGTCCTTATCCAGGTTACTGCTGTCCTGTATATTTTCATGATCCTTCCCGTTTTTGTCTCCTTCTTTCTTGCACTTTTTAAATCGTCCGCCGAAAAATTTCTTTTTCTTTACTTCAACATTTTCTTCCTCCTGGTCCTCGTGATCAACTGCGGTAGCTTCGCGCGCTAAATGTAACTGATAGATCTCTTCTTCGGAGAGCAAAAACCGCTGTCTTCGTCTCCACTGGATTAAAAAATGAACGTTTAAAAGAAGTGAAACCATCATAACTGCCAAAACCGGCATTAGAACGGCCAGATTCACACATCCAGTTACCACGTTGATGTATCCTTCACTTTCTGCAATACCCAACAGACAGAGTTTTACATTTCCCAAGAGTAGCTTGCGTGGCAGGGCGCAAGAAAGCAAAAAAGAAACGAGGAGTCGCGCACCGCTCGTGCTCTCGCGCGCAAGATGTTTTTCCTCCTCGCTTCCTTTCGCGTATGCCTTGCAGGCTACATTTGTACTTGATACAGAAGCCCGTTTTTCAGGATCAAAACTCGAATTAAAAAAAAGCATCAGTTTTATAAGACAAAATTTGAATAAGCAGGCACCCAGGGGGACAAAGGGATCAGGGAGGGACAATGTTTAAAGTAGCCATCTCATTCATAGCAAAAATGGTTTTACAGCGCAGCGATCTCTACAAGGGCCAAGCTACATTAATCAAAGGTCACGCTAAAAAACAAAGGAATGAGCCTGTGTAGCTAGTGGATTTGTTGGGGAGGGAAGAGAGAGAAGCCTGCAAATAAAGCCGTCTTTTCTCGCTCCTCGCCGCCAGGGACGACAAAAAGCAAGGAGAGACGGCTCTATTCGAGCGTTTGCTAGTGGCGAGGCTGCGAGGGGGCTGCTCCATTCCCCACGCGGCTTCGCCTCTTGTTTGCGCTCCCCACAAAACCTGCCAGCTTCGCTGGCTACAAAGGAGTCTGCTATTTTTAGTGCGAAACAAAAGTTGAGGAAAGGACAAAATTAAGAGAAGAATGAGAAGAATTTATATTTCAAAGCGTCGGTGGCCCCGATTGAGTTCGCTTTATTCTAATAATAAACATATTTAACTGCTGACTGGTTTTACCTCGTCGAGACCTCAGTGAAATACTGCAACTTGTATTAGATACTCCTTCGTGACACTCGTATGTTCCAAAATCTGTGTCATTTTCAGGCCTTACAAACAACATGTTGGCATAAACCGTTATGTGTGAAGACGACGTGACAGTGACATTGTCCTTTTTCCATGAATATTTAAGCGATGAGGAATTTGCTTGGGCAGTGTAGCAACCAAGCGTTGCTTGCTGGCCAGTCGAAGTTGTGACCTGTTTTTGAGGGCAACGCAGATCACGGGTTGCTCTTTCTAAAACCAGGAAAGAGAAAGAAAATTGTGTTAAGGGTTATAACGTCTTCCTTTTCTGAACTAGCCTCGACTGGGACAGCACGAGAGCCTAAACAAATAACCCTTATCCCACTTTTCCTCTAGCCTGTTTTAGGCGCTGCATTTGTCGTCTCGTACCGTTCTCATATCCACCCTCATTCTATCTGGACGATTGGAAGAAGCTTGATGCGATTTTCCGTCACTCCCGTGTTTCGCCGAACTCGCTGGTTCTATCTTGGAAACATTGAGGGTCAGTTATTTAAACGATGTTTAAGTTAGGCCGCGGTTTAGCAAATCTTTGGACCTCCAAATCTCTTCCAAAGTGGGTTATTTTCTCTATTTTAAGAAAATAAGCGTGCTTTTCCAGGCTAGGCCTTATGCTTTTATGAAACTTTACATGATAAATGGTGTTAAGATAAAAGCATTGGGCAAACTGAAAATGGCTTAGAACGCGGTTTTGTTAGACAATGCCTAAACTCCGTTTAAATAACTGGCCTCCAGTGTTTTCTAGTCTAGCAGACACCATAAATGTATTACCTTCCCATTTCAGACCCTGTATATTGGTAAAGCGCCTACGTCCTATTCAGGTAGACAAACCTGTTTTGATTCGTGCGCTACCCACTATAAATATGCAGGGGTTATATAGCAATGTCTCCTAAAAGAGAACATTGAAGAGAGACATTGAAAAATTAAGGATTTTATAATAAGTAGGCAGTGATGAACGAACAATGGTAAATTAATCGTCCCGCTTTATATAATTTTACCTCAGCTTAGTAAACGCATCATCTTTTAAAGCAGTAGTTCAACTGACGCCACATATAAGTCGTGCAATATGTGAAAAACGGAACGGCTTCAGGCAGAAGAATGAAATACCTCAACTTTTGTTAATTTGATTTTATGCAAGGAATAATAAATTGTTGATAAGAAAGGTTTTTGAGACGCGTATCCTACATATTTTACAATACCTATTAGTATATGAATAAATGCTTGGCAACTGGATTAATCCAAGTTTCCAGTTGAAGAAATATTTTTTTCTAAAGTATTGAGGATTATTTGTTAAAGAAAGCGAAGTATTTTGACATTAGTCCAGGGAAGAAGGCCAGGATCGGAAAGAGATTCTGATTCAGGTATCTGATTCACGTAGAGGTGTCAAAATTAACGCTGACCGAGGACCAGAGAAACATTAGAGCTGTGAACAAAGGTAAGAGATATTAAGAAACTACTGAATGAAATATTGGATCCTTACATCAAGTGCAAAAACTCATTTGTGAGTCTATTACCTTCTTGTACAAACGATAAATTGTGTGGATGGGGTCCGCTTACATGAGAACGTTTTTTGTGTTACGTTTCTTTTATTAGCTGTGACATAACGAAATATTCTAAACTCACAGGTTCTAAGTTTTTTTTAAAAAATTCGAATGAAACCTTGAAAAATGCCCATTCATGCACAAGACTAGTAGTCAATCAACTCAAGAAATATAACTGAAACCTGAAACTACAAATAAGATCGTGCAAGACGTAGGACAGCAACTTAAACGTGTGTTGAAAAAATTAGAAAAGCTCGCTACAATAGAATCTGAACTCAGCGAAGTATCTGCCAAACACGTAGAAGAAGGTTAGTCGATTAGATTAGGAAGATGTACAAGACCTAAAACGGAAGACAAACAATGTGGAAAAGAAAACTACCGAAATGGAAGAAAAAAGCTTTTATTTCTCTCTCTTCTCAAAAATTCATGCATTTGCATATAACACCTTTGTATTTTGTCGCAGTTGTAAAGGTTTTCATTTTCAGTCTTTGTTTCTTCCACTGTTTCTATAGCTTAGCTAGATTTGATGTCAAACGCAAATGATTAGAAAAACAAAAGTCTGAACGAACTTCTGTAAAGGACAATATCTTAACTCTGAGGTAATTAATAAGGGAAACGAAAAAACTAGCAATACTATTTTCTTTTAAATGATAATTGGCTCTGTGCTCTTGACCACTGCACTTGATGATAGTAGTATTCCCCCAGGGGGGAGGGGGAGGTGCTACTTAGCTATAGCATATACTTCTTATTATGCACCAATCATTTCAAAACTTCAAAACACCCCTCTTCCCAAGCAAGCCCTGGGCATCTGAACTTTTTAAGACAGACCTGTTCAAATGCCCTACCACAATGCTGGATTTGAATTTCAAATGTCCCTTCCACAGAAGAAATGTGCAGATTGTGAATTTGAAAAGTAAATTTTGCATTTATTATGGTGTATATTTGCTTAATATTATTTATTGTGAACGTTGCGAGGATGTCTGAAAGTAAGTCAGGTTTGCATTTCCTAATAATATTATACTTTGTCTTTAAAAAGGCAGTGAAATTACTAAGGAGACGTGGTAATATGTTTCTTGACCATCTATCTGAAGTCACCCTTATTTCTTACTGTGAAAGGTAAACGCTAAATGACAATTTATTGTTTTATAGAAGGTGTTTCTCTCTTTACATCTTATCTTTTTCTTCCTTTCTTCAATAAGGGTGACTACTTCGAAAAACCTGCAGGTATTACGGACGATTACAGATGTGAGATGCCCCTCTATAAAGATTTTTTAAAGCAAAGTATTGCCTTAAATCAGGGTGCAAATAACATCATTTTAACAGCTTGCCCTTCGGGCAAGCTGAAGCTAGCATTTACTAGCCCAGACGTCATTTCAACTAGCCCCAAAAACGTTTTGTTCTTCTGTTATTCAAATTCCTCATAAAACATCACTTGCCCGTCGGGCAAGTAAAAAACAGAATTCACTAGCCCGATAGCAAAATCCACTAGCCCCGGGCTATCGGACAGTACTTTCTTTGCACGCTGCTTAAATGCTGTTTAGTTTAAAAAAAAAAATGACCAGAACACGAGTGCAGAATTAATCAAAGCTTAAAATCCTAAGGCTTGCTTTCCGGCTCTTAAAATGAATTGTTTGTAAAGAAAAGCAAGAGAAATGGGGAAAATTACCACATCTAATCAAGTCTTTTCTGGTAGTTGAAAAAATTCTTGAAACTGAGGGTGTTTTGATCAAAGCCTCCGTGTAGTGGATGGACTCTTGCGTTTCTTGTTGTTATCTCACCTATTGTACAGAGTATGTGTGCAAATCTCCAATATGAAATCGGTATTTTTCAAAGAGCTACACAAAGACCACGGATCCAATAGACCGACAACAAACTGAGTAGGCTCAGCTGTAGTGTCAATATCATTAGTAATGGTAACAGGACTGAGTGGAGTCCAATTCGGTCTGTAATCATACGAGTGATTATGCGGTCGTCCGATTTGTTTAATCAAGAGTATGATTACAGACTGAATTGGACGACACAAAGTTCTGTTACCAATTAATCATAACTTTAACAAAATTTGTGATATATAAGGCCCTTTTTTGAAATCAAAACAGAAGAAATCCAATTTTTTTTTGCTAGTAGTGAAAAAAAGGCCAAAGGCTTGATGGCACGTACTGTCCAATACTTAGGCATGACGCGTACTGTCCTATTAAATTGTCCAATTAAGGCCGAAATCAGGGCAGTTGATAGCCAATCAGATTTGAGAATTTTTTATGATTACTAGTGATATTGACACTGTACTGGCCCATTCATCCAGACATACTATCTACTTATTAGTTCACTTATCCAGATGTAGTCTAGACATAGTAACTTCACTGTTCGCCCATTTATAACAAGAAAAACTGACAATGGTTACCCAAGATCATCCCTGACAAATGAGTCTTAATAAAATAATTAGTTTAAATTACGCCAGTCAGTCAATTGTTTTTGGTGCCGGAAATCGTAAAGGTATTTCTTTATTACTATTGCTGCCCGTGATTAATAAACATTTATTTTTCCTGTATTCGTCTTAAAGCATTTATATTTGAAATTAACGTAAATAAAGAAACATAAATTAACGCCTGAGGCAAGTTTTAAAACTATTGCCCGTGTAATCGTTAACGGAGTAAGTCCATTGTTTGTTAATCAAACAATACAGGGCATCTACCTGTACCTAGAGCTCACCACCAATCTCTGGTGATTTGAAACAGTGTAAATGCGTACAGATGAGAAAAATAGCTTCAGTTTATAGGAATTAGAAACTACATTAATCACTTACCATTCGCGAACGCAGAGCTATCAAAAAAGAGAGTCCCTTGCAAAATAAAAACATACCACAAACACGATTTCTTGGTCGCCATCTTGATAATGGTAGGTTCGACTATATTATGGAGGTTTTCTCCTCCCTGGCTGCAAAGGACGAATGTTTTATCTTTAAGGAAGATTTAAACGTTAGGATAAACCAATAATGGACAATAATCTACCAAAAAGGTGAAGAAATTCACGATCGAGGTTTCAAACAGTAACAATATAAATCTTGCGTGACATAGTGGCGCACATAGTGGCGCGTGATTAAGGCGCGTGACAAATTTCATCCGACCCAGATCCCAGTAAAGATCCCGGTCGTCACTTGTTTCCATCCCCCCCAAACTGACATTTTCCTCTCAGTGGCTCTTACGAGACATTTCACTTTTCTTACATGAAATTTCTCCGTCTCTTGAAATTTCTGTCCATAAAAGTCTAAGTCTCTTCAATTTTTAAGGAAAAAAATTCAAGATGGCACGAGTGGGATTCGCTCTCGGAGCATCGGCTCTGCAGTGCATCACTTTAATCCCTACACCACCGAGGATTTGCTGACAATGGATGGTTTGATTTGAATATATATAGCAACAACCCTAACCCTAACCCTAACCCTAACCCTAACCTAACCTAACCCTAACCCTAACTCTAACCCTTTCTTTGTGTAGATAAAACTGAAAAGACCGTCAACTGTTACTAAAACAGCGTTTAAACCGTTCAGTCCTAATTTAAAAGGAAGTACATACGAATGGCCACGATTTGGCAATATTGTGTTACTGGGTGGGAGGAGATCTGCCAAAAGGCCCTTAGTAGAATGTGTGATGCTCTTCCACAACTTTTTGTCTGAAGCCTCTAGCTCTAGAAGGCTTAAAATGGGAGGGGCCCCCTTGATAAAGCCAAACCGAACTACTCTCCCCTGAAACTTACCAATTTTAGAAAGGTACTTATCGTAACTTGCAACTCCCCATACTAAAATGCCATAGGTAAAAAGAGGTATAATCAGACTGTGGAAGAGATGGTCTAAAGAGTCTAGACTATATCCATACTTCTTGCTCACTCGTAATATGTGTACGCTTTTCCGCTTTGCTGAGAAGAGCATCGATTTACTTGTCCCAGTTTGAAGGATTACTATGGAAGCTGAGTGGGCTCACACGAAAAGCTGCAAAGTCGTTTTTCTGCGTAATGAAGTCGATTTGCTGCATGCAAAGACGAAAGTTGGAAAGTAGGTTTGCTGCATCATGAAGTTGATTGGCTACTAAACATTTGTCGTTTCGCTGTGTATACTTAAGTAAATTCCCTGAGGAAATTAGAATGTAAAAAAGTAAACTTTAAAAGATGAAAAAAACTCTCGCTACATTTCCTCCTGATCAGATGGACCTGTTTTACTTTGCATGTTTTGGACGATTTAATGAGGTAAAATGAAAGCAGAATTTAATATTGAGTAAGAGACATGAAATTGTCTCTCTCAAGGGTGAACTTCAAGTGAATAACATATCTTAAATATTTGCTCTTTTGCTTTTTTGTAATAGAGAAGATGAATATCCTAATGATGTTGCTGACCTGGATCAAGTTCGCGTTCTCGATCCCTCGAAGTGAGCCGATGACAAGAACGGAGAAGTTCGTCCAGTGGTCATCGCTGTTTGCCTACTGCATAACTGGTTTCTCATTTATTGCTGCCCCTCAGATGTATAACATCATATTAGGGCTGGATTACCAAGGGCGCTCTGAGGGATATATCCGATTATTTGGAATAAGCCTCGTGGATATCGGAGTTATATTTGTAATACTGGCTCGTTGTGAAGACAAAGTAAGCCGCTATGGCACTATATTCATTTCGATTTTCAGTCGTCTCCTTTGGGTACCAATCACCGGGGTGCTGCTAATCGTTCGAGAAATGGTCCCCTTGAGTTTTGCCCTTCTTTTCATGGTCCTCGACCCTTGTCTTGCTTTGGTGACCTTGCTGATTTGGCTCTCTGAGGAGAGAGGGCCATTGCTCGGCACCTTTTGCGAAGAATTACTCGCACTACTCCGAGCTTGTGGCCGACTTAAAACGAGGGGCTCTATTCTGATTATTCTGTCCTGTTTCATAATTGGTTTAATTCAGTTAATTTTCTGGTATATCTTCGTAGTAAGGCCAGATTTTGCTCAAGCATTATTTAAGCTTGAGCAGTTTGAAGGGTTTGCCAGTGGTTATCTGTCCACATTCTTCTATCTTATCTCAATACATGGTTTATATCATGTGCTCTGTGCTCTCAATCTAAACAGTTGTCTCCCACATGGATCTATTTTTTATCGTGTGTTACTCGATCAGCCAGTTTTTCTTATTTTGTTTTTCCTTGAACAAATTGAACGAAACCTCTTCCTCGTGCTTCTATGCATTGATGTCCCTCCTGCCATTATTGTCCTATTGTCGCTGGTCAAAGAAGGATATCCAAAGGAAAACAACAAAGTCAAGGCAGTGGAAACAACCAGTCTTAGTTATTAACACTACTAAGCCACAGAAAGCCTATTTCAACGGTACACTGATATGAGTGGGATCTTTTAGCGTAAGATTTTTTCATTACATGTAAAAGGGAAATAACAAAGAATTCAATATATTAGACATCTAGGCTATTAGAATACAGGCTGTGTGTAATCTCGTTATCTAAATACACTTTCGTCCATAAAAGAAAGTCAGCTCCCAAAGGACTAATTATAAATACAGGACAACATAGTCAGCAGCAAATTCATTGAAAACGATTATTTAATTAACTCAGTACAATCAATCAAATTTCCTGGAGAATACTGCATTTACAATGTTCCGAAACGTAGCTGATACTCAAGTTACTAAACAAAACACTGTCAACTGCAGAATTACATTTAAAATTATACTACTTGAAAAATTGTTTCCCCTCACTCGTCTGAAGAAACCGGTACCTGTATAGGCAAAATGAAAATAAAAGCGTAGCTAAGTATAAACCAAATTAGTCCTTGGTCTAGAATTGCTACAAGTCGACCTCTCATATGTTCTTAAAAGTGAGCAAGAGAGAACAATGCTCTTCTCTTCAAGTGAGCGAGGCAAGCTTCAATGCATGAGGTCGCGCAGCGACCGAGCGAGCATAATCGACGAGGAAAAAAAATTAAGGACTTTTAAAAAGTCTATCCTTGGTAATATATAGTAAGCTGTTATTCTTGGGTATGTTGTCCGAAATGGTAACAGAAATGGCACGGTAATCGTCGCATCCCCAACAGGTGAACAGTTGTAGATTGGCACTTCTAAGTCGCCTCTCCTTTAGCTGGCCGTTCCAAAATTCAAATTGACGACGTCGATGATTTTTGACCTAAAGACGTTATCTAAGCCGGAAGGAAAGCATTACCATGTATTATGTTTAGGTTTCGAAGAACCTCCTTTACACCACATTTTCCTTAACTTGTTCTTTTAAGTATCCATATTAAAAGAATAAGAGATTTCAACCTTACCAGCTCGGAATTTCGTCTAAGACTTCGGCGTCGTTTTTCCATGGCTGCCTTTTTTATTTGACTAGCTGGTTCATCTGCCACCTCGCTCAACACTGTAACATTCTTCTCCAAGCTGATTAACTCGCCAGTTGAATTTTCTTTTATAAGCTTGTGTTGAGTCAGAGAACTGATTCTTCGTCCACTTCTTTTTCCTCCTATAAACAGGCCATAAATTGAAATCAGCCCCTTTTCATAAACATTCAACTGCGCCTCCTTATATCTATTTTTTTTTTGTGGATCCTCAGCCCATCTCGAAGAACTTTGCTGTTTTGCATGCCGTTTCCTGCTTTACTGCAATTGCTATTTCTCCAAATCGTCCACTGAAGTTTGCTGCGATATATTGTTTGTAACTATGTTAATTAAACTTTTATATTGTGTAAATTTTAATTTCATTTTAAATGTTACATTCAATTAATTATTGTATGTGTGTATTTTTGAAATTTATTTGTATATATTTCTTTCTGTATTACAGAGGGCCATATGTTAGAAAACTCTTTACTGGGTTAATCATGTATCTACCCCTTCAAAATAAAGAACATTGTATTGTATTGTATTGTAGCTTTTCTTTCTCATTTAATACTGCTTAGATAAATTCCTTGCCTTATAAATGCGCACTACCAAGAGATCATAAAATTATGGCTTTTGGCACTACTTATAAAATCTATTGGGCGCGCTCACAAGGACCAAAAACCTTGGGTGCTTGAACGACTATAGGCAAAGTGATCTAGCAATTAGGGACGTCCGGTGGAAACGTTAAACAGGTTAAACGGTAAAAAGAACATGTTTTTAAAACATTTTGTAGATGTCAGGCGCTTAGAATATCTGTGATGAGAGACTTATGCAATGCAATACAGACCGGGTGGTTAGAAGTAAAGGATCCGTAAAACAATCTCGGAACCTACCCACCTACCACTCCCCAAATTCGTCGCTAACACTTAATTTTTACTTCGATCAAAATGTTGGATTAAGGGAGGGTACTTGGGTAGTTCCCTAGAATCAAGAAAAGAGTAGCCTCAGATATTCTTTCACCCGACTAAACATGGTGTTTGTAATTTCCTTGTTATTTGCGCTCGCTACAATCAAAAATGCATCGTAAAGTAAACTTTCTCCCCATAAAAATTGATTCAATTGCTGAAAAGCTCTTTTAACTTTAAAAAGTTTAAAAGATGTGTATATTTGCCTACCTGTAATGATATCTTCATCGACAATTGAATCACGTTTGATTGTATCTAAAAACGAGCCGACACTCCCCCCCCAGACCCTGTTGGGCCTATATGAAATATGAGGCAAAGCGTTCCCTTTGTTACGAATCGGAGGTAACACCTTGATTTCCTTCACTTTCTGGATGACTGTGTCGTCTTTTTCGCATGGATCAATGTCTACGGTGCTTTTCACGGCCTCTTTAAAAGTGCCCGTCCTCGTTTCGGTAGACGTTTTACCGTCGTTTCGGTTTTCTATTTTCTCGGCTCCCCTTCCGTTTTCGTTTTCTTTAGACTTCAAACTACCAAAAAGCAAAGTTTTGCTACAAGAACATCCGTTTCCCATTTAGTGTGTACGGTTGTGGTTGCAAATTTTATCCACAGTGGTCGAAAAATATTTTGGCGTTTCATCCCGCTCAAGGAAGAGCTATTATGACGCAATAAATATTAAACTTAAGCTATTATTTTTTGCGCACGCGCTTAACTTGACAAGAAACGTAAAAGAGACGCGCGCACAAAGGCTTGGGGGATTATTTCACCTGGGCCGAGTTGTTCAAAGCTGGGTTAAGATAACCCAGGGTTAGTGCGAGATTTGAATTCAGATTTGAAAGCTCAAAAAGCATTCCAGTTTTAATTCTTTTTGTCTACAAGTTGATGATTGGAAGTTCTAAAAATTACAGAGAAAATTATCCGAGAAAACGGTTTTGAACATAAGAAAAAGAAACCCGGGTTACATTTAACCCCGGGTTAACGGGTAATCGGCCTTCGAACAACTGGGCCCAGGTGAAAATTCACTAAGTTAATTTTTTTTTTCTAGGGATTCATATTTGTCTCAGTATCTGTCATTTTCACTACTGTGCTGAAGAGAAATTTTATTATCATTACATCTAGCTGATTTACATTGGCATAATTCAATTCTTGCTACAATAGTGACTTGTCTTGTTTGTATTTATTCTCGAACACCTGGTGTCCTTTGTGTTTTTAAGGATGTTTTTGTGCAAAAATTCCAGACAGTGCCTTTGTTCACGGTGTTACACTGACAACCGAAAGCCCCAAGACCAGAAAAAAAAAGTCGACGAAAATCACAAAACCGAAATAAAATGGATGATAACTGAAAAGAATTAAGGACAGATTCACGTCTCCCTGCTATCAAGTTTCCAAAAGAATTCATAGAAGTCCGGCCCTGCAGCCGGAGAATGTACTGACCAACACAAGCAAAACCGGAAACAAATTCAACAAATATGAAAATGCGAAAAGACACTTTTTTTTTACAAGAACCGAGAACCGAACATTCACAAAAGGAAAGATCGACAACCGCTTTTAAAGGACAAACCGTGTATAAACCTAAGAACTGCAAATTTAAAGACGAAAAACCCATTTCAAAAATTGTTTTAAAACTTAGAACTAAAAACCCCAATGCCTTCGCTTAAAGAGGGAGACATGTTGTTCTTTCTAAAACAAGTCGCAGAATGGGCTTTCAAGAGCACAAATAAATTTGACGTTGTACAAATCTATCATTATATTTAGCAACAAAAAATGATTATCCTCTCTTAAGGTGAACTGACAAGAATTGCAAAAACCGCAGTCTTGCTTACAGTAAGTGATCATAGATTAGAAAAATGCGTTTAGTTGATTTCAACTGTATTTTAATAGTCATAATACTCTGGAATCTTCAGTCCGAGAATATCAGACATGAGACCCCAATGGTTAAATAATACAAAGTTTTCAAAAAAATATATATCTAAAATAACGTTTATTTTGTTTTGAACTTTCCTTAAATTCCCCTGAATAACGGTTAATTCAAAAGCGAAATTTTAAATTCAATAACGGCAATTCAACGAAATTTGCCAAGCAGTAAAGCGGTTATATACACATATACGAAAAAATTAACACTGTTTCAGCTGAATGATAATGTTGATGATAACTCAGTGCTACCCGTAACTGGTACAGAATGGATATAGCATACCAGTCGATTAAGTCACTTATCAGTCTATATACTATGACGATGTAATGTACCTGGCAACCGTACGAACTGTTTAATGTCCATGGCATGGTTTTGCTGCTGTAATATCACATCGTTGTTAGGATTCTCCTTGTTAACAAGTTCCAGATTTTGTTGACCTTGTTCTCTTCGTTCTTGTCCAGCTTCAATTCTGACCCTCGCTCCAAAAAAATCGCGACTCAATCTCTTCCGCTTCAGTAATGTTCACAGTTCTATAAATTAATTCGATGAACGCTACGCGAAATTGTCTCATTCTAACTGAATAAATGAGCGGATTGAATAGGGAATTCAGCAGGGTTATTGAAATTCCAAAACATACAAGGATATGCCTAGTTTCGACAGTTGCATCAAATCCATACCTCACTACAGCAGTTAACGCAAACGGAAAGATAAAACAAAAAAGTAAAGCTGCAAGGATCATAGAAGTTAGCTTTAGAGCTTTTTTATCTCTTAGTAATTGCTGACTTGCTTCTTGTGTAACTTGCTGAGCTGCAATTTGCTGTTCGCTTCGGCGGATTTCACGGTAAACTTTAACATGGCAAATGGCATTGAAGACAACAGATAAAACAAATAAAAAAAAGATTATGGCAAAAAATATATTCTTCTCAACGAGTATATATAGAATTAGACTAATTACAGAGAAGAGCCATGCCAAGATTGAAGCCGCTAGCAAACGAGGTACAGTGACATAGCTAATGTGTAGGAATGGATGTAATATGGCTAGATAGCGCTCTCCTGCGATCAAAACGAGATGGGAATGCGTAGCAAGAAACAGTCCCGTGAGGACAATTCTGAAAACTAGAAGCAAACAGTATACATCCGGCTTGCCGCGCAACAACATTATAGCTATCGCGATAAAAGTTGGTTGAGCTAGGATACCAGCAATGAAATCCGTCGATGCCAACATCGCGAGTAAAATGTTTGACTTGTGGACTCTTAGTCGGGATTTCGTTTTAACGGCGATCATCACAAGCGCGTTTAAGGCAGCAGTGAAAGGAAACGTGATGATGTTGATGACAATGAAGAACATTAAACTCGCTTGAGCAAACGGCGAAGGATGTTCTAGTCTTTCGCCAACCATCGTATCCACCTCACAACCAGGCTAAGACGGCAGTTTCTGTACTGAGTAAACTTTTTTCTTTTTGATGGCAAAGGTTTGCCCGGTCAATAATACTGGCAATAAAATCTCGTGCGCGATCCTAAAAAGAGAGGGTTGCCTTCAATATAACCTTTGCAAACTGTCTGGCTGTTGTAAATAACCGATAGTTCTAATGAGGATGTGTACATAAAAAACTACGTTTTCTTGAGAAGAGGCGAAAAAGAACTATAAACGGTAGATAATTAGCTGTGACTGTTATAGATTGACGGAAATTAGATAGCGACTGTCTATTCATCGCAATTGTGCAAAAGTGGCAACTTCTTTCAATCGAACGGAAAGAGCTTCCCCCAAAAGTCCTCAGTTGAACTTACAGGATGAACCCGTAACAATTAACTTACGTATTTAGAACGAGCCTCGTAAGATTTGCCCTAAATTAATTAGAAGATCATCTAGTCTTGGAAAAAAGTATGAAAGTTTTGGGCTCTCGAGAAAAGCTTTTTCCATGAATGTTCCTGTGGTGTGTTTTTTCTTCAAACTTGTTACATGAATTGCACCAAGGCGGTTTGAGAAAAAAATACAAAACAAAACAAAAAAAACATCTGTCTATTATTTGGGCCGCAGAGTTTACACTTTTGTGCAACTGATAGGTAAACGCCTTTAAAGGGTCTAATTTCCGATGATTTTACGATGACCAACTACATGAGCTTAACTTTAAGGCAGTCCCTTTCTTTCACTTTTCCGTCCCACGCACACGAGTCACACATTATACGGAAGGAAAATCTTCTTTAATGAGTAAACATTTTAAAATAGGAAACAGTATTGAGAAAACAAATCAGTGAAACATTCAGCGTTCGAACTAACCAGTAGGCGTAAAGGGCTGAAGATTGTGTAAAAAGACCTCACAATTCGTTTTTAAGCTGATTGGTTGAGATATTTTTATTTTTTCAAAATGCATTATCTTTTGTTTGTTTCTTGTAAAGTAACGTAGTTGTAATGCGCAGCTGATCATTCTCATGTTAAGCTGAGCACAATAAGTTCATAAATTATTATTATTATTATTATTATTATTATTATTATTATTATTATAGCGTGAGATTTTTTTAACCAATCGGACAGCTTAGTGATGCAAAACCAGCAATGTCGCACTGAAAAAACCAATCCCAAAACGCCTCTTATGCAGTCTAAACTGTTTAGCGTCACCAACGAATCAAAAAATGGGGAGCTTGGCAACGACGACGGCGACAGGTACGAAAACGTCACTTAAAAAATGAAATTGCGCTGCCTCAAACTTTATCGCTCTTATTCTACCTCGTTTAATTCGTCAAATGTTGGCAAATTTGTTTGGAATTGAATTCTAAAGGACTGTATCAAAGTTCAGGAAAAGAGAAGGAAAGTTGTTGTCTTGTGTTCCCGTCAGCTCGACAAACCGTGAAATTAGGCATTTTCACGTCGTAGTCGTGCAGTGACGGCAAAGAAATGTACAAAAAAGCGTGATGCACGTGCAGAGTTGTTGTTTTGCAAATCTAAATCAATTGCTTTTTTGCCGTTCTCGCTGACGTCGCCGTCGTCGTTCCTTCAGCTCCCTATCAGTGTCACGTGACAGTGTAACCACGGTGATATCTCAAACTGTCAGTATAACAGTACAGAAACTTGCTCGTGGCTTAGTATTAATTATAAAAACCAAGTCTTTTAAGGCATTCTTTCTCATTGACCTTGGGGACTTTCATTAACTGAAACATCACAAATCTGTAAAACGTTCGGTTTTAGAACTGAATCTCAGCCTTGCTTCTCTCTTGGTGCCTTTCATAGTAATCCGCCCTAGTCATACACCTGACCTCGCCGAGTTCTTTCACTAACTCGTCTACGACAAGTCTAAAAATTTCACGCTAGCTGTTTCATCGCTGGCTTGATCTTCTTTAAGAGCCCCTCAGATTACAAACAAGGCTCCTCAGGTACCATCTTTCTCTGTTACAAACAAGGCTCCTCAGGTACCATCTTTCTCTGTTACAAACAAGGCTCCTCAGGTACCATCTTTCTCTGTTACAAACAAGGCTCTTCAGGTACCATCTTTCTCTGTGACTTCATAGACCTCTTTCATTAACTCGTCCACTGCAAATCTGTAAAACTTTCGGTTTACTCGTCTGACACTTTCTAATTCCTCCTCCAGTTCCGTACGAGATAGCTTTCGCTTCTCTTCTAGTCCAGCATCGTGTCCGTCAAACTTGGCGACCTAACATGAAAACAATTCGGTAAGTACATCATCTCATTAAGTGACCATGTCAAGTTTGTTAAAAACCTGGTGATTACTAGAGCTTGTCGCTTAGGAGAGTAAGTTTGAAGGCAGAGGTTTGATGATTGTTTCCCTTATTTCTTACCCGAGCCTCTGTATGGGTGCTTGCGGACGTCGATTTCGTCGCACGTTTTCCATCAAATAATCGATTTTTCAGGTACAATTGTCGCATATCAAGAATTGTTTTGCGTGGTAACGCTACCAGCGAGCTCAGCGCAACCACAATCATGACCGAAACGAGAAAATAAAAATGCAGCAGGTTTAAAACTCTGAACGCGCAGTACAATTTCAGGCAGATGTCATTGCAAGACTAACGTTGTTTAGCTTGATTGGAAAGACCATCAGCTGGACCATGCAATCGTCGCTTTAATCTCTAAGATCATCGCTTCATCAATAGCGATCATCGCCGCTTCGGTTTCGTCGGAAATAGCCATACGAGGCTCTGTATTTAACTTACAGAGAAAATATAACGCAGCTTAAGATCAAAGGCACTTACATCATTGAGAATTTGTCGCACCATCACATCACGCTTGTCCTCGAAATTTTCTAGATTGTTTCCCTGACAATCAAAAAAAAAAAACTGCATCGGTTATCTAACACACAGATTAAAGATAATAATGCTTAGGATCAGAAAAAAATGAAAAAATTGCAAATTTTGGTTGGTAAGCTATTCGAAAATTTTCAGCACGGTAAAAGAGATATCCGTACCGTGATCTTTCTTATGTTTTATGGTGGCAGCACGGTTATACGAGAGGATTTCATCCTCAGACTCAAAATTTAGAACCTTCTGCTTACAAAAGCTTTAAAATACTGTGCAGAGCTCAGAAACTTTCATTTGAATGGTCACAGGCTCGCTCATTAAAACCACCTTGTACCACGCTGAGTCCAAATTGAGATTTCCTAGTTACCATTATCATACCTCAGCGAACAATTTCCCCCTAAGGACCATGGGAATGCCATCTGAGTGAGATTCGCCGCCATCAGTTGAACTTGAAAGACCCGTCAACTGACGATCACGTGACTGTACTGGTACATGCATGTGTCTTTTAAAAGGCTGTATCGGAGATAGGGAAGACTTTGTAGGGGCACTGTCAAGATAGAGGGGCCTGGGGACGATACAAGCGTTTGTCACCCCGCCTGCAAAGAAACATGGTAGCCGGCTTGGTTGTTGAAGGCTGCCAAAGCTAGGCTTTTGTACATTATGCTAGCATTTTTTCGAGCATTTTAGTGAGGCAAAAGCATTGAGCATTATTCGAGCATTTTAGTGGCATTTTCCCCGGAAAATTAATTTTTTCCGAGAAAATAAAATAGAAATTAACTTTTTTCAGGAGCCCATGCCCCATGAGCTCCTGCTTTTTTAAAGAAAATGAAGACTACAACTCAAAATTCACAAAAAACCTTATAAAGCTCTTTCTTTTGGTTGTATTTATGAACTTGTACACGTTGTCGTTGTTACTCGCAACACTTGCACGTTTTTGTAAGTGTAAACTTTAAAATTAATTTTAAAAACCGTTTGTATAATGAGCATTATCCAAGCATTTTAGTGACTTTTTTGGGGAGACCGAGCATTTTAGTGGGAAAAATGGAGCATTAAGGTGGAGCATTTTAGTGGGGAAGCAAAAGCATAATGTACAAAAGCCTAACCAAAGCTTATATATTATAGAGAGCAGAAGTCAGTTCATCACGTTGCCATGGCAGTAAAATTTCTGAGTGACAACAAACGGAAAACGTCACTTAAAAAGTGAATTCGCACTGTTTTATCGATCCTATTCAATTTCATTTAATTTGTCAGATTTTGGCAAAATTTTCCGGGGTTGAGTCTGAAGGGACCGTCTCTAAGGTAACAAAAAGAAATAGAAATTTTTGTGTTGTGTTCACCTAATCCATAAAGCGGGCGAGTTAAATTAGGCAGTTTTCCACGGGACAATTTGCAACGACGATTTTTAGCGCAAAACAGCGTTGCAACATTGTTTCAAATGATTGCAACACTGTTCCAACATAGCAAAACTGTGTTGCGCTAAAAATCGTCGTTGCGAATCGTTTTGTGTAACGTCACCTTAAGCTCACTATTGTTGTGATCCAGAAATTTTGTTACCATGGTAACGTGACGTCACACTTCTCCTCTCCATCACATGATATTGTCGCTGCTTGCTGAAGTGTGTGAAAGGGTAGGGAAATCTGTCATTTTGGTGTGTTAAAAGGCCAACAGGACTGACAGATGCATTTTATGGCAGTGAAAAAGTCGAGAAAACGCTCTTGTTTGAGGTTTATTTTTCAGCATTTAAAAGCGATGTGAATTTCTAAACTAGGTATGTCCAAAGGATACCATTATTTTGTCAATAGAAGGTATATGAAAGGAGTACCATTTCTGGCAAAAATGTGTATAAAAATATAAGAGGTTGGACCTTGGGGCGGGGCCTCCCATAAAAAACTTTGTTGGATACCTCCCCTCCCCTGGGGAGTCAGTAACACTGGAAGATAAATTTAGTCAAACCAGTGTAATAACTTTTTTGCCGAGGGGTGTAGTTGCTATAGGTATTGTTGATGTGTCTGTAATAGTGAGGTGTCCGCAAAGCAAGAACTGACTGGAGTCCAAACAAAAGGTTCATATTACCTCTGTGATTCAGCACCCTCAGACATTGTCTGCTGTAAACGTGCCAAACACGCGCAGTTTGATCTTCAGAGCCTGACAAGAGAAGAGAGCCATCCATGCTGACGGCTACACTGTTCACTTGTTTACTAGCAGAGAGGAACAAAATCAGTCAATACTGATTTATGTAACAGTGAAACCTTGATCTACATGCTAAGAGACTTTAAAATGTGTTGGTTATATCTGGGGCTTGTCCCCATACATTTTACTTCAATAATTTGGTGAAAAAAGTCATTATTTTGGAGTCTTTGTTATAAAAGGGTTGTGTGAGTGAGTTAAAAGTATCATTGATGATGACATATTTTTAAAAAAAAGTACCCTGGGAGAAAGAATGAGTTCCATGCCGATGGTTACTAAAAATGGCAGAGGTGGCTATGTTTCTTTTGCACTGGAAAGTGGTTCATCCTTTTGATCACTATGTCAACCAACTGAAAAGTGTGAACATTTGGCAGAAGATAAGATCTAAATTAACCCGTCATTAAAGAAAAATTAAATACCTGTGACCAGTGAAGATTAGTGATTCTTCTTTTTCCATGTGAATATTATTCTTCATACCCTGAAAATCACATCAAAGATGGCGCATTATAAAAAAGATTATAGTATTATTAAAATGTTTCTTCCATATAAGAGAGATAGAGGTGATTGTTAGAAATTAAAAAAAAACCTGAAAGTTATCTAGATCTTATCATATTTTGCCAGAGTGTATAGGTCCTCAGTTACAATTAAAGCTTAATTTGCATCCTTTAATCAGTGAAAAATGAAAGGGAAAAAAGAATAAGGGGTCACTTTGATAAATAAAATAACAGTTGCTATAATGATTTAATTTCCTTAATGGTACTTCACTGAGCATCTGTAACTGGTAAGGGAAGTATAGATATGCAGCTCCTCTGTTCATACAGCTACAGAAAAACTAAAAACACTACAGCTTTATATTGATCCCTGGATCAATCCAGGTTCCTGGGAAACTGCCCACCTACCCAACCCTAAGCCAACATTTTGCCCCAAGTGAGAGGTAAGTGATAATGTTGGCTTAGGGGAAGGGTAGGTGGCAGTTTCCCAGAAACCTATATTGATCCCTGCTTTAACCTAGGGTTCATACCCGTCTGGAAAGTTCTACTTGGTAAATGTGCCCATTGGTACATCCTGCAAACAAACTCTGTTCTGAGGTATCCATGGTTACAGCAGTGACTCCAACATTAAAAATGAATGAACACAAGAGCTCCCCAGAACTCAGGTCATACAACTACAAAGGAAAACAATATATAAACTGAGGACTTTAAATGTTACATGTATGCCACTCTCTTATACATAACTAAGTGTCTCAATCCAAACATCTGCTGGATAAAGTGAACCTGGATAATATTTTTTTGCCATTTATTCACACAAATTTCAGTTTTCCTGATTCATGCTACAGTTTCTACAATCACCCTTCCACACACACTTCTCTCACCATTTTGATCATATACGTCAGACTGACACAAGAGATTACCATTATAAGTTACAATAAAAGTGTCCAAGAATTTCATAAGTCAGACTTTCAAAACTATTAGTGCTGTTGTTTGTGGTACTTAATTTTAGGTTTGAGGCAGCTCTAATGTTTCATGGAATTATAAAGAGACATACAATGGACAATATGGAGTCACTGCCACGAGGAAAAGATGGAGTCTCCTGTGTTTCCTCTCCCCTCGAGTTCATTTCTATCATTTCCCAGTGTATTTTTCTAGCAATATTGCTGTGCATTAGCAATTAATAAAATTTTAAGCTTTGATGTGAAACTTTACCTTACATGTTTGATCAAGAGAAGAGGTGATCACATGACCTCTCATACCACCACAGCCACAGTGAATATCGGTAACTGGGAGGGCGTGGTCAGACCAAGTATAATAAGGACTCAAGGCTGATTCAAATGCTCCTGTAGCACTTGACGCAAGTGACAAAATCCTAAAGAAACAAATACCAAAACCCACACCATTATTGGTGGGGATAAGACTGTGGCAAGTGAGAGATACAATAAGTATGAGATAAGTGGGAGATACAATAAGCATTATTATTCTAGTTGATGTAAGTTGGAGTCTGCAAAAAAACTTCCATACTTTTCATCTGATAGACATACTTTAATATGGAGTGATAGCAACTGAGATTAAACTAAACATGGTTAAGTATACCTTGCCATTTTCCACACCAACACCAAGTTATCTTCCCCGGATGACAAGAAGTGAGAGCCATCATCAGTGAATTTCAGACAAGAGACACGTTGATAATGACGTGACAAAATTACTAACAAATTACCACTTGCTACCTTTAGGGAAAGAGAAAAACAACAGGAATTAACTTTATGTTGATGGAGGAAGAATAGTTTCTCATCAACATGGACACAAATATAATCCCTAGAAAACTGAAAATTATCTTGGATGGTTATTGTACAAGAATACATAGAGCAGCCCTAAGTAATTGTCTGAGGAAAGACAGCAAAACAAATAAGAAATGGGGATAATCCAATGATATCCTTGACCAGAAGAGACCTTAGACTTCACTTCTGGTCTTGTTTTGGAACCCACATCAGAGTAAAAAATCTTGGCTAGACCAGCAATTGCCTTAGTTTATGTTTCAAGTTTCAAGCAGGCTACTGGCCTGCAGAGAGAGGCCAGCTCTCTCCAGTCATGGAGCAGCATAAGGAAGGGGAAAGACTCAATAAATTTACAGTAGTGGCAGTTTACATGTCAATACATATCTTGTCCTGCTATTGACACAATTCTCTCAACATACACCATGTGGAATCTATAGCAATACCTAGGAGAAACTTATATTTTGGTGAGGGATGACCATCAGAAGTACCTGCCAGACATAAATCTTTTCTCCACAAGCTGCCACACAGTAAGTGCCATCAGGGGAACACGTCACAGATGTTACTTTTCCGGGACAAATAAGTCTGGTCTGAACTGACTCCTATGAACAAACAAACAGGAATGTGATTTCTGAAACTCTAGCCAATGTAGACACTTCTGACTTATGGGTGGTTTTGAAATTGCCTTGTACCCGAGTCATTTAATGACCTAAGGTCTTAATTAAGATAGAGTTACAGGGGTTGATATGATCCATGATCAAGGTTTTGCTGATTCCTACTAGTTAACAGGTTCATGAGTGACCATTCAACAAACTGCTAAAATCATCATCATCATCATCATTCATTTATAGGACATACACTGTACGTGAGAACACCCCTAGCCTCTCTTATGATATCAACATACAGCACACAAAACAAGGACTACGTAGGACTGCTACAAACTGTTTATTTATTGCATTTAAGAAGTTGAATATATATTTTCAGCGTGGGCTGCCTGGGAAGTATAGATATCACTGAATTTTCATATTTGTTTACCTTCGCAGTATTCCACACGTGGATTATGGGTTTATTAACCTGTGAGGCCATGATATAATCTTTACCAAGCAGGCAGACGCACCGCGAAGGACAGCATCCTCCTTTGTAAACTTTTAGCTGCATGCCCGTGGCCAAATCCCATAGAGATATACAGAAAGTATCTCCAACAGCATCTGTGGTCAGTGCAACCTCGAAATCCGCCATTTTAAATACGAGCCGTCGGTATTTTCGTTCAATTTTTTTCAGCGGTAAATTTCATCCCCAGATCCTCCACGGTGCGATAGCCGAACAGCTGCACGACAGCTGAAACAGGTCATGAGAAATAAGAACAAGAGTTTAACAGGTGGTCCACGTCTTTTCTAAATCAAGAGAAGAGGTAGATCTAGTTAACTGTAACCAGATAGTTATAGAGTTTGCAGGAATTAGAATCTTGGAAGTAACTCAAGAATAGACTGTATGACAGAAAAAAACCCATTGACTGATATTTCCTGTCAATTTGGGTGCCCTGTGGCAGAAACTTATGAGGAACATGGCGTCTGTTGAACTCTCACAGTTGTACGTTCCCGCGGCGAATTATTGCCTGCAGATGATGAACTCACTTAACGAGTTCCGGAAACACAACATACTATGTGAAGTGGTAATTGTCGTGAATGGAAAACAGTTTTATGCTCACCGGAACGTTCTAGCAGCGAGTAGTCCTTATTTCCGTGCGATGTTTTCGAGTAACATGAAGGAACACTTGGAGAATAAACCTGTAATCTTGGAGAACATAACAGCGGAAATTATGGAAGAATTGTTAAACTTTATTTATACAGGAAACATCAAGATTACTCCTTTCAACGTGAAGGACTTTGTTTCCGCTTCGAATTACCTCCTAATGACCAGTTTGAAAGAAACCTGTGTTTCATTTATGAAATCTATGCTAAACCCCTCTAATTGTCTTGGAATAGAAGCTGCTGCTTTTAAATTTGATTGTTCGGCTCTTAAAAACACGGCCAATCGATATGTCTACGACAATTTTGTCGCTGTGTCGCAAACAGATGAGTTTAAATTGTTGTCTGCCGAACGTTTGATGGAGTGCTTGGCTAGTGATGACATAAGGGTTGAACGAGAAGAGCAGGTATTTGAGGCGCTTATGGAGTGGATGAATTATGACGTGGAAGCACGGCGTGGCTATCTCAAACAACTTGCACAACACATCCGCTTCCCTCTTATGTCGCCTTATTATCTTGCAGACCATGTTGAAACTGAAGACATTGTTCTTTCATCTCCAGAATGTACATCACTTTTACTCGAAGCAAAGAATTACCACATGTTGCCCGATCGAAGGCACTTGATCAAAGGTTCTAGAACGAAGCCTAGGCGATCAATGGGTGTGATCTCAGTTATATTTGCTGCTGGAGGTATTCAGGGGTCCTCGGTCACCAGAGATGCTTATGGATTCTTTCCCACTGTAAACAGGTGGAGCCCATTAGCAAGCATGTTGATAGCAAGGTGTCGTCATGGGTTAGCAGTCACTGGTGACATGGTGTATGCAGTTGGTGGGCAGTCAAGAGAGGGTAGGCATTAAAACCTTTTCCTGAAGTAGTCCAGGGGTTGGGAAAAAACTTGAATTCCAGCTTATGCTTGAGGCAAGCAACTCTCACATTTTGCTGCCCTGGGGCATTGCCTATTGGTCTTTTGTTTGAGTGTCAATGTGGCATGCAAGTACTACATTGACACTCAAACAAAAGACCAATGTCTCATGTCTTATGTCTCACACTTGGAGACAGAACCACCATTTCTATGTGGTCATTTGATCCATCCCAAGGTCTAGCGTTTTGTAGGGCAAAGGCAGTACTTCTTCCTCTGTTATTGTTAGAGCCTCAGTATCACTCTGGTGCCAGGAGTCAAACCTGTGACCTCCTGGTCCACAGGCCAGTGCTCTAACATCTGAGATAGCCTTGCTCTTGAGTTGATGATTTACCTGCATGACTTGGCTGAACACCTTGCAAGTCAGCTTTAAAAGTTACTTGCCCGGCAAGAAAATCTACCAGTCACTTAAAAGTGGTGCCTCAGAACCCATATTCATAGATTAGGTTAGGTACATACTCTTTGATAAATGACCCAAGTTTATCTTCTTCCAGGAGCAGCCCAGAGTTCATTGGTTTCGGTGGAGAGGTATGACCCCAGAACTAACACATGGACAATGGTCGCACCAATGAATGTTAGACGCAGCTTGCTTAATGTTGCAGTTCTTGATGGTGAGAAAATTTTCATATGGACATTTACACTTTCTGAGTAGAGTATATTGATTTTAAATTAACATTAAGTTCCTTTTCATGCTGCTTTGCGGAAGTTCCTGCTTTAGCTTTTTTCATGTTACATTTGAATCCTATTTTCTTGTGATGTTAAAAAAAAATGTGAAAACTGGATCAAGTGCTTGGTCCCCACCTGCTTTTTTTTAAGAGCCAAAATGAATTAACTGATATAGTTGTATGCTCTAAAACCCTTTGAGTCCCAATATCCACAAACAAATTCTCTATACTGATCTCTATACATTTCTTTGAAAACTAGTTGAGAGAATTTCTTTAAAGATCAACATTAAAGTTGTTAGGAGAAAATTGATATTGGCCTCGTGTGGGACTTAAAGGGGTTAAAAGGATCCTCCCAGTTTACAGAGATGTTAAGACGTTTGTCACAGAGAAATGTCTTTCCAGCTGTGAGAGGTGTCTGCCTTTGGGTTCCAATTTACAGACATTTTAACAAGGTCATCATAGAAAGAGGTGTCTCAAACTGTGGAGATGTCTGCCTTTAGGAGATAACTGTCTGTCAAGAAAGAACTGGCTTAATCTATCTTTATTATTTCTACAGGAAATATGTATGCAGTGGGAGGATGCGATGAAAATAACTTCCGTTTAAACAGTGTTGAACGTTACAATCCTGCTACAAACACATGGACATTTACAGCACCCATGACCACTTGCCGCAGCAGCCCATGCGTGCTGACCTGTCGTGCACTGTATGTTATTGGTGGAGTTAGTTATGTTGGCATGTCACTCAATACTGGGGAATACCTTGACCTTGTGACAGGCACTTGGGTATCTATTGCACCAATGCGTGACAAGCGAGCTAGTGCTTCAGGAGCAGCTACAAATGGAAAAATTTATGTAATTGGTAGGCTACCAATCCAAGTTAACCCTTTAAGCCCCAGTATCCACATACAAATTCTCCAAACTGATCCCCATGGATTTTCTTAAGAATTACTTGAGAGAATTTGATGAAAGATCACGGCATTTCCCCATTGGTGATCATTTTATTAATTCTCATAACTTTATCTCTTGACAATGTATGGATATTATTAGGAGAAAATTGTTTTTGGTCACTATTGGCACTTAAAGGGTTAAATGCCTCTCCGTTAATTGTTTCTAAAAATGGTACTGTTGCCTCAGATAATCAAAGAACTATTAAAAATGGACCCCTTGTGGTGATGCCTGCTATGAATGGCTTAAATTAATGATTTGCCTGAAAGGAACAGCTTCCTCTCCCCCCACCCTCCCCTTCCCCCCATTTAAAAAGATCTGCATTCACAATTAAATGCAGTCATCCCATTATTTAGATCCCTTAGAGAAACTGGCAGAGATCGTGATTTCTAATACTGAGTGAGAGGTGGCAATAAATTGTGCTTGGTTAATTTATTATTATTTACATTAATCTGTCTTAGACAGGCAAGTGGGAACACAAACATGTTATGATACCTTTGAACCAACATCTCTTTGTGAACAGAATGTAGATTGAATGGTGGAGTCAAAATTGGAGGAACTTAACCAAAATATTTATTCATAACTGAAGTTCACGTAATTTTGCAAAGGTCATCACGTGTTTGTCTTCACTACAATAGAAAGGAGAAGTGTGATGTGATGTTTCCATGGTAGCAAAATTTTTGGATCACAACAATAGGGAGCTAAGACAACGACATCGACTATGACAAGACTGGTAAAAAGCAATAGGTATATTTTAACAAAACAACAACTTCACATGTGCATCATGCCTTTTTGTATATTTCTTAGCCATGGTTGCATGACTCCAACATGAAACTTCTTAATTTCATGCTTCCTCTTCATGAAGTATGTGAACACAAAAATGTTCTTTTCTTTTCTAAACTTAGATATGGTTCTTCTGGATTCAACCCCAGAAGAGTCTGCCAACATATGACAAATTAAATGAAATTAACTAAGATAGATGAAGTTTGAAACAGTGCAAATTCACTATTTAAGTAACGTTTTCGGTTTGTTGTCATCCAGAAATTTTGCTACCATGGCAACATGACGTAATGGCTCCTCTTCTCTATTACTATTAGAAACAATTCTTTCATGAGTTCTTTTTTCATATATTTGCTTCTAAGGGGGCTGGGATGGCTCAGTTCATCTGAACAGCGGTGAAGTGTATGAACCAGAGATTGATCAGTGGTCCTTTATTGCACCTGCAAGTACAGCAAGATGGGATGCTGGGATATCTGTAGAGAGTGACAAAATCTACATCGTCGGGGGATGTGACAGGAATGCACTTTGCACCTTGGAAACGGAGTGCTATGACCCTGAGAAAAACAAGTGGAGCAAGGTTGCTTCATTGCCAGTAGCAACACATGGCCTCAAGTGTTGTACCATTCAGCTGCCGCATAAGTTTTCTAAGTAGTCTTTAATGAGGCTCCCCAATCAGGGGTTTCAGTCCTGTCATCCTGCTGAAATTTCCCCTCATTCTCATAATCTTGACGGGAGTAACTGGATAATCCCAATCATGAACGTGTGATCTAAAAAGTGCCTCAAAGCGGTTCAACATTTCCTTACTTTATAGGAGTACCGTTGGCAGATGGTGGGGTAAAACACAATGGTACAGACAAATAGGCATGTGACAACTTTGGAAAAAATGTGGGCATTAAGTCAGAATATATCCAGTTTATAGATACAAACTGAACTCTCATTGGTCCTTTCCTTTAAAATCTTGAGTCCTATCCTGTGAAAAAGCCAAATCCTGGCTCCTGAAAAACTTATTGGAGGTCCTCTTTATTGGCCTCTACCTTCTGTCCTTACTCTTACATGTTAGGTTAACTTAAGTCTTCTAGTGCTTATACCGGTAATATTAGGAGCGTAATCAGCAGAAAATTCTTACCGAGACAATATCACAAAAAAAATATTATTTTTGTAGTGTTCCCCCTCCTATGGATAAATTTTCAACAAGACACACAAAGGAAACTTTAAATCTTTATTGAGACAGCTTTTCGTACTGGTTATGAGCCAGAACATTCACCTCTGAAGGCACAAGATGTTTTTGGAAATAATTGCATGACAATGAACAGCAAATTGACTGTCCTCAGCTCAAACTAGACTACCAGGGAGCTACGAGAAAAAGAACAATATCTGCATTTCTGGCAACAAATAAATTGTGAAAAGTCTTTTATTTTCTTTGCGTCAGCCAACGCTTAGCTGTTTTAATGCTTATTTTTACTTTGTTAGGGAGTAGTGTCTTATGTTAAGCTAACGTTGCTAAGTTTAACATGATTTTAGAATTAGAGGAACAAGTAAGAATTGTGCCAAAGTGATTTGGCAGCACATACCACTACTCACGTCAACAGTGCCGGAACATGTAATTTAAGTCTGGCCGTTTTTTGTTGCTGTTGTCGCTTGTCGAATTTTATCTTCTAACACAAGATTGATAGTTATTGGTAATTGGGCTTTGTGCTTTTTAACACTTTCTTCATTCAGAGGGGACAATGTATTTAGGTTACTAGGGACTTTTGTTGGAAACGCGACAGTCTTCAGTTTTAAAAAGTTGTTGTAACTTAAATTGTAATAAGGTATATGCCTATATTGTTTTATATTGTGTAATTAACGAGAGAAAGCAACTCGGTATTATTTATTTACTTTACTTATATAGGTCATATGTAAGATCTGAGTTATGACAATGGTTTTTTTTGGAAATTAACATATAAAATAAACGTTAAATTTTTGGAAATTACAAATTTGACAGGTGTACTTAAAGGGAACTTTAGAATCCTAAACTTGTATATAAATATCGCGTATTTTCCCTTTTCAAATGTTTTTTCAGGGAGCCATTTTACCTTGGGAACTTTGGGAAAGGAGTTGCAGTTTACGTCATAAGATGTACAATGCGAAATCGCAGCGCCATTAGAGATCCCATTCATGTACAATCACAGCATGACAGTATTAAATTTATCCCCTTTTCCTTTGAAAGGAAAAACGGAAGAAATTCAATGTAGTCGGGATCTGAGAGATGGTGAAAAGAACGATCAGAAGAGATATGCCTATGGCAAAAAACCGAAATGATTTCACAGCACCGAATATGTCAATTGAAAAACCACACAAAGCGGTCCCTATACCACACCCCACTCCAAGAAACAGACTGTTCACTCCACCTAAGAAACAAAACAAAATAAAAATGACATGCTTAGTAAGATGGTCAGAAGATTTGGAGACTGGAAGGCTGAAAGAAGATGATCTCCTTAGCATCCCTCTTTTAAGTCCGTCACTAGTCAGCCTCCCTCACCCCCACACCCATGGCTTGGAAAAATGTTCCGCCGTCCCTGTTACCCAGCATTTCCTAAGGGTAGACCGCTTAATACACTTTTAGTTAGGTTTGTCCTCTTTGGTTAATATCTGTAGAGACAGGATGAGACGTGTTTACACAGAAAATGGTTTCTCGCTTACCTTGCACCGTGTCCATCAGATTAGCTGGTGTGACCTCACCAAAGTAGCTGATGAGGCCTGTAAATCCTACTACATACGCTATGTAACCGATCGTCTCAAAGATAAGCATAAACCAAGGGTTCTTCATGAATGACATCCCTACAAACCAACTGACGAAAAGCAGCATAGAAAACAACACCACTCCAGCATAACCTGTCTTTTTTACGCACATTCCAATTGCACCCAGGAATAGCACACTCACAGCAGAGCAAGTCATTCTCGAGAAACCGAACACCAAGGTTGCGATGCTGACATCGAGAGTTTTAGTGTACCAAAAGCCAAATGTTAACACCACTCCGTCGAAACACCCAATTAAAAAGGTCACGGAGATGAAGATAAAGTTTTGATATTGAGAAAAGAATTCTGTTAGAGTCATTGGGGTTTCTTCTTCTTTTTGATTCCCTTTGCTGTCACGGGCTTGTACGGTTCCAAACTGCGTCACAGACACAAAAGCGCCAAAGGCCATCAACGCTATTACAACAAAAGCAATAGCAAAATTGTCTTGGTATTCTCCACAAAGCATGTAATGGAAATGAGTCACCAAGTAAGCAGTGACGGGAGCCGCAATTACGTGACCGATTGGCCCCCAGAGACGTATCTTGCCAAATTCCCGGCTGTTTTCACCTAAGAATTCAACAATCTCGGAATTTGCCAAGTTAAAGGCGGGAGACGATAGAAGTTCCCCTATAAACACGATGAAGATAAACATAATAAATATGTTTGTGATATCTTTAGGGCTTTTTTCAAGAACAAAGACTTCTTCTTTGTTTTTTTGTAACTGTCTTGGGATTTTCTTGGATCTTTGCTGCTGAAAGTCGTTCCGTAACTGATGGTTTCCATGGGATATAAGTTGCCTTGAATTGTAACTCTCTTCCTCTAATAATTCTCTAAAGTTGTTTAAATTTGTTTTTGTCCGTAGTTCACGGTGTTTTAGCACCTCGTTTTCCTTAAGTAGGTTCAAAGGTGAGAGGCCAATGATATCGTTTAGTTGCTGATACTTACTTGCCATGTCAGCTTCAAAAGCATTAACCTTGGTTTCCCGTCTATAACCTTTGTGTCGTTTGTAATCCGTGTGCCGCCGGATGCTTGCTCGACGTTCAAAGTCAGCGTTGGACACCGGCTTCCACTTTACGGTGCAGGTATCATGGGTTCTCCTTGGAAGCAAAGAAACTAAAGGCGTCACCATCGTCGATAAAATGCTCATCAAAAGTAATGCGCGTCGGATTCGAAATTTGTTGGCTAGTTTTCCAAAGAGAACAGCTCCAACGGAGTAAGCAAGACCCCAAAAAGCACGTAAAATTCCGATCTGTGTCGGAGACAGGCCAAGCTGCTGCCAGTAGACGGGCATGAAGAACATTTTAAAACTGAAACACGTCTCAAAAAACAAGTAAAAGAGGCTTAGAAAAATACAGTTCTTGTACTGTAGGTAGAATTTGGAGACAGGGTTGGTTTTTCCGGCCATATCCTGAGAAGAACTGCCCGCCATATTTTGATTTAATCGTTGTTTTTTATCTTACCCAAATATAGAACAGTGAACGTTCGGGACTCGGGGGATTTGCAACGGCAATGGAGAATATAAATATGAATGAGGCTTGCCCTTAGTGACGGACAATCCAGTGATAATGGTATGGATTTTATTCTCCGGCATCAGCTACAGGAACTGCTATGATCAGACCCGATCTTCTGTTGAAGCAACAGTACATGTATGCGTCAGTCAGTTGGTACTTATCAGAATGAAAGCGATCATAAGTGATAGAATAAAAAGGCGATGACAGTTTGCATTCATTTTTAATTCTGTTGAGTGAAATAAGGTGTTTCTCACACCTTTAATTTAAATTGCTGTTGATAGAGAAGTGTTGATTAGTGTTAAGCTACGGAGGTGGTCCACTATTCAGTTCCTGAAATACAACAACAATAACACTATACTTATTTTCAACCCAAAGCAATTTTAAGTCAATTTACAAAAGAATAAACTTAATTAATTAATCAAAGATTACCGCCAAACAATTAAGGCAACTCTTTTAAAACAATCGTACAATAGGACACCGATAAAAACAGACTTTAAGACAGAATCCACCTGGAAATTTAGTAATTTTAATTTTCAGTGGACAAACACCTTGTACCAGAATAATTTAAACAATGTCACAGTCTTTTTCACACTTTTCAAGGGCTATAGATGTAATTAGTTATCTGTAGTAACATCAAAGATAATTTCATATGGGGAGGCCGTGAAAATAAATGTCCAAGTTCACAAGAATTGTTTAAACATAGGTAAAATTCTGAAAATTACACGCGTAAGATGTCATTTTGCGAACATTGAAAATTAATTTTCTCGGCATCCCATGAGATATTTTCTTTGGTGTTATTACAGACAACTAATTACATCTATAGTTCTAGAAAAATGTAAAAAAGAATGGAATATGCTTTAAATTATTCTGGTACAAGGTTTTTGTCCACTGAAAATTAATGGATTTCATCTTAAAATCTGCCTAAAGGAGCCACCCATGTGGTGTATGGGGAAGTGTTTTCTTACGAGGATAAAGAGCTTTACAGATAAAGCAAAAAACAGTGCATTAATCTGCTTCAAATTAAGAGATCTTGATTATTCTTAAATGCTTTAAGGCACGAGCGTGTTAACTAATCACTCGATACTACTTACTTTTACTTGGCTTCTCGCAAAGTACTAAGAGTGCGTATTGACAGATTATCAAGCTGGCTTTAAAAGCAGCAAAAATATTAGCCTCAAATATGTGATCTTCTCCTTGACGTGAAATAAAGTAGCGACGTTCGAATTGACCGACACCTGCTCTGATTTCTTGCAACTCAGTTTTCAATATCTCGGGCGCTTATTGGTCGAGAGCTATCGTCTGTGATTGAAACTAGAGACGATAGACAATGGAATTCATTCATTCATTCATTCATTTATTCATTCATTTATTCATTTATTCATTCATTCATTTATGCACGGGAAATCATTAGTTTAAAAAGTACATACTTTAGCCTGTGTAGCTGGCAAGATTAGCGGGAGTGCTGTCAGGGGCACCCAACGACAATTTTCGGAAAATATCTGTTCGGAAGACGATTCAAGATCTAGAATTTTTGGAACATTATTTTGCTGTAAAATTTCTTGCTTGCCTGCCTCTCCTAGGATTTTCGAACATCTAAAAAATGGTATAATTGCCCATTTTTAACGGATTTTTACCCTAAAAAGGTCACCTAGAACTTTCGGGAGCCTTTTTTCTGGCTGGAATTTTCGAAAATGTAAGTTTTGATCCCCATAATTTTCGGATCACTAGACTTTCAGCTAGGAAATCCGAACAGATGAAAAATTTTTAGGGGATAGAAATATGCCTATATCCACCGTTTAAATACTAAAATACGTTAAACAATGCTATGTTTAAGTGGTTTTGAACTATATTCTCGTTGGGTGCCCCTGTGCTGTACATGTAGTTTTTAATTTGGTGGCAGAGCCTTGTGAAGATTGTGCCCGAACCCCGGGCACAAGAATATCTTAAATATCTTGGTGTGTTGGTTGATAAAAACCTTACTTGGAAATATCACATTGATGCCATTGCAGCAAAAATCAGTAAAACTATTGGACTAATTTCAAAACTCCATACCTCGTCAAATACTATTAAAACTGATCATACAACGTCGTAGACGCTAGCAGAGTGCTTTTACGTCAAACTATGTTAATATTTAACCTTCCTGGGAAAAAAATACCCGCTCTTCACTGCTAGCTAGCAAGGCTTTCAGAAAATAAAAATCCCAGCCAGCAATCATGTTTGATGGTTTTTTGCCAGTCAGCACAGGTTAAAAAAACTAAAAATTACGCAATCCCAGCCAGTGTGAAAAGGAACTTTGGAGATTGCCAGCCAGCGGTAGCATAGCTAATGCAAGTTATTAGCCAGCAAGCGAAGTTTCTTAACACATTGCCAAGAAAAATATATATGTTGGGCAAGATCTGTTTTACGTCAAATTTACATTAAAAGAAAAGCGTATTTAACCTGTTTCACCCCTTATCTAACTTTCGGGTTTTTTTAGATACAGGGAAAATCAGTTTTTTTAGTATATATTATTCCTTAATCCCAAGTATTACATGATAATAGTATAACAAATAAAGACATTCAGCGGTACTTACAGTTTTGGAATGTGGAATTGAGGAGTCTTGAGTTTTTGCCAGGTAAGCGATAAAAAGGAAGATCCCGAACTTTTTCCATAACACGTTAACACGTAAAACAAGTGATCACCGCAACGCCTATTTTACAACGATTATATCGATTGAGGCGAAATAAAGTTTAAGAATCAACAGCATAACAAGTAAGCTCGATCTACGTGTGGTCTCCGCGCCAAAATCACTCCAAATTCAGTGCAGACACTTGCTTGTCATCACCATTGTATGTCGTGCTACAATAAGTCCGCCAAAGGTTTACACCTGAACTGATAGAAATTTTCGTGTGAACAGACTTTCCCTCGGAAACTTCTAACCGCGCACGGCTGAAAACAGAGCCCGCAAAGTAAGGTAACGTTTGCGGTATTTAACTCGAGTTTCAACGTGGGGAGGATGGTTTCCTCTTTCGTCATATACGTTAACGCCTGAGAGTAAACAAGGACCTTTCTGTTTCGCAGCAAAAGCCAGTAGTCTTAAGTAGTCAGTAAGGCAATCACCGCAAAAGTTTCACACCAGATCTGGTGTAGCCTGCGTAGCAAGCGTTTCCAGTCGAGGCTAGATCTGGTGCAAAGTTTCGCAGCAAAAGCCAATAGTCGTACGTGGTCAGTCAAGCGATCACCGAAAAAGTTTCACATCAGATCTGGTGCAAAGTTTCGCAGCAAAAGCCAATAGTCGTACGTGGTCAGTCAGGCGATCACTGTAACAGTTTCACACCAGAACTGGTGCAAAGTTTCGCAGCAAAAGCCAATAGTCGTACGTGGTCAGTCAGGCGATCACTGTAACAGTTTCACACCAGAACTGGTGCAAAGTTTCGCAGCAAAAGCCAATAGTCGTACGTGGTCAGTCAGGCGATCACCGTAACAGTTTCACACCAGAACTGGTGCAAAGTTTCGCAGCAAAAACCAGTAGTCATACGTGGTCAGTCAGGCGATCACCATAACAGTTTCAGGGGCGGATCCAGGATTTTTTTTAGGAGGGGGTGCACTCTTCTCTTGCTCTACTTCAACACCAATAAACCACATAGTTTGGCAGAATACCAGTTGTATTAGAAAACCGCACGTCATCTCAGGGGGGGGCGCACCCCTGCACCCTCCCCCTAGATCCGCCCTTGAGTTTCACACCAGAAGTGGTGCAAAGGTTTGCAGCAAAAACCAATAGTCATACGTGATCAGTCAAGCAATCACCGTAAAAGTTTCACACCAGAAGTGGTGCAAAGTTTCGCAGCAAAAACCAATAGTCATACGTGATCAGTCAAGCGATCACCGTAACAGTTTCACCCCAGATCTGGTGCAAAGTTTCGCAGCAAAAACCAATAGTCGTACGTGGTCAGTCAGGCGATCACCGGAAAAGTTTCACACCAGAACTGGTGCAAAGTTTCGCAGAAAAGCCAGTAGTCATACGTGGTCAGTCAGGCGATCACCGTAACAGTTTCACACCAGAACTGGTGCAAAGTTTCGCAGCAAAAACCAATAGCAGGGTCACCCAACGACAATTTTCGGGAAAATATCTGTTCGGAAGACGATTTGAGATCTAGAATTTTCGGAGCATTTGTTGTAAAACTTCTTGCTTGCCTGCCTCTCCTAGGATTTTCGAACATCTACAAAATGGTATAATTACTCATTTTTAACGGATTTTGACCCTAAAAAAGGCCACCTAGAATTTTCGGGAGCCTTTTCCTGGCTGAAATTTTCGAGAGGGAAAATTTTTATCCCTATAATTTTCGGATCACTAGACTTTCAGCTAGGAAATCCGAACAGATGAAAAGTTTGTGGGGATAAAAATATGCCTATATCTACCGTTTGAATACTAAAATACGTTCAACTATGCTGTGTTAAGTGGTTTTGAACTATATCCTCGTTGGGTGCCCCTGCAATAGTCGTACGTGGTCAGTCAGGCGATCACCATAACAGTTTCTCACCAGAACTGGTGCAAAGTTTTGCAGCAAAAACCAATAGTCATACGTGATCAGTCAAGCGATCACCGTAACAGTTTCACACCAGAACTGGTGCAAAGTTTTGCAGCAAAAACCAATAGTCATACGTGATCAGTCAAGCGATCACCGTAACAGTTTCACACCAGAACTGGTGCAAAGTTTCGCAGAAAAACCCAATGGTCGTATGCAGTCAGGAATGTTTTGTTCTACACTCAGGCAATTACCCATAAAGGCATGTAACCTTCTGTCGTGCGATGGTCGTGAGACTCTGTCTATAAGTTACAAAATCGAAGTGCAGTTGAACAAAAAAGTAAGTAAGATCACACCTCGGAAGACAAGCTTTTTTTGCTTTGGGTACAGAGAGACCCACCAAAGTAAAATACATGCAACAACACGCTTGAAGCGACCGTCATATTAAATTTGCGAACTGCAAAAGGACTTTTTTAATACAGCTACAGAAAAATCCTTGTAGTTTTTGGCAATAAGCTTAGTGAAACCTTCTTCTGCACGTTTAAAAATCGAGTTCAAGACGGCAAACGTGACGTAACTGCGTCCTCTCGCGTGTCTCGCGCTTCGCGCTCGAGCCTCCAAACAACCCTAACCACCTTGATGACACCTGTTGTTAAGTTGTAAGGGCGATTATTTTGTAAAGTTTTTGTAAAAAGGGCGATTACTTTAATATTTGCAACTTCATGACAACCAGAACAAAATAAAAATTCCCAAGAAACATATCCTATTCTTCACGAAAAATGGTTAAAAAAAACCAACATACTTTTAATTTGTTTATTTAATAGTCCAACTGAAACCCTGCTTGGGACAATTTTGTCGGCAGCAGTTCGTCTACAAGAAAATTTGTGAATACTGTTCGCATTTGTGATTTTATTTTTATTTTTATTCTTTGTTTTGCAACATTATAAACTATTTTTTATTCTTTTTTGCTACATTGGCCAAAGAGCCTCTCAAACATAAGCATGGCCGATACTGGCGCCAGCTGTCAAATTTGAGGTCCCACTAAGCCGGGAACGCATCACCAAAATAGTGTAATCTAAGTTACTGTGTTCGAAGCCAGCTAATTAGCCAATGTGTTTTTTCCCAGTTAGCTCAAAATCTGCCTGAAGAGCGGGTATTCTGTCAAGCGGCTCCGTTGGGTACTCCTGATTGTAATGAATATTTTGATTAAATAAAGTTGAAGTTAAACAAATTGTTTGTTTGTTTTTTGAATGGAAACGACCCAACTGTGATGAGCTGTGGTGGCGCGTTTTTGTTAAAGAAAAAAAAATCGACTACAAATTAACATTAGTACTCTCTATATATTAAATGTCAAAGTTTAAATGTTCAAAAATGGGTTGTGTAATCACTCGTCTGTCTTCAGCTCTTACTTCCACTTTAGAGCCTTTTAGTGGGTTGTGCAACCGGGGGTCAATTTAATAAACTTTTACAAGAGCAGTTTACAAGTGTAGCTGTTGTGTCAGGGTCCAAGAACAATAACTACACTACAGGGGCAGATCTAGGAGGAGGTTGCAGGGGGTGCGCACCCCCCCTGACCTGCGGTTTTCTAATACAACTGGTACTCTGCAAAAAAAAAAAAAAACTATGAGGTTTATTGGTGTTGAAGTAGATAAGAGACGAGTGCACCCCCTCCTAAAAAAAATTCTGGATCCGCCCCTGCACTTGTAAAAGTTATCCCGAAGATCACGATAGCATACCCTTTCATATAAGCGTGTTCGAAAAGGGATAAATTTCTCCCATAAATGCAAAACTGTTACACAGACATAATAGGTGATTTCCATTTCCTGTTGGCCAAGCGGGAGAAGTGCACAAGACGCATGAGGTCGTTGGCTGGCAGGTGGAGGTGCAAAGTTGTTCAAAACGCATTTTGACGTCGTTCCTTTGACATTTGCGTGTACTCCTTCATTTCGCTACGAGAAAGATATTGCTCTGGAGCAACGTTGTTTGACAAAGGAACGAACTTAGAAGGTTAAACTTGACACTTTTAGTTCAAATTCCCCACCCCACCCTGGAAAAGGTCAAATTTCCTTCCCTCGGGAATGCCTTTCGCGTCAAATTCCCTACTCCCCGGGCACAAGTGATGGTCAAATGCCAGGTGTTTGCCCGGGGAGGGGGGATTTTGAAGTTTTGAATCAATGGGCGCATAAAAGGCAGGGTCAACAATATTGATAGCCTGTGAGTCCGCCTTTGATAATAACCGTGACAACATTTTTAATAAGAGTAGAGCGCAGACCAAGAAGCCCGGCCGCCATCATGCCACCTTACCCAAAAAATGCCGTCGGGAAAGGAGGGCGTGATGGCAGGTTTTTTAAACTGGGTTCCTCTCTTAAACTGACGGTTTATCATGGGCTTTCAAAATTGTAGACCCTGATTTATGCCCGATCTTTCTCGTAGTGAAATGGAGGAGTTCACGTAAACGACGCGGTAGCGACTCCTCTCCCGATTTTTTCCTGAGGGAGGAGGGGACGTTTGTACACAGGCTACGACGCGGGTACTGCTGTTATTTATATTTTTAGAGCCATTTTAAGGAAATTTTTAAAAATTTTACTGTTTAATCTTCCATCTCCATTTTGGCTTTATTTTCTTCGTGTTTTCACCAATTTTTTCTCGCCCGCATGTACAACCAGGGCGCCCTGTGCACAACTAAATAATTTTTCGTTGTCACACATTGCGTAGCATACACGACCAAAGTAGTACCAGTCCCTTTGTAAGGTGAATTTCCCGGATGATGAGCGGCCGCGGTGGTTTGGCGCGCATTCGAATAACACGGAGTATTATTCCCGCCATTGTTGTTATATTGAAAATGGCCGCCGGTGAAAAATTTTACAACTTTATGATCACATCGCACTTATAATGGGCTGAAAGTATTCAACAATTCTCCTAGATTGTTCTTCGTTGCTTTGTGTTAAGGTTTTGCCTGCTTTGTGGTGGTCTTTGTTTCGGGAAGATGAATACAAGCGTGCCCATTGCAACACTTGCAGGCATCACGAGTTTGACCGATCGTAAGTAAAAATTGTCCATTTACACGCCAGTGATTTACATTTAAAGAACTGCATTTAGTTTTTAAAATATCAAAGTGAAAAAATGCAAAATTGACCTGTTAACAAGCATTTTAAGCTACGACATTGTTGTAAACAACGACGAATTAAGGTGACCGTGAAGAAAATTCGACTTCCGCCGATCGTTGACAACTTGTACATGTATCTCCTTGCAGCAATACTGACATGTTTTTCGCCTCTTTTTTATTGACTGATGAATTGTTTACTCGTTGCAGTACTCCCGGAATTACCTTTTCCGGCACCTTCATCGTCCAGAAGAAAGGACACCTTGCTATGCAGCCCAAAAGTCGCTGCAGAGGCCGGAGAAGTTCTTAATCGACCTGACCGTGCACTTGTTCAACGGCTCTCACAAGCACTTTTCATTTCAAAGTCGACCACAGACCAGTTGTATGTATAAATCCTTTTTTCTCTGTATAGAATCTTTGCTTTATAGGATATGAATGAAAGTGTCATTCGGAGTGTAGTAATTACAGTATTTATATCTGGTTAAATGAAATAATATTACATGTAAATACTTATTAGATCGAACTTAGACGGTTGTCTCGCACTAAAAAAGAAAAAAAAAAGATAAATTGTACATTAATGAGCCACTGTTATTATTAAAACGTACCAAAATTAAGCTAAATTTTGAATTCTTACTAAACTTGTAGGGATCCCTCTTTGCAAAATAATCACTCTAACATTTAGTTCTACTTATAGTTTTATTGTTTTGAAGGTCACACATTTAAAACTCTTTGATTAACAAAGCAAGTTGGCCCCTATTCAAAGACTATACTTTAATAAGTTTACTTTTGCTGTAAAAAAGGAAGAGGTTTTTTGAAAATAAAAAAAATAGAGTTCTTGGAATTAACACAAAACATGTGTACACTTGTATCTTAACCAATACGTGATGTGGCAAAAGAGGGTTGATGAGTTTTTGAAAGTGCCTATTGCTATAGTTTTTTGTTTGTGTTTTTTGGATATGAGATGATTGTAGCCCACGTGTTTTTTTTTCTGTCTGTTTGGCTATCAATCATCTCATATTCAGTGTAATGTTTGAAACTTGGTTCCACTTGAGTTTTGAAAATTTTCACGCCATTTTTATGGTCCTTGAGAGTATACTACATGGAATATTGTTTTCTATTTGTTAAATATAGCGTTGTGTATTAATTTTATCTATAAACAGGATATGGAAGGATGGGGTCAGTCAGGATGACAGCACTTCTTGCCAAGGAGACCCACTTCTTCTGCAAGCTATCTTGGCCCATGCACCGAGTGTTTTTAGTCCACAGGCTGCAAGTACAAGTACCATGGTTGAAAACAGTCAAGATCCTCAGGGTAACTTTTACTTTCTCAAACTCATTATTAATTCATTAAGAAAATACAAAGGAAATTAATGTTTAATGAGTGTTTGGAAATCGGATGAAACACTGCTTAGTATTTGCATCCTTAATTTCTCCTTCAAAAATGATTTTGTTTGAGAAGAAATATCAAACATTCGAAGTTCGTCAAAAATACTCTGCTGCGCGTCGTATTTTCAACTCTCTTCTCGGTGTTTCATCTGGTGATGAAACACTGCATCTCATGTTTGATATATTACTTGAAATATAGTGATTATTGAAGCTGAAAGATTTTAAATAATAATCAGGGTAAAGAGGGAAGCAACTTCTTTTGTTATGGCACAATATATGCTTTCCTCACATAGGAATGTTTTCATTTTCATACATAGAATGCATTAACGTACAAAAAGGCAGTCTACAAAATAAAATATATTTTAACTCCATTTTTAAAGGGTGTTTTTTGTGTTAAAAGATTTTGTCCAATCATGAGACTTGCAAACAACAGCCAAGAAGAGTTGACAATTTTAAATGTTCCTCACATAGGATCTCTGGTTTTCTTAGACTCAGACAAGATTTTTTTTTATAAGGAACTTGGTAAGGAAACAAGGGATAATATACATGCTGCTTTGCAGAGATTTCGTAAAATTTGATGTTTTAACTAATCAGACGAGTAGTAGAGATAATAGTAAGGTTGTCACCTTTTTCGCATTTTGACATGTTCATTGCGTTTGGCTCTTTCCTTTTTATCTGGACCATTACTTAAATAAAATTGGCAGTACAAAGTAAATTGTGTAAGAAATTCTTGCCATGAAAAAATTGATGGTAAATTACAGATACTGTACATGTGTTGTTGTTTATTGTTATCCTTGGTTGTATTCTTGTCTCTGTTTTTTTATTTTTGTGTTTACTGGTAATAAATAATATTTTTGTGATATCGTTAGTTTAAAAGAAATTAAAGTTACATGTAAAGTTGAACCTATTAAAAAAATGTACTTTACCTATTGTATTTTATTAACTTTACCAATGACATATAAAAAAGAAATTAATAGAAAGCAGAGGGTATCCATATCCAATAGTAACATAATGATAACCTTGTGTTTTTACAGCTTTCTCTCCTGTTGGATACAATCACTTATCGCCCCATCAGAGAGTCAGTCCAACAAAAGTGAGGTCTCCAATGTGTGCAGGGTCACCAAGATCAATCCAACCACAGTCTCCTTACCGTCATGCTCTTCAGCACAGTCCACCAGATCATGTTGGAGTTATGCGACAGATGGCATCAAGCCCTCACCAAGTAGCTCTGCAAAATCAGTCATCAGGCTACCCATCTCAGTACAGTGGGATGGTGCCGGGTGTTCAAAGCAGTTCTGAACAACCAGCAGGTGTGTCTTCTGTTGAAACCATATTAATTTTGTGGCAGAAATCCTGAAACATTGGTTTACTCAATAAACAAACTCATTGGTCATATTCTGAAAACAGAAATTGGTAGAGACTGTTCCAGAATAGTCTAAAATACTTACCAATTCCAGAATAATGTTAATAAGTATTGAAAGAGGAAATAGCCAAATTACTGACTAAAAACAGGGTTGCCATGGTCAGGGAAAAGTCAGGGAAAAATGAAAATGTTTCAAGGTCAGGGAAAAGTCGGAGAAAAATCTTTGATATTGTCAAAGTCAGTAAAAAGTTAGGGAATTCTGTTTTCCAGTTTATACTTTGTAACTTTCTGATAAGTGGCAGCCCTGAAAGATGAACTGAACGAATGCAAGAATACAACAAAAAAATAATATAGCAAGGAAAAGACATTCGTTCATATCCTGAAAGTGTTATGACAAACAGACAAATGCTTTCAAGAAAGTCTAGGAGTGTTTATGTTTAGAACTTAGAGATGTGTTAAATAAATAAAACAGATATTACAAACAGCTTCTTATGGTATGAAGAAAAATTAGACCTTGAGAGGCAGTTGTCCACCTGTCCTTGGCCCACAACTTGTCCCATCTGCATATCTCTTCATACCATACAGTGATTTTGTTACCTCTATGTCTTGGGTCCCTGACACATAAAAATCCCCAGAGACGCAAAATAATTCATGGCACGTGTCCTGTAGGATGCAAAGAATGATCGATCGATTTGAACGTTTTTTGCTAGAATATCGTGTAATTTCTGTGGTTGTTGTTTTAAAGATGTATATTTATTTTATTCTTTTTAGTTTTTGTGCTAGGGACTGTGTTTTAATTTCAGTAAATTGTAATGGAGAGTTTTGGCATCTGTCTCCAGATTAACTGTCTGGTTACATACACTATAAAGGCCCAAGTATTTTCAGTTTAGGACTCCTCGTTGTTTTTTTAACTGGGACTCACTGGTTATGGACAGGGACTCATGACTTTTCACGGGATGAGTCCCAGGACTCACCATAACTATTTGTAACAAAATCACTGATCATACTCTGCCCGATACAAAAATTGTTAAATACTTCAAATAGTTAAAATGAGGAAGTAAATTATTATCCGAAGGTTCATTGACATTGTATTTTCTATTTCATAGCAGAAAATACCTTACTTGTCAATGGAGGTTCACCAAACATGCACCTACTCTCGCCTCACATTGCGTTAAGTCCAGTTCAGACTTTTTCTCCACTCAAAACAAGACGGATGAGACAAGGCCTCTCTAATAGTGAACCACAGCATAAAACAGCATTGGGAGTTCTCAACATTAATCAAGGTTGTGTTTATTAAAGCATTTTTCCTCACACTATTCCTGTGTTATATATTTTGATATTAAAAAGCTGATAAATGTTTTGTAATCTTCCTAATGATCTGATCTTTATTTTCTTTCTGTTATACTCTGGTAAAGGAATCACCAAATAAATTATTTTCAGGGGTGTTTTAATGTTTCAAAATCTTCTCCATCATTTTGTTAGACAAGGTAGTTGGCCTCTCATCGCCACTCTTCAGGTATTTGAATGTATAGTTAAATAAGGTACTGGGGTTTTAGGTTACATAAGCTGGGAAAAACTCTAGTAATGTGGGCATCTTTGGACCAGAGTGTATCTTGACTAATTCTTTCTTTTTTGTCAGAATAATAACTGATAAAAAAGAAAAAAACTGAAAATGGTAAGGAGAAATTGTTGGTTTGCATGTGTCATTTTTGGTTTGTGTTTCTTTCAATCAGGTGCAGCGACAGCTCCCAATCAGAAAAAAGGACAAAGAAATATTGACTTGTCGACAACAGTGCGGAGGAATTTAAATGACAGTGAATTTTATTGCCATGTTGCCCAGGCACAAGCACACGATGGAGCAACAGAGGTTTCTAACCAGAGTAGTTATAACAGCATAAGTGCTTTGGAGGCATTAACAGCACAAAATGGTTTCAATTTTGATCCATCTGTTCTGGGACAAGCGTCACAGCAGCTTGCAGCATTAAGCGAAAGGCGAAAAAATGCTAGTTTTAGAACCACAGAGCCACAGACTTTTGAGCAACAAGAAGTTGCCATCAGTAGAACTCCAATCTCATCAGAGTCTAAACCAAAGAAGAGGCGAAGTTCTTCGAGGAGTAAATCTGATGTAGATGCGGAGAACTTGCCCATGCAGTCTGCCAACTGTGCATTGCAAGTTCAAAGCTCTGCAAATGAGACAAACAGTTTTCTGCATAAGCCAGTAAATGAAAAACTTACTCAGCACAGACCTTCACATGTAAGTGCTAAATCAGTAGATGAACAACAGCTTGTACTGGAAGGAACAAATGTCGTACAGCCATCAGCACCAATGTCAGCAAAGGACTTGAACCTAGAGCAGCATGTGCTGCCTAACAGAACAGAAGGACCAGTATCACCAAGTAGTGTGACCAAAGACCATCCACCTTGTATATCACCAACTCTGAAGCTATCTCCTGCGCTAAAAGGGATACAGTTGTATGTTCCAAAGTTAGTGATAACAAAGATAAAACAACGTAGGGGTTCAAGGGAGGTAGAAACACATCAAGTGAGGGAAGTCTTGCCAGGCAGTGAAAGTGATTTGCAGCGATCAAAAAAGCGTCGGAGGTCAAGTGAGGAAAAATCAAGACGCAATAGCGGCTACAATTTTGAGGAAGGTACAGGTCTGTTACTTGTGTCCTCTATATTCATGTAAATAGTGGAGTTCGTCTCTGCTATTTATGCATTAAGTTCACCTACAAAAGAATTATTTCCAGGCAGTATGATAACATAGATGAAGAAAACAGACAACTTGGTAGAGGAAAAAGGGGATAACTTGTTTTGCCAATGGTACTTACACCAGTATGACTAAACTTTGACAGCAAGTTAGTGTCAGTAAGAAAGGTTTGACGAGAACAAGTTGTAGTCTTGAAAACAACGTACAGTCCCAAATTGTTAAGTGTAATTTTCTGCTAAACATACAGTGCTTTTTTAATTCCAGCTCCACCAAAGAAGAAAAGCAAAACCAAGAAGCAAAAGAAGCAAGACACTCCTCAATCTGAGGGTAAAACTTTCTAGTTTTAGTAATTAACCTCACTTGCATCTCATTAAGTGACAATGATGCTACAGGGAAATAAGAGTCTAAACTCTTGACTCTTAAATTTTAGATATTATGGAATCACCAACCTTTAGGAAGTTTGGAGAATTGCTTGAGAACCTGTTTGAGTTTGATGATGAGTGCAATGTACCAAGCTTCACTCATGATGTTGGTAAGTTACATTCTCTTTGCATAAGGTAAGGTCATAATATAACCAACAGGTTAGGGTTAGAACCTCAGTTACATGTATATTTGTGTGTGTTGATTGCTCGTTTTATAAATATATAGCCATACTAGTGTTTTAAGTACTTTACATGTAGGTAGCAACAGAGTAACTGTAAATGAAATCACTCGGATCATAAAAGATGAAATGATGGAGAAAGGTTAGAATTTCATAGTGTTAAAGTGCCTATAACCCATAGCCAATAGCTTTCTTTTTAAAAAGTAGAAACATATAACATGCAATTACAAGCAATAGAATGGGATTTGAGCTCAATCTCGATTTTTAACAGGCCATCAAAATCCCGATTCACGAAGTAAAAATCGCTCCTCATGGGGAACTGGGCCGAGTAGCCTGTGACGTCAACCCGGTATCTTGGCGATAACATGATAGGCTACAAGATACCGGGTTGACATCACAAGTATTTAGTGTCACTCCTTTTTGAATAAATATGGTGGGAAATTAACCTCAAATTGCTGATTTCGTCCTTCAGTAAAAGTGTGTTGAAACGCAAAATAACTTTTATTTCTTTGCAAAAATTCTTTAAGCTACATGAATGTTCAAAATTTAATATAACTGAGTACGGGTGATAGGCACTTTAATAAAGGGATTTTGTCATAAGACAGTACTGTACATGTAGTTTCATATAGATAATTCTGCAGACTGTCAAACCCTATCTATACGAACACTGAGAGGGCCATAGGAAGTGTCCATACTAATCTAATGGGGTGTCTGTATTAGGCAGGTTGAATTTAGAGAAAATGTGGGGGCTTACTTTTCCCAGGGACAAAGCAAACTGTCCCTAATAATACGGTGTTTGCATTAAGCGGGTCGGTTTGACTGTACTTTGTTTGGAAGGGTGGCTGTGGTGGGGAGAGATCTTCCCCTTGACTTCTTCTCATCCCCATGACTTGTTCAAGGCAGGACTGCTAAACAAAGTGTTTTCATGGTATGTTAGCACTGGAAATTGTGTACAAGACACAAAGTTTAATATACCTCTTCTCATATAGATGACCAGGAACCAAATCCAGAAAGTCTGATTTCACGATCAGTAATTATGGAATTTTACTCAGAGACGGCAAAGTTGAAGTCCCTTGGAGTCTTACACAAGGTAGGAACACATCATTTATTTATTTGTCATTTTTTTCTAAAAAAAAGCAAAGCCTGGTTGACTCAGTTTGTTGTGTCCTGGTTTGTTGAGCCTGAGGATATTGCCACCATGTTCTACTTCTCGTAATATTTTGCTTTTTGAATTAAAAGTTTTTAATTGCATCAGGTTCCCACCGAGGATTTGATGAGACTGTTGGCAATAATGGAGCGCCATATACGAGATGGTTTACATTTACAGCTACAGTGCAGTGCAGATCAGGTTAGAAATATTTTTTGTGCCACTAATATTAATTTTATGGACCAATCTTGCACTTGTGCCAGCCTTGTAACAAATCTTTGTTGCTTGTACCCACATGTACATGTATACGGTATGTTGCAGCTAATTTTTTGTCTTAGGTAAGTTTTGCTTTCCTTTTGTTTTTGGTTATGATAATGTATGCTTATGAAGTTGAAACAAAGGAAAAATAAAAATTACCTGAGATAAAAAATTAACTACAACATACATCTTATATAACACTCACTCAGAAGCAAAAACAATTTTTTTTAATAATATTCACATTGTTATTTTCTGCAGTGTAAAATGCAAAGGTGCAAACCCTTAACCATTTGGGGCACACAGCATACAGTGTAGCTACATGTATGTTACTTTAGAGAGACTAAATAACAATATATTGCTTGTGCTTCAGGATGATGATGAGGAACAAAGACTGTGGCGTGGCTTATGTCTTGATAGAATGGTACGAGCAGTTGAATCTTCTCTGGTAGTGCTCTTCATCCTCACTTCTCCCTCCATGTCAAAACAGCTTTACCTTGAAGAGGTCATTGACAGGGTTATATCCCTCACCAAGTACCAACTAAAGAACAACATCTTTCCAGAGTATGATCCTCTTTACAAAGAATCTGATCCCAATGGTAAGATATTACTTTGACGTACATTTGTTGACAGTCCGGGTGTTAATGATGCCTTCATATAATTATATGTACATACACATACAAATGTATATTGTACATAAACGTACAGTATACATGCATTAATAGCATGCTAATTTACAAGAATGTATCATTTAAGATGAAGTCTATATTTTGCATTCACATTTGCTCTCAAAAAATTAAATGCAAACCGAAAGCAAGTACTTCCAATGTACATTTCAATCATTTGATTACTGAATATACATTATATCCAATAACATTGTACTTTTGTTTTGTAGAAAGTGTTGTTATTATGCCCAAAGCCAAAAGATCGAAGTCCTTGCAGCCAAAACTCAAGTCTTTGTCACTGTTTTATAACAAAGTTTGCGAACTTGTCTCATTATTGGGTGACCTTGTGGATATTCAGTCCCTTACTGATACTGACATTTTGCAGGTTTGTGCTATTTCTCAATTTGCAGTTCAATTTGTCACATACATGTAATACATCCTCGCCTAACAAAATAAATAAATAATGAAGAGCTGTGTGGAATAAGGCCATGAAGTGAGTTCCTGGTCTCCCTTTGATTTTCAAGCATGTTCAAGAGAAATATTTCAAGAGGATCTTGACTAGCCATTAATCATCAGTGACATTAGGCTTTATTCCAGGCAACCCTGTATGGTCAAGTGTGTCACGTTTTCTAAACATTTTTGGATGTGTGCGGATGTTTTGTACAAATCGTCTAATTTAATGGTCTGCATATTTTGTGTTTAGGTATCCAATCTCGGAACTTCTCCATTCTTTGTGGAGAATGTTAGTGACCTCCAACATAGTGCTCTCAAGCTGGTCAGATCGGTATGTTGCATGCTCATAATTTATTTAAATGGCTACCCAGGGTGCAAAGAAAGTCAGTTTTACAGAGCATGTACCAGCCCGAAAGTCATTTCAACTAGCCTGAAAAAAAATTGATTGCAGTTCTTCTGTAATTTGAATTCCCCAAAAAAATCACTTGCCGATCGGGCAAGTTAAGAAAAGAATTCACTGGCCCAATAGCAAAATCCATTAGCCCCAGGCTCTCAGACACCACTTTCTTTGCACGCTGCTACCACTAATCAAGTGTGAAATTAAATGATACACTGTAACTATTAAAGTTTATTTGTTTATTTTTACATTTTTTTGGTCAGTTTGTATTACTTTAATTTCCCTGCTTTGAAGTATATGTACTCTCTAGGCTTACCACAGTAAACCAATCATATCTATCATTATTTTAATCTGGACACTTTGGCTTTGTCATCGTTTATTAATTTTTTCTTTTTCATTTGATGCAATAAAGGTTTTCAGAAAATACATCAAGCACAGGGACTTGATCCTGGAGGACATTTTTGCCTCATTAGCAAGGCTCCCTAGTAGCAAAAGGACACTGAGAGGTTACAGGTCTGTTAAGAAATTCAAATTAGTCAAAATAATTGTGAAGATTGCTTAGGTAAATCCTTTCTCAGTTCAGCTGATTGTGTCATTGGGCAACGTCATGAAGCCGTTGACCTTGCCTCTGTTTTTTGATATCCAGTAAGGTCTGTTTTGTTGTCTCTTTAATTACAAATTGTTCTTACACTATTTAACCACTATCCATATAATCTTAGGCTCAGTGGGGATGTCTCAATACAGATGGTCACAGCTCTCGTACTCCAGCTCATTCAGTGCTCGGTTAAAATTCCTGAAAAGGTAGATGAGGTACAAGATGCAGCCAGTACTGAAGATGGTGAAGATGGGAGCAAACCTCAAGTTAGTTTATAGTGGAGAACTTCTGTGGTTTTGTTGTTGAGTCAAGTCCCTGGTTTTGGAATGGTTAATAATTAACAATTGCCTCAGTGCAAACTTGTCTTTCATGGAGTTTTTGTAATGTTGGTTTTATAAAGAAACAAAAATGTTATGGAGTGCAGGATAAAGGAAAAAACACATTCGTATGTTTTTTTGTGTGTTTTTTTTTACAGCTGTACATGTATTGTACTTTTTGTACACAATGGAAAAGTGTGAAATTTATGTGGTTCTGACCTTAACAGATGCAATGTAAATTTAAAGACCAAGGCAAGCCACACCCACGTTTTTCCACCCAGAAATGAACCTAAAAGGATGTACAATGCCATCTCTCCTTTTGTGGGTTTTGTGGTGTTGACTATTATCCTTATCCTTGTTTTAGGTGGACAGAAACCTCCTTGTTATTACTTCCTATGAAAATGCATTGAGAACAGCACAGAATTTCTTGTCTATGTTTTTGAACAAGTAAGTTGTTTAAAGTTGATGATTTGTTCCCTGTTCACTCCACTATACAAGTACAGCCACTGTTGTTGAAAATTTGTTGTTTTTAACATATCTAGTTTCTCTGATAAAAACTTAAATATCTAATTTATGGAATAAAAATTGAAAATTGCTGTGATGTGGCTAATTAAACAGCTATGTTTTGATAATGCAGACGTGTTTAATTATTGAGTTTTATTTTTGAGATCCTGGTTTTTCAAAAACAATGGAAAAGCAGTACCATTGAATAGCTCCCTATTATTTTGATTGCTCCCAGAAATATGTATGTGTATAAACTGTGTCACTTTATTGCAGATGTATCAGTGTTGGCAAAGACGAAGAAGATTATCGTCCATTGTTTGAGAACTTTCTTCAAGACCTGCTAGTTACCTTGAACAGACCTGATTGGCCTGCTGCTGAGGTCCTGTTGACCCTCCTTGGTAGATTGTTGGTAAGTAAGCTTCTATGGTGAATTTCCTTGAAGATGAAGTGGTGCAGGTGAATACTATTAGACAAGACTTTCAGTGATTTTTGCCATGAAAGTAGAATTCAGTGAAGTTTTACTGTTTTAGTTGGTTCAAGTTTATCAGTTTTGGGTGGGGAGGGGGAGGGCGAGGGCACCCCATTTCTCTTGTTGCTCTTTTACTTTTGACTATGAGATTGTTGTCAATCTACAGCTCCTCTCCTGGGTGTCTGCTCCCTATTCTCAAGGAATCCCAATCCCTTTTCCTCCTCCTAATGTGACTAAGATCCTGGATCTTCTCCCCTCTTGTACTATTCTCTCTTACGCAGATTGTGACCTTCAACAACAAGGCAAATGATGTTAGTCTGAGGGTCTCAGCTATTGACTATCTGGGTGTTGTTGCTGCTCATTTAAGGAAGGATGCAGTGAACAGTCAACAGGATACAGAAAGTATAACAGAGATTTTAATAGAGGTAACAGAAGGAGAAAAATTTTATAAGAAAATTATGTTTTTTGTTGCAGTTTACACTGTAAGTTGCAATTTAAGATGAATTTCAGGTAAAACTTATTTCAAACCAGTTTGTTAAGGATCACAGCTGAACTTTTTAAAATAATTTTGACCCATAATAATACATTTGAAACGAATATTAATGTTCATAGTTCCTTTGTTCTAAATAAATATTGCAATAAATTAATTTTATGAACATAATTTTTATGCCCATCTAGCAACTTGGTGAAGTATCTGATGACTCAAGCGATGAAATTTCTCACCTGGTAGGTTACTACATGTATGCTGTTATCTTCATTGTTTACATGCAAGTTAATCAAGCTTATGTTGCAAAAATGATGTTTATTGTGACAGTAAAAAATACTTTTTTAGGATGAACGGTCTGACAAGAGAGGCCTGATTTTACAAAAGACTCTTGCAAACTGGTTGAGTTCAGAGGGTAACAACGATGCAGCTTTCATGGTGAGAACAACAAGTTATCATTGTTAGTGTCAAGTCCAAAATATGATTATTTCCTTATTTCTCAAAAGCTAAATTTTAAAAATTCTGTGCCATAATATTACACTCCAGGCTGTTTATATTGTATAATGTGGAGCATTAAATTCATGGCAGGCAAACATTTAGTAGATTACAAAATTAAATGAATTTTATTATCATAATCATTTTCACTATCATTGTCATCATCATTGGTCTTGTTATTCTTTATTTATTTATTACTTTTTTAGTTTGCAAGGCATTTTTTTGTGGCCCAGTGGATAAGGGACAACCATGTGGAAATGGAGCGGTTCCTTAGAGCTCCCACTGAAGATCCTCTTGATGGTGGAGATGGTTTGAACAACAGTGCCCTTTTAGGGGCTCAAAGTATAGCAAAGTTGGAGGAAAGAAAGGCTTCCTTGTTCTCCATTTTAGATGGAGGACATTTGTCAAACATTAGGTAAATAACCTTTTTTGTGATAGATTCAACTAGTAAGTTGAGTTTAGGTTTATAATAAAGTTCATTGTTCCTCCATCCCTGTCTCCCTACTGTGAGTCTTTTCTTTCTTCTTCTTCTCTACTTTCAACAGTGTCTTTCTTCATTACTTGTGTCCTCTCTCTTTCCTTCCCCTCAATATTTTCATTCGCCTTTTACTCTTGATAAAATATGGTGCTCAACATAATACATTGTTTTTACAGGTCATCTCACAATAAACTGGACTATGAACACGCGACTCTGGTAACACGATACCTTGCCTCCTCAAGATCATTTTCGAAAAGCTTTGATGCTTACTTGAGTCAGGTACAATATTTTGTTGCTACCATGCAATCTATTATTTGAACATCCTTCAAAATCAAACACTCTTCTTCAAACTGAATACCTCTACCTCTCAGTAGATAGAGTTTTGTTAAGGTAGTGGTGACAATTGTGTTAAACTTCTCCAACCATTTTTTTTGTTATTATCCTTATAAATCTTGCAGATCCTTAGAGTGCTTAACGAAAGTGCTGTTGCAATCAGAACCAAGGCAATGAAGTCATTGTCAGCTGTTATTTCTGCTGATCCATCTATCCTTTCTAGGGTAAGTGTGCCCTACAAATTGCTCATTTTTTTTCTCTTCATAAACATCAGAATTGCTGCTCATAAGGTGAAGAGCTAAAAGCTTGGGTACTTTTCTGCATTTAGCACAAATGGCCTGCATGCTTTAGTGAGCATCAATCTCTAGTTTCACCCTTGTCAGTCCTTTATTGAACAACCATTTCTGTCTTGTCCCCCAAAAATACCATCATCAGTTCATTTTTTACACAATGTCTGTTCATTTTTAGGATGATATGCAAAAAGGGGTCCACTCCAAATTTGTAGACATGTCAACCAGTGTAAGAGAAGCAGCAGTTGAACTCATTGGACGCTTTGTCCTTAATAAACCAGAGTTAATTCTTCAATACTACGACATGATTATTGAACGGATACTTGTAAGTAAATTCTCTTGTTTCTAACTTACAATAGGTACATGTAGTTGTAATTGTAACTTTTAAGACTGCAGATATTGGCCATTAAGATAAATCCACTATAAATTTGCTATCCTTTAAAATTTTCAAACAAATTTTAAAAAAATTATTGTGTGTGGTAGTTCCTTCTCTTAATGATCACATTAACTCTCCTTTCGTTTTCAGGATACCGGCATAAGTGTACGGAAGAGAGTGATCAAAATCCTCAGAGATATTTGTATCAACCAGCCAGATTTTCCAAAAACCACTGAAATATGTGTCAAGATGATTAGAAGAATATCTGATGAGGAGGGAATAAAGGTGACAACATTAGTTAAGATTATGGCACATAAATGTTAAAATAACATGAAGGTACAATAACATTGGCTTGATCTTAAAGAAAGATATTGATTTTCTTATTAATTAAGTTACATGTGTAAAGGAAGTTAATATTTTCTTCATATCATTGCTTGTCTGTTGAGACAATTTTTGACAAGGATACTTGATATAAGTTTCTTGTTTGGCTCCTTTGTGTGGTTTTTGTGTCCCCAATTAGTGGAGCTAGAAGACCAGACATTTAAAAAATATATTTTTTCTACTCTGCTGCAAGTTACAGCCATATCAAGAGGAATTAAAAGAGATAATCAGATGTAACTGCCATACTCATGTTTTGATTCTTTTGCGTCAATTTTTTCCAGGAGTTGGTTACCAAAGTATTTCAACAAATGTGGTTTTCACCACTGAAGGGAGAGGAAAACTCAGATGTTTTTGTCAAACGTGTTGTTCATATGACGGATGTTGTAAGTGCACAAGTTATTTCCTTGACCTTTAAGAGTTTTTCATTTATATAAATTGCACTTTAGTTTCCCACATCTTACTCAGCTAGCAAAGTATCTTGCGTTTGTTTGTTGTTGTAATGTAAAGTTATATAATTTCCTATAACAAAATCTATGCAATTACCCTATATTGTTTCAAACACTGTGCCAAAGGACCACAACACCACATAATACGCAAAAAAGAAGAAGAAGAAAAGAAAGAACAACCTATGGACCTTTAAGACGATATTCGCGGTTGGTCACCCATCCAGTTCGTAACCCTGACCGACAGGGCTTAACTTGAGTGCCGTTACCACACCAAGTTTCGCGAGGGTTATTGCGAAATACGTATTTCTAGTTAAAATAAATCTACTGTTAGCATTTTGTTAGTGCTGAAACATCTCAAACTTTTTCCTTACAGGTTGCAGCATGTGGTGAAAGTGGGGACTGGTTTGAGCAGCTTCTTGAAAATGTAAGTGGCAAAATTAATCAGTTTGTATCATTATGATCACTTTTTCAAAGTTTTGAGAGGATTGCTGAGCTGTCACTTAGAGCCATAGGGGCAGCGATCACCCTCAACTTCTATGACTGTGACCCCAGCTACTTTCGTAGGAAAAAAAGGAAAGCAAACCAAAAAAGATTTTTGTAGTTGTTTAATTTCATGCCCTCTAATTGCATATACCCAGCAAGGTGAAATCTGAAGTGAATTGCCAGCTCCTAATTTAAAGTGTCAGTTGTAAAGAGTTGTAATCTTTTATTATTTTTTCCAAATAGCTACTTCACAATGAAGAGGACTCTATTTCCAGGGCTTCAGAGGTGGCTTGTGGACAAATAGTCAATTGTCTTGTGGAGAATGTGCTAAGTTTGGAGGAGAAAGCTGTTGGTAAGATTTCACATTCCCACCCCTCAAGTACTGCAAAATTGCAATGTGACCTAGTTCAAATTTACATTTTATCCTACTTTGAACTTGTTTTGAAACATTTTAGGGTCAACTCCTGTAATTCTTGTAGCAGTGGATATTGTAGGCAGTATCCCTTGTTATGTTCTTGATGAATGAAGGAATTCACCAAATTTAACATTAAAATTCTTGAGTAAACTAGGAACAGGCCAGTCACTGTACTATGTTCAATGAGAATAATATTATCATCATTTTGTTTTGATCCTACCACAGCTCAATCCGAGGGTAAAGGCTCAAGTAGCCAGAGACTGGTGTCCAGCTTGTCAACATTGTATCTGATTAGTAAGATTAAGCCTCAGCATTTGGTAAAACATGCAATGACTTTACAGCCATATCTCAGCACTAAGTGCAGTGTAAGTACAAAGATTGTAATGGGATAGTTTCTTTTAAAAGGGAAAGTAATTATTTTAAGCACAGAAATATTATTCACATGTATCAATACTGAGAAACGTTGATGTTCCCAGCTTTACCCTGAGATAACCCAGATTCGAAAGAGGCAATTCATTTTCAAATAAATGTAGGGTTTAAACTGCAGTGTTGCTTCTGGCGGGAGAGTGAATTAGATGCCCCAACAAAGGACTAGCACTCAAAACATTAGTTTGTCAATCCCCTCTTTCCCCCTTTTTTGTAGTTCGTTTACAACGATGACTACATGTAAATAGTGCTGGAAAAAGCAGACAAAAAAATGAGACCGAGACCAAACAACAACAACAACGGCAACAAATTAAGTATTTTTAAGGTGCTGCCCAAGTATATTTGAAAGGTCACATTTGAAAAATTCCATCCTCAGGCTCCAACATTAGAACCATGTTGTAAGGCAAACAGTTCTTTTTGAGAAAACTAATCCTCAGCAGAAAGAAAAGCCGTATTCCAGCACTTTAAGTTTGTGAACGCTTTTGGTCTCCTCTGATTTTTGTTCCCTTGTACTGCTGTAGACCCAAGGAGATTACCTAGTGATCCATAATGTTGCACGGATTTTGGAATTAGTGGTGCCTCTCATGGAGCATCCCAGTGAAACATTCCTGGCCAGCTTGGAGGAAGACTTGATGAGACTGACTGTGAAGCATGGACAGACAGTAAGAACTCATGATCATTTTTGCTTTCTCTGTTGAACATTTACCACAAACTTTGTCCTAGATAAGTGATCACAGTTATTTATTGGTTCGTGGGTTGATCTTACAAAAAAGTAATTTTGATAGGATGTAACAGTTGTGAATTGAATCATATGAAATGAATCATATTTTGAACCGCAGATAAAGATGTGAAAGTGAAAATGATCTTTGCAGTAGAATGGACAACCTAAGTGGTTGAAAAAGGACCTGAAAAAAATTTGAGCTTGACCAGAAATAGAACTCTGACCTTGGTGATGACCAGATGCAATGCTCTATCCATTGAGCTGATCAAGTTAACTGTTATAGTTGTCATATACAGCTATTTTGAGAAAGGTTGCTGGAAAAAGTTTATGTGACAATCCTGAAAGGTATTGTGGGTGGTTTCGAGTTCACTGTTCTTCAAAGAAATCTGAAAGAATGGCGTGAGAGGCCAAGAACGTATGTTTGCGAGCTTTAAAGGAAGGCAACAAAACTAGGTTGGACAGCTAGTGTCATGAACAGTGTGTTAATCATTTCCCATATAATTTATCTTTCAGGATTGTTGTGTGCACATTTTTTTCCGATAACCCTTCTCAAAGTGGCTGTAACTTACAGTCTGTGGTGTATTAAGACTTTGATTGTTTTCATTTTTAGGTTGTTCAAAGCTGCATAAGTTGTTTAGGTGCTGTGGTGAATAAAGTCACCCACAACATTAGGCTTGTGAAGGATTACTTCCAAAAGTACCATGGTAAGCTGACACTGTTAGTTTGAAGAAAACTTCCAGAGATTTCAGTGAGGCAATACTTGCTTTAAAAAACTACATACTGTTACAGTTAAGTGCTACCCTGAAACACATACAGGAATCTAACAGATTACACAAGATGATACTTACATGTATTGGTAGGTTATTGCTCAGACTTGAACATGATACAACTGCTTGGTTTATCCTTCAGTTGTTGTAAACTGTAACTGTTGTTGGATGCTGAACACTAAAGTAACTGGTGACCCTTATTAATATGTAATTGCAGCATTCATGAATTTGCAAGTACTATCCTATTCAAAGAAAGATTCAGGTGCTCTTTGATTAGGGAAGAAAAGGAAGGAACAGGCAATCCTGATGCTTACAAATTTTGTCCTCTTTTTATTTCCAGGCTATCTGGCAAAAGCCAAAGCAGATCTCACTAAAAATCCCGGAAAGGCTCAGATCAATAGGCCAACTTTACTGCGATCATTGTTTACTCTTGGCCTGCTTTGTAAGCAGTTTGACTTTGACAGTGATGTCAAGCCAAAAAATGAGGTAAGTATTTCATAGTCAGATTGTTTTTTTATTTTTTCAAAAAAGTGCTACTCTGCATGCTAACAGAAGTGACTACCTGATCTTGTCATTGACTATAGGGTTTTTACTGACATCACATGCACATGGCACTCATGCTTGCTGATGTTCAAAACAATACAAAGTCTCTTTTGGCACAATGATAGTAATGCATGAAAACAAAGCTAAGTTCCCATCAGAGACAAAGTTTTAGTATTGTTCTTACCCTCAAACATGGCCATCATATCTGAAGAGCCGTTCTATAGGCATTTTCATCTTTTTTGCTAATATTATTCGTTCAATATAGTAATATCTATTCAAAATGGAACCAAAGCTACTGCTCTTGAAAAGAGTTCAAGGAAAGATTTAATTGTTTGACTGGTACTGTTCACCGATATGTTTACTTCTCTCTTAAGCAGGGTACCACAAAGGACAGAGTATTTGCTGTTTATATCTACTTCACCAAACATCCTGATGAGGAAGTCTGTCAAAAAGCCATTACTGGACTCGGTAAGTGCATTCACACCAGTAAGGTTGGGTTTCTGGAGAGGCAACTTTTGCTATTTATTTAACTAAAACCCCTCCTAAAACATGAAGTATGATGTAAAAGTCATCCCTAAAGATACACAACCTCCATGCTCAAACAAGGGTCAAATAGAACAGTCTGCATCATGTTCAATTTGTTTGCAGGGTTTCTTTGCATGAGGTATGGAGACCTTCTTCTGAAAGGAGAAGCAAAGGACCTTTACCAAGGAATTTTATCACAACCTAACCAGCCCTTGAAACTCAAACTTCAGGTTGGTATATTTTGTTCCTGTTTCTTTTGTTCATACAGAGCTAGACTTTGAATGTAAAACATTGTAAAATACTTTTTGATGGAGTAAATACTGACAAATAATTTTTCTGTTCAAAAGATTAGTTTTTGGGGAAAACAGGAAATGTTATTCATATTGAAGCCACAATCTTCTTTATAGAACTACTGCTGAAAGTGGTTTTCATTAAAATGATCACATGGGAGGATTTCACCCACTGCCTTCTTAAGTTTGAACTACATTACTGTATTTTAGCTATGATTTTAATATATCATTGACCCTAAGCTTGTTTATTTCCAAGGCTGCTTTGTGGTTAAGATCAGTTAGGTATGTTTATGGATACAGTTTTCATTTAAAATTCTTTTCACTGAAAACGTTGCAGGTGTTAAAGAACTTGCAGACCCATCTCTTAGAGGAGGAAAAAAGACTACATGTCCAGGATCATCACAGTAAGAAAGCCTAGTATTGTTAAACATCTGTGTTTCTGAAGACAAGCCCAGATGTTGTTACTTTATTCATTTTGATTTTCTCATCAACAAGCAACCTGTTGCAGTGTTGCCATAACTACTAATGAAGTCATGTGTTGTTTACTACTTCAGGACACAGGAAAACAGAAAAAGAAAAGGAAAATCAAAACCTCAAAGAGCTTGGAGACACTCAGTCTGGGTATGTGTGGTAATTTATTTTGTCTTGGATTCCTTTTTCCCATTCAATCACTTTTTCATGTATATATTAGTATGATAGAATACTTTTTTATGTAATTGTAGGCCTATAATGTGCTATCAAATTCTTACCTTCACGAAAGTGAATGTATGCTCATGGTAATGAAACAATAACTGCTTTTTTGAAAGTGTTTTGTGGTATTTACCAGCGAAAGTTATATATTTTGTAGTTTATGTTGCCATTGAAATAAAGTTGCACAGCTATTGTTGTACTGTGTTTGTGATATCTACCTCCCTTCTCAACTGTCCACATCTTTTTTTTTTTTGCAGAATACCAGTTGTATTAGAAAACTGCAGGTCATCTTAGGTGGGAGGGGTGCTTACCACACCCTGTGTTGTCTGTGTTTGTACCACCAGTGCAGTCCTAATGCAGGTGTATCTTGAATAGTACCACCAGTGCAGTAATGCAGGTGTATCTGAAGAGTGTGCTAGAAAGCTTCTTACACCCGCAGCCTTCTGTTCGCATGGCCTCTCTTCATGTTGTCAATTTGATTTTGAGGCAAGGCCTGGTACATCCTGTTCAGGTTGGTAAAAACTCTTCATTCTAACAAAGCACCATTCAGTGTATTTACTTGAGGCCAAAAAAGGTCTGAAACTGTACAGCCTTCATTGATTCGTTAGATCTATCCAGACAAAATTAGTGAATTTATTGTCACGTAATTATTATAGCTTATAAAATTTGTCCTTGTTTTTCTTGGATAATGTGAATCTAAGACAGCTTTTCTGTACAAAAAAAGTTTTCCATTGCATGTTCCTGTCACTTTAGATTCGTAAAATATTATTGGTTGAAAGTTGACTTGAGAACAAGGAGATTTCGAGCTCCATTGCCATCAGAGTGTCCCACTGTAAAGCCTTTAGTTAAATAGCTAAGCTTTTGCATTTTTTCTTAAGATGTGTATGCTAGAGAAGTGGTCAAAGCTCTGCTAGGGTGGTTGAGGGGTGGGTTAAATGGCCTACAGTTCAACTCACACCGAAGCTAGGCCCAAAGCCCCGAGCAAACAGACGCAACATTGTTGGCCAGCAACTTCCAACATTGTTGGATGTTGTAAACGTGTTACGTCCGTTTACACACTGGGCCCTGTTCCATGTTGTTGTGTGTTGTTGGGAGTTGTTGCACAAAGTTTGAAACTGGTCAAACTTTTAGCTACGTGCAAACAGACGCAACAACTCACCAACAATGTTGGCATTTGTTGCGTCCGTTTGCACATAGCTTAATGGACCAGTGAAAGGACTAGGAGTAGGGTCTCAATATTCCTTCCCAGGGAAAAAAAACCACCCAAATCAGCCTGTTCTCCTGAGAATTAAGTGTGCATTTGCAAGAGAAGTTGATTCTTTTAGGTTTAGATTTATAACACTTTAACCTCATTGGCATGCTAAGGCCAACACAACAGAGCTGGGCACTTATTGAAGTGTTGCCTGGACATAGACATAGACTTAGACTTTGCTATTCATCTTCCTTTTGTCAACAGTGTGTTCCTTATCTGATCGCCATTGGGACTGATGAAGAACAGCAAATGCGAGTTAAATCAGACCAACAGTTGTCAGAAATTGATAGCAAATATTCCATGTTTGTCCAGGTGAGTAAAAGAAAAACTTTGTAATATCCCTGCTGTGACTACTTCCCTTTCCATGTCCAGCTATATAATGGTTTGTGGAGTGATTGTTAACAGATTACTCTTGTTTCAGATGAAAGCCCTGGCTGGCATAAAGATGTCATTTGAACTTCAGCGCCTTGTTCAAAAGGTATATTTATGTTAGAAGATCGTGTAGTTTCCTTTGGAAGCAGGTTTTTCTTGACTGAGTAATAATACAAGAAACACACATGCATAGTAGCTGGTGATTTTACAGTAGGCAGAGTGGGTGTGTGTTTAAGTTGCCTAGTTTAAAACTTTTATAGATCATGTTTTGATCACTAGCTTGAGTTGTATCACAGTAGACCCTAAGTCTTAACTGTCAATGTGCCTACCTCAATCCCACCAGGAGTGGTGTACCTGTGATTTAGCCAGATAACCGAATGTTCATCCTTAGTAACAAAGCACTCATCCTATGAAAACCACTTCCTTCTATGCAGGACAAGACAATACCCATACGTGGCTACAGGAAAGAGAGCAGCCAGTGTTTGTTAGGTCATTTGTACTCCATTATACGATCAGGCAGACAACCAAGACGATCACTGTTACAGTCCATGTTAAGGACATTTGATGACCACAAGGTGAGAGACTTCACTCAAATCTTCTATTCGAAAATCTCTACATAATAGCTGCCCCCTACAATTTCAGAGGAATTCTGGCAGTCTCTGGGACACGTGCTTATCTGTATTTTTGTTGAAGCATTTTAGTTACCTCACTCTCAGACGCATGACTTTTATTCCAAATATTAAAGTTGATTTTTGTTTCTGAGTTTTGAAGTGATTGGGGTCAATATACCGCAACAAACTGTGCAGGTCATCACCTGAAACTTTAAAGTGAGTTGTGCATCATTGATTGATGCTTTTACTCTCTAGTTATTTTCCTGATTGGTCTGTTAAGTCGATATGACTTTTAATAATGATATTATCAGTAGTTCCTAGAATTTGATACCATGAGCTGAAGGAACACAACCCTTTTTCACTTTGTCGATGACTTCCACGGGTAGTTAAAACATCAGTGTCAACAATAGTGCTATTGAGGAGGGAATTAGTTCCCTCATCCAGCGATCATAATATTTCATCTGCTCATGGAATGGCTTTGGGTAAAGTCATTTACAATTATTGTGCAATGAGAGCAGGATTTAACTCACCCCACATGCATTTTGCGAATTAAACTTTTCAGGGAACAAAGTTGGATTTGTTATTGTACATTGCTGATAATATGGCACATTTTCCCTACTCCATCCAAGAGGAGCCGTTATTTGTTATTCACCACATCGACACCATTCTGTCCGTAACAGGGACAAATTTACTTCATTCTTTCAAAGAGGTAGGTAGTCTGTAAGGGTGAAAAGAGATGGCTTTTGCACATTTTGTCCAACTAAGGCATTTGGAGGTGTGTTATAACAGAAAAGTGTCTTGTATATGTAACTGTAAAGGCAAGATTGTTTGTATCATGTGTACAGCACATTTTGTGCAGGGGATTGGTGAGGTTGTGGGGTAGCATGCAATACAAATGATCCTAATCATCCATGCTTTTACTCCAATAGACTGCACAGGCATGGCTTGCATGGTATTTCCTCTATGTTGGCAGACTAATGTATGCATTTATATTTCTTTTATTAAGGCCATGACTGCTCAGGCAAAACCGACAGTTGAAGGGGTAGACAATGTTCCCCTAGAGGAAAATCAATATGAAGAGGAGGAAACCACAGAGTCTGTTTTAGGTATTAAGTGATTGCTTATCATAATAAAGTCAATCTAAGACATTTGAAGATATAATAAATATTCATGGTTCTTTTTCAAGTGTGTCAGGCAAGATGTCGTTTATTTTTATTTTATTTTCGTAGCCAAATGATTTGAACTGTGGGAACTTCCTTTCACAAGTGCCACTTTTTTTCAAACTTTAGCTGACAGTCCAGTAATCTTAAAAGAAAAGTTTTTTTGACTTTTGTGACTAAAATGAGAATCTGTTTGTTTTTGTTGTTATAGCTCGGCTTCCGCCAGATCCTACAAACTTTGAAAAATGCTGCATGGCAGCCCAAGGCTGCCTCCTCCTGCTGTATTTAAAACAACATCTTAAAGAACTGTATGGTTTCTCAGATAGGTAGGAATGTATATATCATATCTTCAACTGTACTACACGGTAGTAGTTGTAGAATTTTATGCCATTCAAGTTTTTGCTAATGGGCATTAGTCAGGTGGCCATCATAATTTCAATGTTGAACCTTCCTATGTGTAAGAAAATAGCAAGGAATACAGTACTGAAAGTACCAATGACTGGTGAAGGTCTTATTATCGAACATTTCATCTGAAACTTAAGCTGAGCCATTCTGTTTTACTGTGAAACCTGTGATTTAAGAAATATAATAATTTGTATGGGCAGGAGAGAGGAGAAATAAGTAATCTGCCTTGATTTATCCTTTTTTCTTTTTATGGATAACATTTTTTTCAAAACATCTCACCAACATAATTCCTTGTCCGTGTTTGTTTTTACAGTAAATGTCATAAATATTCCCCATCTGAACCAACAAAGGCCTATGACAAGACTGTGTCAAGAAAAGCAGGAATTGTTTTTGAACCTGAGCAAGTTTTGCGGTACGTTGAAGAGCCAGACGCTGTGAGGAGCCATGAGCAACTAGTACGGGATTACCTGGAGGTGCGCATTAAAACTTTTCATTTATCAGTGTAACAAAAGTCTATCTCCTTTTTAATTTTCATTTTATAGGTGCTATTGAAATTTAACAACAGCTTCCTACCCATGGATTGCCTATTTTGTGTATCTTATTATACGTGAGGTTAAAACTTCAAAAATATTTCCCCTTTATGGTCCATCAAGAGATCGATTTTTGTTTTTTAACAATTGTAAAAAATACCTTAATTAATTTAGTAATTTAGTTTGAGTTTCATGGGTGCTTGGCAAAAAAGTAACAAGTTCTCAATATTTCGTAAAGATTTGTTTTGGATAAGACAGCCAAAGTCACTTGTCCAACGTTTGTAATTGCTGCTCTTTGTAATCTTATGCCTTCACTCCAATGCATCTTGTGTCTCAAATTAGAGGTTCTTCTTTTATTGTGACACTTTTTATAATGCATTTTGAAAAACGTCTTTGGTATTAAGTTTAGCATAATAACGCCTCTGCATCATCCAATAAAGCTCCTTGGATTGAAGGCTTAAGCTTTAAATGTTTCAGTAACTCAGTGTCATGTTCTGCAGTTTAAATGTCTTATGATGAGGCTGGATCCTTCTGAGGAAGACAGTGACGACTCAGGCAATGGTGGAAGAGATAGTCCTATGGCAGAAGGGCAGATGGTGGATCTTGAGGTAGTGATCCCCCCCCCACCCCTTCAGCCTCCCTTATCACCCATATAGATAACAAGGGTGGTGCAGTGACGAGAAAATTCACTTCCCATTTTTTTGGCCTGGGTTCTAAACCCAGAGGCAATACCACGTGCAGGTTGAGGGTTTTCTCCAGGCACACTTAAAAAAACAGCACTTGCAAATTCTAATTTGATCTGGAACACAAACCTAAATTGTTTTACTGGCTAGCTCCTAATAGCTCCTATGAGTCGTAGACCATCATTTTCTAAACGAATAGTGGACCAAATGAATACTCATGGCATGGGCACGGTCAATCGCTGTTTTGAGGAGAGACGGAAGGTGATTTCACACATGCTCACGAAAAAAGAAACAGCTAAAGTTACTGTATCTGTGGCTGAACTTGGTCTCTCCGTGAAGTTGAATGATTTCCTTATCACAGACCGGATTTTTTTTTCTGCTTCAAGGGGTGCACAGTTTCATTGTTTTCTCTTTTTCATTTTAGGGGAATCTAAAAACTCCCTCTGCTAAGCCCAGGGAAAAACGAGCCCCTAAACCTAGAAAGGTTTTAAAGGGTCGCAAAACACCTCCTGCTGGACAAGGAAAGGCAAAGTCAAGACCAAAGGGAAAGCGAACCAAGAAGAAAATAATATCCTTTTTAAAAAACATTTGGGGCCAGGCCTCACTTAGACCGCGGTTTAAGGCAATCAGTGGTTCTCCAGGTCTGTTAACTATGCACAGTTAAGAAGGGCAAATATTTTGCCAGTCCGGGCTAAAAGCCTTATTGAAACTGTTCGCAGTAAAGAATGTTTAGATAGTCAAAATTTACAATGTCTTAGATCATGGTTTCAAAACGGAGCAAAACTAACTATAGGCAAAGTAGCCAAAAACTCCGGGATCTCACAAGTGAAGTGAATTAAAGTGAATCTCAAACATGAATGGCTTACTCAACTAACATGGAACAATTGCTTATGATAATAAATTTAAGAGGCCCTTGAATTCTTACTGTCAGTTGTGATGAAAATCACCTTTCTCCTCTCCCGGATCTGTTCTTTAATTATTCACTGTCTTAAAGTATATCTCAAGAGTTCTTCAGACTGCATTCAGTTACCCCCTCAGTCAGACAGTTACTCTGAGGAAGAGACGGCTATCAAAACATCAACTCATTCGAATCTCTTTACAGTAGGCAACTTACACTGTTAAATGAGCGAAGAAAACCTGGTTTTTCCATGTCAGTCAGTCCATTATTCAAGCTTATAGTAGTCCATTGGTAAATCCCCTAATTCAGTTATTAAATAAGATCTTTGTTGAGTGTTTTGATTAGTTAATACTAAATAGTTTTGAGTAATTGTTGTGTAATGGCTTGTCTCTGTTCCTTAACAATTGTAACGCATCCGTGGATTTGGATCAAAGTCTAATGGACGAGAGTGATGACGACGTGGACTTTCTCTGTCAGTAATCCACTGTATGCGATCTTGTGGTCTACATTCAATCGATACTTTTACTACAAAAATTGGTCAAACGTTTTGTTCAGCCAAAATCTTTGAATTGGTGTCAAACAAACATCGCAAGAACTTTTTAAACAAAATTAGTGATGTTCTTGCAAACAATCATGAGATACACTGTAATGTAAATCACTAGCTTTCAGGCTGAGTTGAACTCTAGCAGTGAAAAGTATTCTCCTTCTCTTTTTGCAAACAGGGTTCATGCAAATACTTTGGTCACAAAATTTTGTTTCCCTTGAACAGACGTCTTTGTGATAAGTGGGGTTCAAGTGAATCGGGAAGTACAAAAAGTGAATTAATGAATAAAAGGTGAAAAGGGGAGAGGTGGCTGAGAAAGAAGCAACACTGCATTACCCTAATCCCCATGTTATTCTGTGGCCCTTTCATTGGCTAAGAATTCCATATTACAGAACAAATTAATATTTTGGACCATTCAAAAAAGCTTTTGTGTTAACCCTGTGCAGATTAATAACAAGCCTGATTATTATTTTAGTTCACTGCATAAAGTTCAAGTTTAAAGGGAAATTTTTATTGACAGAGAAGTAAGCGTTATTAGAATGCAGTGAATTGGACAAAATTCAACATTTTAAATTGTTTATATTTTACATCAGCCTTTGCCTTTCCTTGTACATAATTGTCTTTTCTTCATACTTATGAATCAATTTGTCATCAATGAATAATGGTTGGTGCTGCCCAAGTATTTGCATTCCAAAGTGAGATTGAATTTCTGTACCCTGTTGTTTTTTGCTTAATGGAGAGGCTTGGAGACTTAGTTTAGGTAAAGAAAACTTGAATTCTCCTCTGTGAAAAATTGTTGTAGCTTGCAATATGCGTTATTTTAAAGTTTTTAAGTTCTTGTCCTTCACCATTAATATATTATAATGTTTCCAAATGTAAGTAGAGAGTTATGCTTGTTTTTCTTTTTAATTGTATCATTAACACTGTTTTATTTAGCCTTGGTTAAAGTTATAGGATATACATATGAATATTAGAGAAAATTGTTAACTTATTTCACTGTTATTTGTGCTTTTCCTTTCCCTCTCTGTCTCTTTTTGTTCTTGCAAGGTATAACAAATCACTTATTTTGATGTCTACCTTTGGTATTACATAAACTCTGGCCAATTCATACTCATTTAATAAAAACTATGTTCTCATTCCGGAATAAGACTTAGTGTTCAGGTTCAGGTTGCATCTGAGGTCAGTGAAGCTAGGCCATTTTTGTTATACCAATCCACTCATCATAAATTAAAAACTATTTTTCAAAAGTCATTCCATGCAAGTGGGAAGAGCTTTTCATCATACATATGCTTGTGTAAGTATTGGAAGAAACTACACGTAAGAATTGTATCATTCATCATGCAATAAAGCAGCATCTGTACTTGTTAAAGAATTTCCTTCATTATCTTGCAAGTTTTGTCTTAAACAGAGATAATGCAATCACAGTGGGCGAGAGTTATCAATCTTTGAATTGCTCTGTTGGGCTTTCCCTGCTGTTAGTTGCAAGATCTTGCCAGCAAGGTCTAAAAAGGGCCTCGTGCAGCTCAGTCTTGCACACATGCTTGATGCAAAAATTATGGGACATTATTTAACATGAGAGATGGAAAGAGCAGGAGAAAAAAAACTTTGCAGACCCATCATTTGGTAGCATACCATAATATTATTATGGCATGAGATAGGTCATGTGGCCCCAACCTTTGAAGGGGATACTTTAAACTTCTTGCCAGCAAGATCTTGAGTTTTCAAGATCACACCCAGCAGGATCTTGAATGTTTGTTTAATGTGTTTTAATTTTTCAGTCAGCAAGGTCTTGAATTTTAACGTCTTGCTACCTCACTGGTTTTTCCAAACTACTGCTCATTTTGAAAATGACACAAAAGTGGGTTGACAACTAATATAATTATTACACATAATAATACATAACTATATCACATAACTATTGTATATAACATTGTGCATTGTGAAACCATTTCTAAATTAATTGCCAGGATAGAACTGAGGTCTCTCTAATATAGGCTCATTTTCATTGTATACTGAATCTTTCAAATTGCCTCATAAAATTAAAACGATCCAGATAATTTTATGGAAACCAGGCTTGTGCTCACTGCAAGGAACAACACACAAGTTTTGGATTAAAAATATAAACAGCTGAACAAAGGCTCCTTGTGTTGTTGTAGAATGAATTTACACAAAAATCCAAGTGCACTATGTCAAATGTGAAGAATGCATGAATCTGCATATTGGTGGACGCTGGATAAGTAAACATGGCAGGCAGTATTGAAAGGAGGGGAAAATGAAGGTGCAAACCCTACTTCACCTTGACTCCCACTGGCGTTAATGACACATGTAGAACCAGAGTTGGTGTCAGAAGTTTAGGGAACCTCAACTCGTGTTGACAAAAGGATACTTAATCCAAATAGCAAACTTCATAAAATCAAAAGAATAAGGTGCCTCTTCTTGGGAATCTCATTCCAATTCTCATTTCTCATTTGCTTGAAATTGAAGCTAAAGAAAAACCTTATGGACTAATAAAATAAAAGCAGACAGTGAGGTTCTTTATCTTAATCTATTTGAATCTGATTCAAGCTAATGGCAATCAGAATCTAAATCTAACAACGTCATTTGGGGAAGCAAAATAATAGCCCACAAAAGGGTAAATTGATGTCTAACTTAACAAACAATACACTCTTTTTCTGTTAAAACCATTTATTTTTTTGTTAAATAGTGGTATGTACATTTATGCTTAATTTCTCAGTGGACTAGCTTGGGATGAGTTCCACACGTCAGCAGTTACTAAAAGAAATGAATCTAATGTGGTTGAAAGTATCTGTTACATTTTCACACTTAGCACTCCCTAATTAGTTCTCAAGATTAGAAACGGGAGCTCAAGTGTTTAAAAACAGTTTCTCCCTCTTGTATTTTTTGCTGACATTCTTGATGAAGTCACATCCACCAAGTAAAATATTATAAAGCAGCTTGGTATATAGTAATCCACTTTCCCATCACTGACAAGTATTTTTTTTCTCTCAAAGTCTTCCATGACCCATTATTTGTGTGGTCAATGAAATTCAGCATTTTCGATAAAGTGTCACAAAACCAAATGGAAGTAATCATAACAGCCAATCACACTGTATAAGAACAATCAAACAAACTGATCTACTTTAACCCCCAATATTTACATACAAATTAATTCTCCAGACTGATCTCCCTACATTTCATTAAAGAATTGGTTCGGAGAATTTTATGGAGATCAAAGCTTTCACATCTGGGGCCAGTCTCTCAAAAGTCCCGGCAAATTTCTTGGGCCCGAAGGCAAATTCTATAATCAAAACTGTTTGAATAGTAGAACAGTTCCTTCTCACAAACAGGTGGATTTTGCTTTGTTAAAATAACGGACAGTTTGTTGTATTATTGAAAAACTTTGATCTTGACAGCAAATGCAGCAAACAAAACAGCTCTCTGGTTCCGAAAAGTTTTTTGATCTTTCGAGAAACGGGCCCCAGGAGATCATTTTATTAATTCTCACAACATTTTGTCTTGATTATAATTATATTGATATTGTTTGGAGAAACTACAGTCTTAGGACTTAAAGGGTTAAGCAAATAACTGGTGCCAGCACCATATCAATATATTTAAGTAATGGTCCAGATAAGAAGGAAAGGACCAAAACGCAGTGAACACGTCAGAATGCAAAAAGGTGCTAACTTTACTATTGTCTCTACTAAGGTTCTGATTGGTTTAAACATCAAATTTTACGAAATCTTCGCAAAGCAGCATGTACATCAATCCTTTTTTTTCTATCCAACTTCCTCATAACAAAATCTCGTCTGAGTCTAAGTAACACAGAAATCGTATGTGCGGATCATGTAAAATTGTGAACATTTCTTTGCCATTGTTTGCAACTCTTGTGATTGGTCGAAATGTTTTAACACAAAAATACATCCTTTAAAAGTGGAGTTTAAATACATTTTCTTTCGTAAACAGCCTTTTTGTAGATTTATGCACTCTCTGCGTAAAAATGAAAACATTTCTATGTGAGGAAAGCGTATTGCGCCACAACAATAGAAATTGCTTTCCTTCTTACCTGGATCATTACTTAACAGTTATTCCCCAAGTCTGAATGGGCTCTGACTCAGAGGCCATGAGGGCAAGAGGAATAAGTGTTTTAGTAAAATCCAACTAGTTGGTCAAAAATATTGAGAATAAAAAATTTTTAGCTAATTAAAAGCTAGACTTTAAGCCTTTTTTGCCGCCAAAAAGCCTGCGTAAAACATATAGCCTAGGAGTAGCTCAACCAATCAGAACACAGCATTGATAATAGACCACTAGTTTGATTCTTTTTATCTCTGGTAATTTTCATTTGGATCATTATACGTTTCTGGGAAACTGCCCACCTACCCCTTCCTTAAGCCAACATTTTGCCCTAAAAGAGCAGTAAGTGTTAATATAATGTTGGCTTAGTAGGTGAGGGGTATGGGGGTAGTTTCCAAGAAAAGTATACTTTCATTTTTCTTTTGTTTCAATGTCATAAGCACACATTACCTTACCCAAAAACAACCTGAAATAAACAATTATCTACAACATATACTTAGGTAATTCTCAAATTTGATTAAAAAAACTCAACTTAAAAACCTCAACTTTTTTGACATCTGTGAAGTAGGATGCCATGGCTGTTATAACAGTTGAGGCTACAGTAAATTGTTCTTTGGTCCAAAAAGGCATGCAAACCTAGTAAAACATCATCCTTAGTTTTATTTGGACCCACAGTAATAGGTTACAGCAGTGGTTTTCCTTGCCAATTATGACATTTCTTTTTTGTTTCAGTTTTTTCAAATTCTGTTCAAGTCAATCCATCTTCGTTTGGTTGGCAAATCTAATAATAACAATAATTATTATAAAAATATTATTTTGCTGATAACTGCAATAACAGTTATTTTCAGGATTTCAAATTTCTTCGCCAATTATTATCAACTTTGGGAAAACCTTGCTAGCTACCCATATTTTGTTAAAAAATTGTGCCATTTTTAACAGAATAGAAGGCTGTTGATACAAAATTAATATGGCATGAGGGGCAACAAGTGGCTTGCTCTCAAAATCCCCAATCATCTTCTCCAGTGAAAATGAGAAAATAGGCCAGAATAGTTACAAAGATGAAGACATTTCCAGAAAGGACCAATGCTGTTGCTCCCCACTTTATCTGAAAAGGAGGACCAAGATGTTTGTTAGAAACCATCCATTCTTTAAGTTGATCCATGGCTGTAACATAACCATAATCAGTCAGAAAGACTGGGCAAATCCTTTACTTTTCTCAGAGATAAAAGAGCAAGCAAAAGAAGTGAGTGCAAGTAAGCATGAGGCAGAGACTTTGCTTGCACTCACATGCTCTGCTCATTGTACTAACTCTTAGAAAAATACAGGAATTATTTTTTGTCTTGCAGGATATATTCTAATAAGTTAAATAGGTGTTAAAGTCAAACCGCGCCTTACAGACACCTGATTAATACTGACACCTCATTTCTACAGACAGTTTCTTTGTCCGTGGAGGAAGAAAGCCCAAGTAAATTTTCTCTAAATTAAACCCGCTTAATACGGACACTACATTAAAGGAGCTGTGTCAAGAAATTCAGCCAAATTAGGTAATTACAAAATGCCCGTTAAATTAAGAGAAATGTAAAAATAACCACTTAAAACATTAAAGGAAGGTTAAAATAACACAACAGATACAACAGATGCCACGGATGGGCAAAACTGAAGAAGACTGAAACGGACTGAAATTAGGGTTATTGAAAACTGTTCAGCCTAACAGTTTTTCAAAGTTGATCTCTGCTGTTTGCAACTTCAAAAATAATGCTCAGGAGACATATTTGTTCGTCTCAAATCTCTGATTTTGTCATTTCCATGTAATTTCTTTGCTTACTTTAAGTTCCATAGCGATTGAGGGCGAGTAATTAGCAAAATTAAACATAATGAACTGGACTGCCGTGACACAACCCCTTTAATACGGACACTACATTAATATGGACACTACATTAACATGGACACTACATTAATATGGACACTACATTAATAAGGACACTACATTAATATGGACACTACATTAATAAGGACACTACATTAATAAGGACACTCCATTAATATGGACACTACATTAATATGAACACTACATTAATAAGGACACTACATCAATAAGGACACTACATTAATATGGACACTACATTAATAAGGACACTACATTAATAAGGACACTACATTAATATGGACACTACATCAATAAGGACACTACATTAATAAGGACACTACATTAATATGGACACTACATTAATGTGGGCACTACATTAATAAGGACACTACATTAATATGGACACTACATTAATAAGGACACTACATTAATAGGGACACTACATCAATAAGGACACTACATTAATAATTATGGACACTACATTAATGTGGACACTTTCTACTGCCCCCTCCGAGTCTGTATTAAATGGGTTTAATTGTACTAAAGTTTAAGCTGTTATCAATCCAAGAGGAAAACAATTTTGCAGCTAACCTAATGAAATAACAATTATTATTCCAGAGGTGAATACACTGTAAATGCACTGTAAAAAAATTGTTTTAGACAAGTTTTTCAATAAGGTACTTACAATCTCACAGCGTGCAAGAACTATGGGTAGACCTAGAAGATTAAAGTGCACTCAGTTATTCCCACTTCTAATAATAATATTGATAATATATTACACTAGTTACCTATTTATTTGTAGCCTTTAACATAATCATGATCAAAGCGGCAAACCTACACCATTTGCCTTGAGGACTGTCACTGGTTTGATAAAAAACCAGATAAAAGATCCACACAAGAGGCCCTGCCAGGGTAAATTCCGACAAGCGACATTGACCCAAAAAGTAGCTACAGCGCGTTAAATGAAATCGCGACAAGAGACAACCTCCCTTGGCCAAATTGTAAATTATAAACACCGACATAACACGTTTTAAAATTCAGACGGGCGACATGGGACCCCCACCCCCTGGCAGGGCCTCACACAGTGCACCTAATGTTAAAACAATGGGCCTTGCAGGCTTTTACTGTGAAACTTTTTTGTACTGTGAAACACCAGAAATATTTATGGAATACTATTGTTTTTCACCCAAAAAGCCAATACGGAGGGAGAAAATTAAACTAAACCGCAAATAGTAATAACGGCAATTAGTTTGTGGTTTTGAGATTTGCTTGCATGTCATGAACTTTACTGTGATTGGCCATTACACAATCAACATTCCTGAAATTTTTCAAGTGTTCACAGTTTTCTGAGTCTGACAGTAAAGGAGACTGGTGAAAATAGAGGTTTAGAAGTGTTACAAGTCTACTGGATCAAAGGAGTATTTTAACAAACTCCGACATGTCAAATAAAAGTTTGGAAATTAACAGTATCCTAAAATAATTTTTAAAACCAACAAAGAATACTCACCAAATGCAGAGACCACGTTTCCTGCAGTAAAAAACATTGCTGTTTCCTTGATTACGCTAAGGATGATAATGCATACATGCAAAATTATGAGTGACAAACAAATTTGCTTGAAATTTAATGAACTATTGTTCCTCCTGTTTACTTGTGAAGTGGGAGAAATTTATTTATTGTATAAGCAAACAGACTTAGTCAATGACTTAAAGTTTGACGTTTCTACAAACCAACTCTGGGATCTAATCAAACAAACTGTCCATAATAGAGATGTCAGTACTATAGACGTACAGATGGTAAGAAGTTTGGCAACTTTATGATCAAATGAAATGTCTGCAATTAAGTGTTTTCTTTTATGAAAAGTCCAAACTGTACTTACTTTGAAGCATTAGAAGAGAAGTCTTCAGTGAACCGTTTGGCTATAACAGTGGGTACAGGAGCAAGTACATAAAAGAACACTGAAACAAAAAAGTAACTCTCTTTAGGATACATTGTATTATTATTCAGTTGATGGCATACTATACTGGGGCTCAGCTAGAGTAAAATTCCGAAAAGCGACATGCCCTTGAAACAGCGACCTAAGACCAGATAAAATGGCAACAAACGAGGTAAAGATGGATTCACTACAAGATAGAGGGCATTGCCTACTCCTCAAAATGCGAAACGTTAGGCTAGGGACATACATACACTCCCCTCCCACCCCCACCTATGAGGCCTCTATACTTTACAAAGAGTCTTGACTTTAAAGCTTGTTTTCAACCAAACAGTACCATCTACAGTATTTACTCTTTTGTGGAAAGTAACTTTTTTTAAACATGTTTTAATCTGATATCAAAACCCTACTACACCTTTGCCAAACATGTTCCTTCTAAACAGAAGATAACCATACAAGACCCACCTGGAAAACGTCTGACAAGTTCCCAGGGGGAAGGGGTTTACCCTGTACCTTTTTGGTTGATGGTTTTCATACCCTAGCTCACACTTGCTTAACACACCATGCCCAGCTGCAATTCCATGACCCTACTCTAGAATAAAAACTGGGTCTTTCTGCGGGTACCGTCATCACAAAAGAATCAAAGAAACCAAAAATAGAGTTCTCCTGGGGGCTTTATTGTTTGGTTGTATTGTTTCTTTTGTTGTACATAATCTGTGCCTCGGTTCCTACAAAAAGAACCCAAAATCCAAAAATCCTTTGCAATCTTTGTCATCACATCGTCATCATACCCACAAATCTAAGGTCTCAACATGAGTAAGAAATTAACTTACATACAAACAATGGCCACCACACTCTGCAAAAGGAAAACAAGCAATAAACAGTTGGTAAAAAAAGTTTAACACTTCAATGGTACGAAAGTTAAGGTAGACCCCATATATTTAACATACAATAATCATTAATCGAAACGGATACACAGATTGTGAGGGCTGTTAAGAAATTATACACACCCATATTGTTCCAAAGCACAGCCAAGAATAACGAAAAGCACACCGATCGCTGCACTGAATGACAGAGCAATTATCCTATGAGAAACAAATAGCGCTTTAAAGGCATCAAAACGACATGCACATTTCAAATGTAAGCATGCAATCATAAATATTTGACAAGGTGACTTGAAAGGGGTAGGCCCTCCATTTCAGACGAAAATTTACACTTACGCTGGTAAGTCATCCATGAAAATTGACGAATATGAAAGGAAAGAAAACAACACAAAATTGTTTAGAAATGAAGCAGGTACTTTTGACAACACCTATAAATCAATCATTAAATAAAATTCTTCTCACTGCACTGTCTCACCCCATATGCCCGCCATCTTGTCTCTCGTTCCCAGCTCTTCACGTGATTACGTATTAGAGTTGCTTCTTTACGTAAGTTGCTACTTTTGGAAATTATTGGTATTCATTCCTCCGTTGTGTTTTTTCTTTCAAATTATCATTTAAATGATTCTGACGTATACTCTGTAAGCATCTTAAAATTATTAGAAGGTCTTAGAAGAGCTTCTCAAGTGCTCAAGTACCTATCAAAAAATCCGAGTGAGAGCTGGGGTCTAAGCTTGTCAGTTGCATAAAAAATGGCGGACAAACACGAATATTTGTGTACAAAATAATATGTAGCGGCATTAAGCTAAAAGAACCACCCGAGCAACTTTCGAGGCCAGCTCCGGTAGAACATACAATGTACAGAACGAACATATTATGTTACTAAAGCTTGACGTTCTAACGTCAACCACAATCAAGAGGAAGAAACCATGGCCAAAGTTAGCATGGCTTGGCAAGGTGAGCATAAAACATACCGATATACAGTACCGCTAAGAGTGGTATTGTTTCCTCTTTTATATTAGTTATTTCACTTTTCGTTGATGCCCAGGTAAGTATACGATGTAATGTTACTTTAGTAAACTGCTTCATACTGAAAACCTATGCTAACTTTGTGTGTTTCTATGTTTGTTAACGATGGTTAATTTTTGTAATTTAAAAAGCTTAAAAACAGTTAACCCTTTCTTCATTTCTTAGGATGTTGGTGACTTATTCTTGTTTGACTCCCATCGGATCAGCCAGTTGTATTTACCATCAGGAAAAACAAAGAAAAAAATTCCTCCACTCCAAAACTATCTTGAAGATGTGCAAGGGTTTGGCATTTCTCCAAATGGTAAGAAAGTGTATCTTCCTCTATCTCACATACCCAGGGGCCCCACTCACATATTTTAATGACGGGGGGGTCCGAAGGATTTTTTTGGGTCTGACATTTTGGCCAAAAAGGATTTTTTTGGGTCTATGAAAGACGCGCGGATTTTTTTGGGTCGCGAAAACAACAGAGGGATTTTTTTGGGTATTGTATTTTTGATCAGCTCAAATAAAAAATAACATACCGGTAAGCGCAATTTATAGTTTTGTTTTTGACCAAAACCAAAGTTGAAGTTGGCATGTTTTAGCTTTCCAGAAGATAAATAATAAAATTTGCTGATGCAAAAACACTGAGGGATTTTTTTGGGTATGCTAAAAAAAGGAGGGATTTTTTTGGGTAGACAAATTCTGAAGTTGGGATTTTTTTGGGTATAAAATATGAACCTCTGTCGGACCCCCCGTCATTAAAATATGTGAGTGGGGCCCCTGGGCTCACATACATACCCTGCATGAGAGATTGATACAGTACTCAATTATTTCGATTTAGTTGTAGAAATCAGGATTAATCATAGAAGCATCTCTTGTACAAGATATGAAACCCACCCTTAAAGGGACACAAGCTTAAGTAAATCAAGAACCTTCAGTCCAATATTTTTCTGATAAATGGTCTTGTACGGTAGAACCCCATTAATGCAACCACCGTCGGGCTATAAAACCCTGGTCGTTATAACGAGGTGGTTGCATTAACGTGGTCTTCAAAATAATGAAATGACTCAGTGATTTTTGTGTTTAGGTCAAAAAAATATATGGTCGTAATAACATACAAAAGAGGTGGTCATAAGACAGGGACTGCAGGGGTTCCACTGTACTAACCTTTTCGCTCTGAAAAATGCCCAAGGTCAAGATTTGAAAGTGTTGCGGAAAAAGATTTCACTGATTTGAATGGTTGGGCTGTAGGATATTGTCCACAGACTCAATAGTTAGATGCACTTTTCAAGATCCCACCAGTCATTCTGGAAATAAGGGTCAAGCACATTACCTCTTTTAAGTAGATACTGGAAAGTGTTCTCTGGGTGTCCACTTAATACAAGTTTCACTGTCAGTAAAGTAATCTTGTTTGACAAAAATACAATAAATTCTTCCTAATACAGGCCTGTTTGTTGCTGGTGCATTGAACTCAGGAAAAATTTTTATCTGGAACAAAAGCTTTGGCACAGTACAGCTTACTTCTGTGTTGGACAAGATAAGAATTGTCCACCCTGGAACAAGTAAGTGGCCTTAAACAAACAATACCTCTTTCATCCTTTAGTCAGGGCAGAGACATACATGTACTCCCACTATATGAGAGAGGAATAGGTGTCAAAACAATTTGATAACAATAATAAACAAATAATGAAGAAATAAAGACTCAGAGTAAAGAGTTTTGCAAAGCAAAGTATTTTGATCTATCTAAAAAATTTTTCCTCAGTCTTTTGATCTTTCATTCACTATCAAATGTTTCAAAGTACTGCACATGGATACAAAATATTTATGTTAGATTCAGGCCTCTTTCCCTGTCCAATATTGGACCTAGTTTGCTGATGAGTGTTACCTCCTCAACCAGCTATTTGTCCTTTTGATCCTCTGCTCTAAGCACTCGGACATCTTCAAGCTTGTTGCCATGCCCATAGGCATACAACACTTTGGAATTGTCAGGTGATGGGTAATCATTTAACTGATAAGATCAAATGATGCAGAAGTTTGATTTTCAGGAACCTGTCTACTTGCTTTTTCCAGCTACAAATTAATCAGTGGGTTGCTTGCTCATTTCAGGACACACAGGTCTGTTTCAACTGTATATTTCAGACTGTGGAAGCAAGGTTTTAGTCCTGGTTGGATTACGTCAAGTTTTTCTTTGGGAAACACAAGAAAATAACGTAGCTGGGGATGCCGGTATGACCAACATAGTTCTAGTATCAAACAAATTCCATTTTTCAGTACAGTCTAAACTCCCTCATTCCTTCCACACTTACACGAAAATGAAGTTTGTTGGATTGATTTTAATAATTAAAAAATCATTTTTCCTCCAAAAAATTTTTTCTTTTTTTGCTTTTCAATTTTTGCTCTTTCATACTCAGAGTCAATTGAATAGGGTACATGGAATAAACGTTAAGCATACAGTACAAAGACTTGAATGTGTGTTCAAGCCCAGCCACCTCTATAGGAGAGAAGGGGTTTAGTTTTGACTGAGCTGCAGCAATGAGCCATATGAGTCTTCCCTGAGCATGATAGAGGGACACTGCAGTGTGTTATTCTAAACATTCTGTTTTGTTGTGTATCTACAGTTGGTGATTCATTGAAAGGTATTTGGCTGCAGATTCAGTGTGGAACTTATCTTCTGCCAGATGAAAAAGACAAAGAGACTGCTATTGATGGCACATTCTTTACTGATCCAGTAAGTTAATGTTGATCTCTCTGAATTTCAAGCAGAAAATATGTTCTTTGTTTTCCATTTGCAATGCAATCCAACACTATCTTTGAATGCTGAACATGAGATTGTACTGATGACAGGTGTCTGTTTTGTAGAGCTCTGATTCAAAGACAGGCTTCAACTTCATCATTAGTAGTTTCTAATGAGTCTGTTTCACAATGTAGCCACTTGAAGATCGCAGTTTCAAATTTTTACTGCTAGTCTTCATCAGGAATGTGAGGTCAGCTGTTTACAAAAAAGCACATTGCTCTGCTGTGAATGGTTGGTTTTCTGCAGCTGTGATTCTCACCTCCCTTTAAATCAAAAACTTGTTCATCTTACAGTCTTACTGTTGTTTTTTACAGGGTACTTATATAGTTTTTCCTTTTTTTTTCACTTTTTTCCTTTTTACCATTTACTTCTTGTTTGACTACATTATGAAAACAAACCTCGTAATGCCTGAACATTAGTTGGTAAATTAAGTTTAACTTTTATTTGGTAATAATGCACAACAATGAATAACTTTAACCTTATAAGACTGTTTCCGTTTTGTTTGTTTGTAATCCTAGCTGTGTGGTACTTCTTGCACTCTTTCCTGGGTCTTTAACAAAGGAGACAGGATTCATGTTACCACACTGCACTTGTTATGGCAAGAGAAAACCTACAATTTTCAAGTTGACACCTCTAGCAACCAACTGGAGGAGGGTATGTTTTACATAAACAGGACAAACTTTTACCTAAATTGAGAAGTAGCCTGGAAGCATTGACACAAGGTTGTGCGTGTTCTACACAAAATAGTTTTTAGATAGTGCAATCACTTTGTCCCTAAAAGATCTTGTATACCCAGCATGTAAGTTTCATACAAGTATTAAAACTAAGGGTTTTAAGGGGGCCACTGTGCACCACTGTAGTCTTGTGATTAATGGACATGTGCTGAACTTTAAAAAGGTTATCATAGAGAAATGATAGATTAAAGGAGCAATGCCGCAAACTGCTTAAAACTTGTTTCCATGGGCATAGAGAAGTTTACAGTGATTGCTTATTCCATTGTCATAAGAGGATGGCCAGCAGATAGTTTGTGCAAATGTTGAGCTCAATTCTTCTTTTCCCCTGGACTTTCTTTTGCTCATCTTAATTTTTTTACCCCTCCGTGAAGCCCTTTAAAGGTGGGCATTTGGCCAACATAGTAGGGAGGGGGGGGGAGGTGGAGTTTTCAACCACATTTTTTCAAAAGAGTCAAATGCCTGGTCATCGGAATAAATGAACTGATGACTGACTCCTTGTTTAGTGGTTTTATGTCTTTTTTTCATTTCCCCTAACCTATAATGTGAGACCTGTGTATATAGATTTCTTCATTCTTTTTTTAGGGCTGGAATCATCCTTCACCCCAGCATGGCGCACATTTAAGCATTCACTCTACAACCTGACCCCTGCTGAAAGGACCATCAAGAGCAGAAAGGCGTACATTGCCCGGGTATCACCAGACGGACAAATTATGGTGATAGCAATGAACCAGAAGTTTGCAGCTCACAACAGAGTGATGTTTTATTCACTGTCTCAGTCAGCGGTAGCTGTGATTGCAGATTTGAAGGGCTGTGGAGCAAGGCTGAATACACACGGGGGTGTCCCTAGTGGAAGGTCAGATGTAATAATGATAATGATAGTAACAGTAATAATAATAATAATTAATAATAATAATAATAATAACGGTGGCCCATGTGGTGAGTGTGTGCGATTAGCTGGTCAGTGCAGACATAATATAAAGGAAGGCATGATAACGTTGCACGGTATATCCACTGGCAACTTTGTGGTAAATGTGGATTGGAAAGAGCTAATAGCTGGTATGGCCAGAAGCCGGAGGGAGTGGTAGAAAGTGAAAACTTCAAGATACTGTGGAATTTTACAGTCCAGTGTGACCGGAAAATTGAGGCAAGAAGACCAGACGTTGTCTTTATTGATAAGAAGAAGAGACAGGTTGTCATAATTGATGTTGCAATCCTAGGTGATGACAGGGTGAAAGATAAGGAACTTGAGAAGTTAGAGAAATACCAACTGTTGAAAGATGAAATTGCAAAAGTCTGGCGCATGCGAAAAGTCATCGTTGTGCCTGTTGTTATTGGGGCCCTTGGAGCGGTATCAGTCAACTTTAAAGGAGTACGTGAGGCAAATCGGCGTGAACGTGAGGTTGGAAGTTGTTCAGAAAACAGCATTGTTGGGCTCAGCAAAGATACTAAGGAAAGTACTGTCCCTGTAAGAAGAAGGAAAAGAGAGACCTGGGACCCGTGGGGACTTGTTGTAACCCGCTCCCAAGGACTATAAATCAGGCCGAACATCTTACCTGAGTCTACAAGGAATGGACATAATTATGACAATGATTTATAATATTGATGATGATGATGGCGATAATGATTTAATGCCTGCTCATGAATGTGGCCATTCCTGCTAAAAGAAACGCCTTAATAAGTTGTTGTATATAAATACAAAGTAAGATTTAGCCCAGTTTGCTGAGATGCATAGGTAAGCCGCGGTGTGCCGATCGGGAGGCAGGTCACGGGTCAGGGGCACTCAACGTCAATTTTCGAAAAAATGTTGTAAAATTTCTTGCTGCCTGCCTCTCCAAGGATTTTCGAACATCTAAAAATGGTATAATTGCCCATTTTTAACGGATTTTTACCCTAAAAAGGTCACCTAGAATTTTCGGGAGCCTTTTTCCTGGCTGAAATTTTTAAAAGGTAAGTTTTGATCCCTATAATTTTCGGATCACTAGACTTTCAGCTAGGAAATTCGAACAGATGAAAAATTTTTAGGGGATAAAAATATGCCTATATCAACCGTTTAAATGCTAAAATACGTTTAATAATGCTATGTTTAATTGGTTTTGAACTATATTCTCGTTGGGTGCCCCTGAAGGGTTGAAATCCCGGCCTGCCCTGAGAGGGTATGCGTAGAGCTGTTGCGGTGAACCTGGCGAGAAATTAATGACAAACATAGTTAACATCTAGAGCATTCAGTTTTATTTTGCAGCAATCCAGAAATAAAAATTACAAAATGGTCAAGCGAAAATATTAATTTTAGAAAAAGATTAGGGAGCTTGGTTTCTATGAATTATGGCTATAATTTACATGCTTGCTACTCGTTCTAATCCTTGTGCTATGGCTCCGTGGTTGTTGTTAGTATTTCCGTGTTCCGTGTTTTGTTGAGATTTTTCTTCGGGTTCCTGTTCAGCTTTCATTTGGCCTGTAGCGTTTGGCGCTCCAAATAATCGCATCTCAATCTCTTCAGCCTGGGCAATATTCATAGTTCTACAAATCAACTCGACGAACGATACACGAAACTCTCTTAATCTGACTGAGTAAATTATGGGATTGAAGAAAGAGTTTAACGAGGTCATCGACAGCGCTAAAAAGCCTAATATATATACGACGTCCAATGACACTTCGCTTCGATATCGTAATAAAACAGTTCTTACAACAATTCCGGGCATATAACACAATATTAGCACAACAAGGATAATAAATGTCAGTTTAAAGGCCTTTTTATCTCTCTGAAATTGTTCCTTGGCCTCTTGTGTCACTTGCTGATCTGCAATTTGTTGTTCGATTCGGCGGATTTCACGGTAAACTGTAACATGACAAAAGACGATGAACGAAATGCATACACCAGCAAATACGCCCCACATGAGGAGAAATAAAGATTTGTTAACAGCAAGAGGAACGTGCAAAATGATGGATAGGAGCCACGCCAAGATAGAAGCAACAAGGAAACGAGCATCGGTGACGAGGGTGGTGTAGGCGAAAGGGTATGTCATGGCCAGGAACCGCTCCGCGCTTACCAAAGCCAAGTGAGTTAACGAACCAGACACGAGGACGCTTGGCACGGCTGTTGCAAAAACTTGAAACGAGCACGACGCACTGGAGGTTGAATCAAGTAACACTGTTATTGTCAACGCGATGAGGGACGGTTGCAGAAGGAGGCCGACGACGAAGTCTGTGGAAGCTAGCAAGGCGAGCGCGATGTTGGACTTGTGCATTCTTAGCCGAGATTTCATTTTGACGGCGATCATCACAAGCGCATTCAAGATAACGGTAAAAGGAACAGTAATGATGTTGATGACCACGATGATGATCAGAAAAGTTTGAGTGCAAGTCGAGGTTTGATTAATTCTGCCTCCCAACGTTTCATAAACCTCACATCCAGAAGGGATGAACTTGTTGCCTGGTACACTCGAATTCATTTTCTTTTCTTGTTTTTCTTCCTGGTTCTCTGCGATTGTCTTACTTCCTGCCTCACCTCACTAAAAATGACTTGACGGTTTGTGTTGGTCTTGTAAAAGTAGCCTTATCTTCTGTTGTTCAGTTAGTCCCGCTTGTTTTTCAGCTTGAAACATTCATCGTTCTCTGCGGCGAAAGTAAAGCATTTCTTCGCACACACACACAAACGTTCTACGGCATCGCGTAGAATGACGCGGCATACATCCGTTCCTTTTACGCATTGTCTTACAAAATACAAAGGTTTATTTTTAGGTAATAAAGAAAATGACTTGAAAAACTCAAGAGGCCAGCAGTGCGTACGTCTGCGGACGTACGAGCTTATTTCTGAATTTTCAACAGTTAGTATATTGCTTTTGCAGAGGAGACCTTGTTAAAAAAGAAAGAAATATTTTTTGACATGTTTGAAATTGTACCAGAAGTGAGACCGGTCGCAAATTTTGCTTGAATCAGGCCTATTTTAGGAATATCTTTGAATGAGTTTGTTGTTGTGCTTAGATAATGCAATTACATGTATTCAATGACGTACAAAGGATTGAAAAGCCGTCACTGAACAACACAATACCTAACCAACAATAGTCAGCTTACGGCTTTCAGTTGATTGCTTCCTGTTAAACTTTAAAGAAGCTACGAGCCAATTTCAAATCAAACTCACGGTCGAACCTCCATTAAGCGGAGTTACATCCATACAGCAGTTTCTGAACGTTTTCTTAGTGATAACCATTCTGAAAACCATATGGCTCTTGACCCCTTTTGAAAAACTCAAGACTGGACGCGATTCTATAATTGAACCTCCATTAAGCGGCCACCCTCCATTAAGCGACCAGCAATCAAAGTCCCGAAATAGATGTAGAAAAGAATGGGGAATTCAGCCTCTATTAATATTACCGCCTTTTGGCTATTCGGCAAACGGGGCAAAAGAAATCTAAATTTGAATATTGAATTTAATGTTGAAGAGGTATCCCTAAGGAGGTAATACTTGCCGCTTGCCTCAAAATCGAGGGCTGCAAGTAGCCCCCCCCCACCCATGGTTGCTTCAGGGTGAATTACTCATATCGGGCAAGAAAATTACAGAAAGGATAGAGGTGAAAAAGAGATAGACCTAAAAAGTCTTAACCAATTTATGTTCACTCAACCAACGTTACGCCTTAAAACTAACTTGCACTGAAACTGTGAAGCATTCTGTTTGAGGTCTTGATGCGCAAACCGGTCGTTTCGATACAAAGTCGTTTTGATACGAACGCTGGCAGTAAAATTGCGCAAAAATTTAACTTTAACTTCAAGTATAGTTTGCTCGTTAGTAGGAAAAAACACTTTGAGTGAACATTCTTCGTTCTTTAAACCAAGTACGTGGAATTATTTACTCCTCGACTGAGGCCTGGTTCAGACGCCGTACTTTTCATGTGCCGAACCCCGAACCTAACTGAATAAGTTCAACTTTGGAGCGACACTGCCGCGACATCTGATTCAGACGGCGTACCGTGTGTCGAACCTAAGTTAAGTTCGACAAAAGTTCGACAGACTCTGTCGAACTTAACGCTTTTGCCGCACCAAACTAAAACTGCCGTACCAAATTGATTCAGACGCAGCTCTTTTGCCGTACTTAATTCATCAGTTAGGTTCGGCACATGAGTGGAGCGGCATCTGAACCGGGCCTGAATAAACTTGTATCGAAACGACCGGCAACCTCTTGATGCTGTATCTCAATTATTTTCTGTTTCTCACTTTTGTCTTTACTCTCAGGTCTTGGTGGATAACAGACATGGCTTGGACCAGAGACAGTCTTTTGGTTGTGTGCATTACTCGCCGTGGTTCAGTTTGTATTCTGACAAAGCTGGGAGAACCCATGGAGATCTCAACAGAGGGCTGTTCTCTCCACACCGGCCCCGCTTTTTTCCTTCCGCTCCATCCAAAAATAACTTTTCAGTGAGTGCATCGAAATCCATTTTAACTACTCTTTAAGGCTGGAAAAATACTGCTTCTCTTACAGTAACGAATTCCATTGAATCGCGGTCTCACGTCCATTTTTCCCAAGGGCAACGGTTTGCGTACTCTATACAAGCGTCTGTAAGAATCTGCGATAGAAACTTCGCGTTTCCTCGCAATTTGCCTTAGCCAACAAACCATTGAATTTCTACTTGTATATTCTTTTCTTGCATCGTTGAGTATTGTCCCATCGACTGTTTGTTTTAGCGGGGGCGGGGGGGGGCGTGGAGGGGTGGTGTGAAAGAGAGGAATTGGAGAAGAGACACAGCTTTTCTTTGTCTCCTGCCACTATTCGTCGCCCCATTCTCCTTTCACGCCACAAGGGAAAAGTAACTGCAAGCGCCGGACAATTTTTTGTCGTCAACCTTGAAATATTATTTGGCGTTTAGTACTTTGGGGGTTAAAATATGTTGTAGACAGACTGCAAAACAACCCATATTCTTGCGTAGTTCAAGAACGCGCGAGCAGTCAAACGAAAGGTCTGGAGCGAGGCTGAAAGTAAAGTGTAGGGGGGGGAGCTTGCGCATTAAAAAACCTGTTTTAAATACAAAACCTTAGTCAGAATTTCAGCCGCCTCCTCCGCTCGCTAAGCGAAATTCAGACTTAAAAAACTGACTGTTTTGCTGTTTACTATCTATTGTTTCTTCGCAGACGGTCACGTGATGTTACCTCGGACTCCACGGAATCGTATGCGTCAGAAAAGGACCCCCTCTCTCAGAGATTCTCTGTGTCAGTACATCCCCTTCTGCCGGTCATTTTGAGCTCCGATGGTTACCTAGTGACGGTGATGCAACTTCCGCCCGTTGCCAGTTACCATGGAGTCATGACTGGCCTCTTGAGAGATGTCACAAGGTGTGCCGTCTTCAATCAATAACCTCTGAAAATTAACTCGAGTATTCATCACTGAAATTGCATGGAATAATTTTCTCCCCGTCTTCAGAATGAATGGGGGAATTAACCTAAAATATAACGAGAAAACTTGGTCGTTAGGCACAAACTGACGTTCGCCGTTTACGGTGAATGTGATTCTAGCGTGTGTGAAATACTACATTCAAAAACTTATCGACATTTTCTAAAGCTGTCCCCAACTTAAAAGTAAATCCTACTTTTGGGGGGCAAAAAAGGCGAAACCATCAGCCTTGCGTAAAGATAAGCATCCGAAAATTTCTTGCCGTTGAAGTCGATAGCCTACTTTTACTTAGACATCATTTGAGTATACATGTATCTACTAGAGCTCATTTAATTTTGCTTCATACTGTTTTTGAAACAGTAGCTTAGATTTTCACAAGAAAACAACACACTGAAGGATTCTGGTAATTGTTAAAAATAATGACGTCATCATACAGTAATACCTTTTAAAAAGTATTTATTGTGTTTATTGCAGACTTGTCCCGGATGTAGATGTAGAGATTCAAGCTGGATCACTGTCGCGATCCTCTTCTATGGGCAGAATCAACATATTGCAGTCAGAAGTAAACATTTCCCGTGGGATCACTTCCACAGAATTTTTATCTGATGCTCCAAGCGAGAATAATTCAACCGGGTCTTCTACGATTGTTCCAGGTTAGTGAACGTTCACGTCGCTCCTAAACATCTCCTAAACAGGATCTTATTTTCTTCATTTTCAGCAACATTAGTAACTTTGTAAATACTAATGCACCATCACTGAGGAATTACAAGATAAGAGAGAAGCTTTAACGTTTTTTTAGAGAAACGTAAAAGTATTCTACTTTGCAAAAATAGGCTTAATGAAATCATGAAAATGGTTAGTAACAAATTGAATGTGTTAAATTTATTACAGGCAAAGTTAAACCAGAGCCAATGCCACTGGCGGCTTTACTTTCTCAAGCACGTGTTCTGTAGGGGCGTCCGCTTTAAATAGCAGGGCCTCTTACCTGTACACCACTTGCACATCTCCCATAATGTACCCTATTTGCGCCCCCCAAAAAAAAAAAAAAATTTTGCATTACCTTTGTTTTTCATTTCCCCTTGGTATTACAGCCATCCCAAGGGAAAGCAATGCTTATGCAATTTTTGTCGTCGGGGGGGGGGGCAGATAAGGTGCATCATGGGAGATGTGCAAGTGGCGTATTGCTTTAGTTTTGCTTTCGCTGCGGATAATTGCGGATCCATTCAACGTCATTTGTAGCGAAATGTTGCGGATTCCTTTTGCCCCACCTTCCCACTCCCCAAGGGTGGCCTGTCCATGTAGGTATCGAGTCAGATAAGTCTTTTCCACTGGATCAGGTTCCAGTGTGACGGTACCTGTTAGTGGCCGCTGCAGGGGTGGTTTCCGCCTGCGGGGTTGATATGGATACCTCCCTGCTATACCTGGGGTATTTTAGACCCCACCCCACACCACCAACCTTTAAGACACCAGTTCCCAAGCTCATCTATCAGCGATGAGTTTAATTGTTGGTATGTTTATTTGTTAATCTGTTTGTTTAGGGTACGGTCTAGCAAGTGGAGATCAAGGGAAAGGTTTCTTTGGACTCAATGACCCTGAACTTGAAAGCTCTTTGCCTGAGTACATACCTGGCCATCCGGATGCTATTTCTCATGCCCAGGGCCTCTCTATCGTGGCTCTTGCGCTAGGAACCGCGTGCGGCGTGAACTGGAAACGAGAAGTTGGTTCGGCGATGGACCTAACGGTGAAAGTTATGGTGAAAGTGTTCCAAGTTCTTCTTCGCAACTCTGAGAATGTTGCTCAGCTACGCAGCTTTTCTGAACCTTTTTCTTCGCCAGGTGATTTAGTAAAACGTCGTAGCCCTAGCCCAGTAGGAGACAGAAACCTGTCCCGGGCTCTGGTTTATTTCCGTTTGTCGCTGGAAGTGTTCAAGTGGGATTCAGGTCACAGAAACGTGTTTGCCTGGGCTTTTCATTTCACACACGGTATCATAAAGGAGATACTGCTTCTGAGAGATGCGAGCGTTGTTTACCGCATTACTTGTTGTCTTCGAGTGTTGAGGATAGCAGAACGTGTGTTTAATCTTGTGTATACATCAAAGAGTGAAGATACATCTGATCTACGAGGTAGTGAACCACCTTCGCAAAACCTGCTTCAACAAGAATCTGAAAAGGTTGGACTGGAAAAGCAGGAACCTAGAGAGGACACACCGGGGTCGAAACCGGATAAACAGGAATCTGATCTGGTTAAACCAGAATCAAAACTTGTCAAACAAGATGCTGAAGCTGAACAGGCGATAGAGAGGAAAGGGAAAGATTCAGAAAATGAAGTTTCTGAGAGTTCGCAAACCCAGCAACAAACCATCGCTCAAACACATCTCAGTGGATCGTGGCTGCTGCTGTATAACTTCACCTCAGAAAGTTACAAGAGAATCCAGAGACGACTAACTTCTTTGTTTTCTGCTCAGGAAAGCGAAAGCAGAGACAGCGTTGAGCAGAAAATCGTTGAATTACTTTGTGAAATTCAAGAAAAACTGCAGATGCTTGGTGTAAGGATTCCAATGAATTCTGGCGCTGCAAAGGAGAACATTGTGGGTAAGTTACGTACTATAATAGTTTCTTGGTACTGTGTACATCACCAAATGAGGTACAACAATATGTTCAAAAGGTGAATATGCCCAAACCATAAAGTAGGTAATGACAGTGCGATTAGCGGTGGGGTTATACTTGTGGATGGTTCTCACAAACAGTGGAGCCTGAGTCTTACGAGCGCTTCTAACCCAGTGAAAATAAAACGTCAGAATGTCTCCATATTCTTATTATTCTGCATATAACTCTTTGGCTTATGTTCTAGTCTGCGTCGCAGATACTCTGAACCTTCTGTTTATAGCCAAGGTTTACGCGATACGTGGGCCGGCTGCAACCCAGGCTGTTGTGTTCCAGTGAAAACAGATTGTCAAGTCGCACGTAGAAGGAGAAGAATTGACTAATCACAGTGGCTGGGATCGAGCACTGCAATTGGTCTATTCTTCTCCTTCTGCTTACGGCTCTGACGATCTCGTTTTTACTAAATTGTACCAGTGGGAGGAATGAAGTCATAAGCAGAATAGTAAATTACGTATACCAGTTACGCGACTTCGTAGGATGCCGGGATAGTAGGCAGATTTATCAAAGACAACCTGGTGAGAGAGAAAATCGTCAGCCTTAGGTTGGTGTGTCAGATGACCATTTCGAGCTACCGACGTAACATAAAGGCCTCTTTACCTTTTTGTTTTTACCTTTTTTACTCGATACTGGTGCAAAGAGTTTACAAATGTTTATTATTGCTGCCTTCCAGATGTCAGCGCCTATTTGGACGGCACCTACCACAATTTGCTATCCGACAAACCGCAGGACTCTTTGTTCTCAAGAAGACGATCAAGCCTGCAAGAAATTGTGGGAAACGAGCAAAGTTCGGACATGTCGAGGAGATATGGGTCACCCTTCAGGGAAACACCGGACCTCCAGCATTCGCGTGACACACCTTTGAAACTTTCACCCATGGGAATTTCTCGTGGAAGTGTGAATGAAGAGGATTCGAAAACGCTGTTGTCTATTCTTTATTTACAATTACAGCAGTACGATCTCCGAGCAGCCCTTGACCTTGTGTATTCATTAATTGAGCCGCAATATTCGTGTGACCAATTGGAAAGCTATGGTAATTATTCTTTTTTATTTAGTACCGAAGGTGCTTTACAAGTCGCCAGTCAAGCGCCCACTACAAATCACCCGCGAATGGAGGTCTTGCTTCATAATTACCCAATCGCTAGAGTTGGAGATAATCGAGGCCTAAAAGTGGTGCATACACTTGCTAGGTTCATGTCAGCCTACTTTTCAAACTTTTCGCTCTTTGTTTTCCCACCGTATCACCCTATTCCACTTCCACCGTTCCAGGACCATGAACAACGCAGGGACACGCTTCTTGACGCGAAACGACAGGGACCTTCTCAAGCTGTAGAACATGTTCCACTTGACAGGGCCAAAGTAGCTCAAGCTGTACGAGACCAGGGTCTTTATGAGCTATGGAGTGCTAATACTACTGTGGAGCTATTGCTTGTGTCAGGGTTGATCCCGGAAGGGGCGTGGCTGGCGATGAATCTTGGTGACTGGAAAAACGCATTGCTCCTTTCATTTGCCAACGATTTGCTTACGTCTAGTTTATCACAAACTGCTGCTGATCCAGAGTCCAAGTCCTTGATCCAAGTCGTTTTCCCACTATCTCCACATGACATCGAGACTAACCCCATTGCCATGTCAAGGCTTAATCCTGCCTTCAAGCCGGTCCCTCATGAGGGAAAAGAAGAAACTACAAGTTTTGTAGACAACAATTTAACTAACTCAGCCGCAGAAAAGAAAAGCCAAAGGTATTTCAAGATTTATTGTATCCATTTTGAAATCACTGGTGATTCCTGCAATCTGATTGGCTCTCAGCAGTGTGATTTATTCACGAATCACATCAATTTTTGCTCTAAATCACATCTGTTCCAAATCGTGTCATTCATGTTCTAAATCGCATCATTTCTGTTGTAAATCACACCATTTTTGCTCTAAATCGCATCATTTCTGTTTCGAATACAATATGAGATGTAAAAGCCTTTTTGTTTCCGCTTTTCAACAAACCTGCTACTTGATCAATGAAATATAAGTACTGAGTGAATTCTGCGATTTCAAAATGGCTGTAATAAAGTGGTAATTAAACTTCGGGTCGTGCAATTTTGGTCTGAAATCATACTTGTGATTTCAAATCGAACTCGTGCTGCGCGCTCGTCCAATTTTGAAATCGCGTGTATGATCTCAGACCAAACTGCACTCCACTCAGTTCCATTACCATTATATACATCTTATAAAATCAGCCGCTTTAGTGTGTTCTTAACGATCCACTGATAATGTAATTTAATCAGTAGCCGTCGGGGGGTTGTGCTGTAGACTGGGTCGGTGTTTCTTCGAACTGCACTATGGGACTGTTTTCTAAGGAACATTGTATTAGCCAATGAAAAAAGCTTTAGCTTGTCCAAAACAATCCCATATTGCAATTCGACACAATACCGACCCTGTCCCTGCGCAACTTAAAAATGATCAATTATAATGGTGTTCCAGAGCCATTTTGAACACGTGATTAACGTGTCGGATTTTTAGATCATGGAGGTCGAGGTTCCAACCTGGGCCGTGCCATCGAGTTGTTTCTCATACAAGAACATCCACGTTGTCCTTCTCCTTTCAGGCACCAGTTGTTCAGAAGTTAGATCAGCTATCCAGTGAAAAAAAAAATCGCTATCCAGTGGATCAGTGTCGGGGAAAACCAATTGCTTTATGTGGCCCAGTTGTTCGAAGGGTGAATAGCACTAGCCACTGGATAAGTTACTATCCAAAGGATAGCACAATTGGTCTTCGTACTACTTTTCCTCTGGATAGCGATTTATCCTGTGGATAGCGCTATCCAACTCTTGAACAACCAGGGCCTGGTGGATAGTGACAGGTATCTGCCCGGTGGGTAGCGTTATCCACTTTGCGTTCAACTGGGGCCAGGTTTATAAATGGGTACCGGACTGCTTGGGGTAAGCCTTAATTCATTCAGGGTTGTTGTAATGCTTAGACATGTTCTTCACCGGCTATAGTAACTGGGATAACCTCCGACCATGTGGCACTACTTGGTTGGACATGCCGGCGCGTGTAACTCTGCCTTACTGTTTTAGATCCCAGCAGACTCCAGAAATAGGAACCGAGCTTGATGATGATAAAGTCATAAAAGAGATGTCTGGTATCCTGGAGGCTGGCGTAGTGGCAAGACTGGACTTGGTACCTTTGATCTTCACAAGTTTGCTCAGCCAGTTAAAGGAGGTGGTGACCGCTTTTGTGTGGTTAGTTCCCGAGGAGTTTTACTTGCCATATCCGCCCTCTTACTGCCCACAACCGACTAATACAAAAAAGGTACGAATTAGCCATAACTATATAACACACTTCTTCTTGCTTCACGTAATCCAGGAGTTCGTTCTTCAATTTGCCAGGTTTGAACTGCGTTTTTTAAGTGCATGCGATTGATCGATCAATTATCCGTTCTGTAGAGAAATCGCTTGTTTCGCTGTCCCATTTTTGTTTACTTGGTGTCAAAACGGTTAGATCCAACGGATGGCTCATATGGACCAAATCAACCAGAAATATCATCGCCCCACACCCCTGCCCCCGAGAGTCACTCTCGCCTGGCCTCCCGTTGGGTGACTAAGTCGAAGAGACGGATGACAATTCAGACTAGGGACGACACCCGTCACGCGATCTACTTTTTTCTTTCCAGGGCACGATGCCACCAGCTGCCGAAAAAGAAGAGCAACTCCGCGTCAATGTCGCGAGGATTGTTCAGAAGATCCTCCTGTTGCTAAACGCTTCTAACTGCTTGGGGCCGTGTGTAAGATGGTATACAGAACAGCTTGTTCAGGCAACAGAGACCTTTCATAGTGTAGACAGAAGTTCCTCTGAGTTTCCCATTCCTTCCTCGTTAGTGGGGTATGCTGACCGAGGATTTAGTTTTCACGAGAAACGTGGTCATGTATCACCTCAGAAGAAAGGTAATATCCTCTACTAAGCTGAGTTGCTTTTCTCATTCCAGTAAGAGTCGATTTGGCCGATACCTTCGCACGCAGACGTTCTTGGGGCTTTGTCACGCTTTCCGGTCCGTGGGGCAGGAATGCGTGAACTTTAAGAACGTCTGCGTTGGGGAGGAGCGTTGCGTGAAGACCCTTATGACGGCTGCGAAGGAGACTACGTCTGCGTGGGAGGCTATTTAGCTGATTGTTAGTCAAAACTTTGCTAAAATCATCGAACAGTCATTTAAAGGCAAACAAAGGCAGATAGTTAATTCGTTGAGGAAGAGCTAAATCTACTGCTGGATTGTAGTGTGAAATGAAGACACGAACCTTGTTATTTTCAGGGAAAAAAACTGTGGCAGCTCCATCAAGCGGTGAGAAGGAGGCGACTACTGAAAAGCTACCATCCTCCGTCAGAAGTGTCCTAAGGTGTTTTCGTGATTTCTGTGCAATTATGTGGTTATTGCACGCGCGTGACAAGATGAGCAAGTCATCCAGGAAGTACAGAGAGCTTAGAAGCCAATCAACAGGAAACGAAGAGGTATTTTATGTATATCAAACGCGTAAAGAATATAGACCCTGAAACATGGGCTGTAGAAACGAGTCTAGTCGAGTATTTTAATTTGTCTTGTTAGAGATATCTGCTATCTTTGATAAATTTCAACTTCATTTTTGCACGTTGATTTAAAGAACTTCTTCTTACTAATTGACACCAGTTTTTTGATCCTTTCAATAGTAGTTTTTTTGTTATCATAAGAGAAATTGTAATCTTGTTTCGTCACACTGATTTGGCATGGATTCTTTTAGGAGACCACGACCATCCAGTCCATCTGTTGGGAGACCCTTCTTTGGACTACTAGACTCGTTCCATTCAGCTTGTTACTGAATGCTTCAGACAAAATCAACGACACTTTACTCACCCTTCTATCTGAGTTACCACCCACTATTGCCACGGCAGAACTAACAGCTCAATTCTTTGACGACCCGGAGGTGGTTCAAACAGCGACTGGGACGGCGAAATTTAAGCGCCTCATGGCACAGTTTCGAGGTGTCAGTGTACAAGATGGTGATGGCGAACATGAGCCGCTGTCTGTGTTCTATCGTCGGATATCCTGGGAGTGGAAACGAAAACACGAAGAAGATGAAAAGCTGTTTGGCAAAGATTGTGATCAGATTTTTGCAGTTCCTGATGCAAGCGAGAGTTCTACCTCGAGGCATGACGATCGTGATCGAGCCGTGGGAGCGGTATCCTTCGAGGCGCAGCCATCTTACTTCCAGTTCTTGGACACATTTTTCATGATCACTGTCTCCAAGACTGTCCTGTCGCACCACAGTAAAGCACCATACCCGGTTCCTCTTCTTTCTTCCTACAGCAAACCTCTTTTAGCAGCAGACACAAACCCATTGATTGCTTTACAAAAGAAGTTTCATATTGATCCTCCTAATAAATCTGTCAAGGTTGGGTCGGGTCTTTCCAGAAGCCACAGCTTGACAGATGTTCGTTCTTCCAGGTTGAGATCAGGTGTTTCTGTTGAAAGCTCTGAAACTGGTGCAGACATTAAGCGCAGTAACAGCATGAATGATATAGCCAAACTGAGTTCTCTTCCTGGTTTGAAAACCTTGGGGAGCCAGATACTTGATTTCTTGCCAAGTTTAACTTATCTTAGTAGATGGACCTTGGAAGGTTCGTCTTTACCTTTAGGTTCTTATGATTCTGGTGCTCGCGCCACGAGGGAATCTGTTCCAGTTATGCGGGTCCACGTTCCTTTGCCTCTTCTTGTGAACGGTTTGTGGTTGCTTCAGAATGTTTACTGGCCTTGGGTCTCTAATCGTGAGGTTTTAGTAGACATTCAAGTCATTCAACAGACGCCTCCACTAAGACGTTTACCCAAGAGCGCAAAAGACCGTTACGCCCACGTGATAGATGCATCAACGCCTCCAAAAGGTTTGCGTAAAGTCCTGAGCGATTCTAATATCCAGGCGTCGGTAAAAAAGTCTTCCAAGCGTCACAGTTTTTCCAGTGGAAGGCTAAGACATCGTTTAGAGGCTGATTATCACCAGTCGACCCCAGATATGTTGGAAGAACCTCAAAGTGAAGCAGTTCGTTTAACCAGTGGTTTAACAGAGTCCACCAACGACATCCCAACAAAACCCAGGAAAGAATCGACCCAGGTCACCAAACCACTACACAAAGTACTTGGGTCAGCTCAACAAATTCATCGTATTCCAAAGTCAAATAGTGATCCGAACATTCCGAACATTGTGGTTCATAGTCCTACAACAGATGAAGAGAAGACAGATTTTAGTTTTGCACTGAAGAAAAGGAAGACATTTAGAGGGACGGAGAGAAGTCCAACCACTTACCACTCCGATACAGGTACAGAAACAACACCAAATAGTTTTTCATGCACGTGTATATATCTTTATCTTTCGCACGCCCCAGACGAATATTGCAAAAATGGCTGAAATCTTTCATTGTAGTGGCTTGGGCGTCCATAAAATCTTTCCCATTTGTCTTACTTACCATTTTTGCATTTGGTTTATTTCATTTGAATGTTTAGAGTATCAAATGAAAGCCACAGAGCACTCGTTTCTGCTGTGGTATTGTTATTGTACAAGGGTGTTCTAACGTTTGAGTCTGTGACCATTCAAATGAAAGCCATTGAACAGTTTCGTGTGTTGCTGTTAATTACCCTGTACAAGGTGCCTGAAGTGCTACTACTGAGCAATATTTTTCTAGAGTTCTGTTTCCTTATTTGCTGAAAAATGTAGCTGATTTTGTTTCGTTAGTTCTGTCTTGAGTGCGTTTAAACTGTTAAAAACCTTTGAAACTTGGTGTAGTTAACCTACCAGTGCTATGTGCGTTTGTGATTTTAATAGTTGCCAGTCATTTTTACAATTTAACTTACTCTTCTCTGCAGATTTGCCGTCTCCTGGCAAGCCAATCGTGACCTCCACTCCTGCAAAAGCCAAGCGCTCAAAGAAAACGAGACGAAGAGAACACCTGGCGAAAAATATGTCCGATGAACACACAACAAAATCAGCCATCGTCCCAGACATTCACGGACCTGACTTAGGAAAACAAGAAAGGGATGGTAAGAATAGTCTCCTACGCTGCCGTTTTAACCCCTTAAACCCCCTATATGAAAAGAGAAATTCTCATTTGTTGTCCTTATACGTTTTCTATGGTTCTAATGGGGAGAAGTTGTTGAAGAATCAGTTAGATTCATCTTGTGTGATCATGTCCTTAATTCTTGTCATCAAACGGTTCTATAAAGCATTGATATTTCAAGGAGAAATTTGATGCTGATCGTTCATAGGACTCTAAGGGTTAAGCGCCGTCGCGCGAACACTCCATATTTTTTTCAATTCTTCATTTATAACCGCGAGGCTCTCTTTGGAAGCGTTTTGAAGTTTCTCTCCGAATTCTCCAGTCATGTAGAAGTTCTCTTAACCCTAAAAGCCAATTGTTTCGATACCCTAACCGTGAAACAATGCGAAATAATGATAAACAATGATGTGTTATCGTTTTCTGCTCATTGACACTCAAATGAAGTGTTTTTTGTTCGCAAAATCGGTCAGAAAACGTTCTGTTTGCCCTATAACTTTATTAACTTACAAAGTGCCCTTTTGTCAATAGTTAGGACAATAGAAGATACAACGTCCTTGACACAGAAGACAAAGGAACGGAGTACAGATTCTAAGCCGATCATTAGGACAGCTACATCGCGTCAAGGGAGAAGGAGAAAGAAGTCCCCGGATGAGAATAAAGTTACTGATGTCATGCATGATAATCAGACAGCTATTGGTGCTTTGGTTGCCATGGATCCCAAGCAGGCAAAAGAGGCGGCGGCAAGTGATTGGAGCCAGCATTCTTCAGCTTCTGAGGCAGCGGTATCACAAGGAAAAATGGAGTTACTTCTTGTCGTTAGGTAGGGTTTAGCTTTGGTGAATTTTTAACGTCTTGTATGTTTGTTGTGAGAGTTCAAGCAGTTCTTCAAAACACTGCTTTTGCAATCCTTCCAGAAGAAAAAAAAACAAAGCTAAACAACATGGCTGTAATCGTGGAAGCTTTTAACCAGCTGCAGACTTTTAAAATCTACAGCTCACCACTCAAACGTAGGATGGTAATCCTGTGTTGGATGTGACCATTTGTATATTCACACTGGTATTTTTTTTTGGACCTAAGTTGTACATGCTGCTGTTGCTTGTTTTTGTATTTTTTTTACATGTGTACCAAGAAGAGAAGGGATAAGTAGCATGGAGCTTGCAGCTACTATAATTCTTTTAGTATTGTAATTCTAACCTATGCAATCTTTCTACATTTTTTTTCCAGGCCAGGCGATGATCGCGACCAAACTACTTTGCAATCTGGTATTCCTCTTCTCCGGATACCAACAGTCCTGGATAGCAGTCAGAGCTCGGAATTAACTCCGCAAAGCCACAGCAGGAGACAAACAAACAATACAAAAACTGAGACTGGGTCACAAACTGAACAGCAGATAATGACGTCATCATTTTCACAGACGCCTCAGTTCCCTGGCCCTCAAGATCACGTGACCAACCCTCCTGGTCATCAGATACTAACAACGACTGTCTCGCAAACACAACAGCATTTTGGGAGCCACCCGATTCGTCATCATGATCCGCAGAGTTCTCAAACACAGGTGCATTCTGGGATTCTTACTCGTGATGACCACTTGACTCGTCCTTCAGGTCCACAGAGTTTGACGTCATCAGCTACTCAAACACAGGTGCATTCTGGGCTTCTAACAGGTGAAGAGCACTTCACTCGTCCTTCAGGTCCGCAGAGCATGACGTCATCAGCTTCACAGGCACAAGTGTATTCTGGGATTCCACCTGACCAAGGTCGGGTGGTCACTCAGTCGGTGCAAGGTACTCACGCGATGTACACTCAAACAGATGTCAACACCGAGCCCAAACCAGCTTGGCCAGTTTTTCCTTTGTTCTTATCACAGCAGCCACCACAAACCTCGCAGCAAAATCAACCACCTTCAAGTACACAGCGAAATTTACCGTTACTTCATCTTCCATTCACTGACCCAGCTTCAAAACTGGATTTAAGCAAAATGAGGCTTCTTGAAATTCCCAAAAGAAGCAGTGAAACGCCGCTGTTACATCTCCCAGAAACAAAACCCACAGCATCGCAAAGTGTGGTACCTGATCTAAGCAAAATAAAGTTCTTAGAAATTCAACCCAAAAGAGAACTATTGGAAAACGATACTGAACAAAAAGGACTCGGTACCACGGGCGCGCCTTCTAAGAAGTGGCCTTTGCTGCGCATGACCGAAAGACAATCGCATCCGACTGCAATTGACTTGAATAAAATGAGGCTTTATGAAAATCCGCCATCTGTTCGCGAAGCCTGGCCGCTCTTGGAAACTCCCAGGCAGGCAGAAACTCCGCAGCTAATCCCGTTGGAGAAAATACTGGCGTTTGAAAAGAGAATGAGAGACAAGCTCAAACCTCTTACTGAGCCGCCCACGCACCCACTCTACCCTCACGAAAAAGAGAACATCCAACCCTTAATGGGAGATATACCAGCAATGATGCAGTCTACTGCTTCAGTAACTGAGCAACCTGTGGCACAAAACAAGAGAAACGCGCCTTCAAGGTAAGATAACTTTGAGTACTACAGTCATTAGTTTTTGTTTCGTCACGCAACGCCCCTCCTCAAGCTGCGTGGGAGACTATTCAGTTAGTTTTCTCCCACGCAGCTGTTTTTGTCTCGTCACGCAACACCCCTCCTCGAACTTTCCCCAATAGGACGGAGGGTATTTGTTTTTATTTATGGAGGAGTCCTTAAGCGGACGTTTGATTGTACTCGTCTCACGACTTTTTGTAGTATTTATGGTCATTCAGCCCTTGAGGTCAGCAGCTAAATTCCCCTCACGATAACAATGCTTGATTTACCATAGTAGTAATGAGACTAAAACAAATTATTTAAGTGAAATGGTGCCAACCAAAGAAAATGACATATTGACCATATTGACTGTAGTGGGTTGGTAAATGTTGGGGATTCGCTTACTGTTGGGATTCGCCCTCATCTTTCTTCCATGTTTTGTGTTTCCTTTTAGACAAAGACGAAGGCAGGCTTTGGAGAAAGAAACCCGACCTCGGTCAACGTCGCCATTGTACAAGAGCAGACGAGGAAGAGGGACGTCTGGTCGCAAATTCGCACAGAGAGAAGTAATTACAGTTCAACCAGCAAAAAAAGCGAGGAGAGTTGAAAGGGGAGTTTCTGAACAAGCTCGACCTGAAAAAGGGCATCAAAGTAAGAAGCCACGACGAAACAAGCCGCAAATAGTACAGGAAGTCGTTTCTACGAAGGAGAAGGAAAAGAGTGTTAGCTTGAGCGAAAGTGAGTTGGAATTATCAGAGATTTCTGATCATGTGGTAGATATTTCTGAGGAAGAAGAGGAGTATTTTCGCGTTGAACGAAGTCCGGACTCGAATGCTTTTAGCGGCGACGACCGGAGGGGGCTTAGTAAAGGAGATGTGCACAGGCCAGTCAGTAAGAAAGGTCACCGTACCGATCCCGTCAAAAACGGAAACTACCAGGAAACTATTAGAGAAAGAGTCCACAGGGAACCTATGCTCGAAGATGTACTACCTGGTCCACCCTCCATGCGGCATGCAAAGGAGAGAATAGGACGAAAGCTACAAGAAGTCGACCAGCTGATGGCTGAGTATCGGAGTGGGAGTAGCAGCCATGGGAACAAATGGCGTGATGATTCTGACAGGCAGTCGAGACGCGAAGGTTCTCTAAAACAGAATATTGGTATTCAAGTGGGTGAGGAAGAGAAGCCATCGCCAGTCAGTCCTGTCGCATTCTATTCCTCAAATATCTCTGGCGTTGTCGGACTGGGGAGTACTTATAAAGTAAGTTCCAGTTCTCAGACTGATCAACCTCCAGCCCGGTCCCCTCCAGAGAGAAGAGACCGGAAACTAGTAACATTTGGTGTTCAAACGGAAAAACAATCTGATGATATTGATCACGTTACATCCCACGCGCCAGTATTACCACCGGATATCATTTTAAAACTGCAAATGCCCAAGCCTGATCAGGACCGCATCCTCCCCACTGGTTCGCTTATAGATTATGACCAATCTGTTACTGACCCTCCAACCTCTGTACGAGGGAGGCTGATTGGAGTAGATATGAGTGACGTGACTGGTGGTGGCCCCCCTGTTAGTTCCACAGATGTTGACCAGGTGACCAATAGTGTTCCAATAGATGTCAGGGGGAGGCAGTTCCTAAGTGTGGCTGATATTGACCATAATCAGTGGCTGGAGGTTCGAAGTGCGCCATTAATGACTGCAGATGAAGTAAGTACAGCTCTTCCTAAAGAAAAGGACACAAAGGAGGAGGAACTGAACAGGAGTGCTGGAGAAAAAACAGAGTTGTCTTCTAAACAAGGTAAATGTGCAAATTAC